AAATGGTATGTGTTATTTATACATGGCACATTGGTGGGTGATAGTTTTATATAGGTCAATCTTTATCTACATAACTTACATTGTATGATAATTATACAACTAAAATGCAAAAACTTATTATTATTATCATTAAGAACTTTTCTGAGAAAGAAATAATAAACCAGAAAACTAAATGTTAAACAAAAACAAACAAATAAGCTCATAAAACAAAATAACGAACATTATTTTTACAATCGGAATGTGTACTAACATAATAATTAAAAAAATAAAAAATATTTGAGAGCAAATAAGTACAATTAAAATTAATGGAGAGAATGCTGTAAAAAAAAGTTATGAACAAGACTAATTGTAAGTGAAATAAGTACATATATTTCACTTATCATAACAGTTGAAGTAACTATATTTGAGGTTTACTTTGTATGTATTAATTTTTTTATGTAAATTAATTTCTTTTAGCAATTTATTAAATGTCTCAGAAGTTTTTATAAAAAAAGAGCTTTTGTATTTTATTTTGTTCTGCATTTTGGAATTACAATATTTCTCATTAATTTTTTTTGTACAGATATATGAGTTGAGTTGGTGCTAACACCTTATTGAAAATAGTTAAATGTAAGTTTTCTTGGAAACCATTTATTTGTAAAATTCTCAACTTAACAAAGTTATCTTCCATTCTTGAATCGTACGCTAGGTCAAGAACATAACATATACATTTATTGACAACTATTTGTAGCTTATTCAATAGTTGGTCATGAATATCAGACATTACAAGTAAACAGTAATTAAGGAGAGGAGTAGGCAACATCCTAAATAATTATTTTTTATTTTTAAATGTTTTGAATTTTAACTATTTTTTAATATTATATAGGCCAGAATTTATTTTGCTTGTATTGGAAACTTGATTATGCCAAGTTAGCTTATTTTGAATCTCAATTCCCAATTTTTTTTTTAAGAATTGAGAGAGAGAGAGAGAGAGAGAGAGAGAGTGAGTTAGTGAGTGAGAGATGGGTAATAAGTGAGGGAGTGAGTGTCATAAGAAAGCCCAAGACCAGCTTAGACTATACAAATTTTTGGGAATTTCTTTTGTTCACCGAATTCCTCACTTTCCTTCACTACTAAAAAAATGTCACTTAAGCCTATATTTTTTCTTGGGTTTGTATAATATGCCTACTGCTTAAAAATGAGCGAAAAACTGAGGAAGAAGAAAGGAATAAAATATTAAAGTAAAAAAATATTTAAAAAACTGTTGTTTTTTTTTAAAGAAAAATTGACAGTATATAGATTTAATATTTTATATACATAATAATCCATTTATGTTTAGTAGTCATAATTAACTGTATTAATTATTTTAATTGATTATACTTTTTATTTTATCTCAACCAAAACCCTTGAATATAAATAAAATAAATAAAAAGTATAATTAATCAGTACTGAAGTGATTTTTCGAGATTTAGATTTAGATTATCGAGAAAGCATTGAAAAGCAAAAAATATCTTCACTAGGACAACTAAAGTTAATTTTACCAAAGGTTATATTGAAATCGAAAACCTAAAAAGTTGTCTCTTTTGACTTATCTAGTTTTGCACATACTCAAATCACCTTGCTCAGCTCCAATCTCGCTTTCAACCTGGCTTTTCCACACAATCCGTTATTCTAATAAAATTTCCACCAATGTGCAGACTGTGATTAAATATTTACCATTGTAAAACTGGCCCACCAGTTGTAAACTACTAGTTTCCTACATTTTTCCTACATTATTCTCACTCTCTTTGTTATGGATGTGTTGTGCACGAGGGACTCACTTGGAAGCTTGAAGCTAAGCTTAAACATGATGTAGGATGTAAAAGTTTGGGTGTATGGTATAATGCACTCTTTGAGAGGTATTGTATCCCCTGTTCTCTCTCTACCTATAGCACATGAAAGCCAGTGTAGCACGTTTTTAGTAGGTGCATTCGTGTCTCCTCCATTTCTTCACAGAATCTGCACGTACCGTGTTGTACCAATCTTCTCCAAATTACATTAAGTCCATAGAGCCACTTTAGGATTCATGTTTGGAGATTTTTCCTGCTTCCTTTGATGCATTCTATTGTCTCTTTCTTTCCAAAACAAACAATGAGGTGCAGTGTTCAGTTGTTCCTTCCTCATCCGTGCATCCACCTTTTTATTTTATTTTATTTAAGTTTTTGGGAGGTTGAATAAAAATTATAAAAATCTTTTCCTCCATTGCGACATATATTGTGGAACCCGTATAAATTATAGGAAAGTGCACTTTCTTTTATAAAACTTAGCACTTTCCTCAGTGCCTCTTTGTACACCTCTTTTGGTGTGAGAATTGCCGTACCGAGGTGGCTGTACCATAACTGGGCTAATGCTTCACATTCACAAAGGATATGTGCCGAAGTCTCTGGTTCCTCTTCACAGAGTTGGCAAGTTTCTTTCTCTGCCATGCCCATTTTCTTTAGGTGCTAGATATGCCCTCTTAGTGGTTGGTATAGAGGCCTATAATTTTTCTCAAAGCTACCTGCTGAGAGAGAGAGTGAGCGAGAGAGAGAAGTTCCTCCAGCTAACTTTTTGAGAGATTTATAAATCTGACCCTCCGGCGCCCAGTTGGGTTCTCGCCCCATGGGTAAGACGGCTGCTCCTTTTTTGGTTAGTCAATCATTCTGTTCATTTCCTTCTGTACCTTCAAGTCCCGGTACACACTGTAAGGTAGTCTTGTAGTGTTTTCCTAGACCCATTAGGCAATTTAGTCACTCCCAGACAAGATTGGAGTTGAAACTTGATAGCAAACGCATTTTTGCCTTTGTGGCTGCCTCACTCTCTGATAATATGTACATTTGTGTGTCTTTCATACTTTTCTTTAATTTCTGTGAATAGAGTTGTATTGCAAGGACCTGAGTTTGGAAAATTATTAGGGTTAGAACCAACCCCCTTGTTTGCCAGTATTCGAACCTTTTACCTCTAAACTTTTTCCTTGTTCCATCTTCAATCTGTCTACCGCACCCAACCAATGGAATTTCCATTGTCACTTTATCCACTAACATCCCTTTCCACCTTTAAATCCAGTCTGTTTGAGTACTTATCATCTCCTTACATTGGGAAAGGGGGTAGGGATAAAATAGGCGGCCACAATACCTACTGCACCTCGACGTGAATAGATCTATTGGGCTCCCCTGTTATTTATAACTCACTGGCCAGCTTCAAGTTATTAATCAGCCACCACAGCTTTGCCAGGAGCTCCTTAGTGTAGGATCTTGCTTGTGGTTTTTCTTGTCCTAGTTGCAAGAACCTGCACCTTCATAGACCTTCACAGAAATGTAGAATATGTTCTGCGGTCTCCTCCTCTTCCCAGTATCTGCACAGGGTTTCTTATGCCTGCACTCCTATCCGGTGCATGTGCCTTCTTAAGGATTTTTTTAACTTGTCTTTTTTATATTTATAAAAATCTTTTTCCATTTTTTTATTTTATTTTCTTCTTTATTTTTACATTTTACAACATTTTATTATAATGTTTACCTGATTTTTTAAATTTTTTTTTTCATTGTATTTTTTCTTCTTTTCTTAGCCGAGTGGCTTGTCGGCAAATAAACTTTCCTTTTTTAAATATTGCTTAAAAAGGATACAAAACGTTATATAAATAAATGTAAATTACAGATGCAAATTTGTCATATATCTTTCAAAAGAAACTGTATTATATAATTGAATGTAAAAAAAAGCTAACCTTTATAATAAAATGTAAAATAATAATATCCTTTATTATACTTGTCTTTTAAAATTGTAGATGCAGTTAATGGATGTAAATTCCCCAAACATCCAAACAATTTAAAAACAAAGCAGAAAATTACAAAAAAACAAAAAAAACATGGAAAATTTTTTTTATAAAAACCCCACAAACTATATTATATTTTATTAGACAGTTATTAATAGTAGTAGTGAAATTGCTGATGCATTTTGGGCGAGAGATATAATTTTTCAGTGTTTAGATGCTGAAATGATAGTGAAAATCGGTTTCATATTTTATTTATGTTTACTATTATTATAAAACGCTGTTAGTAACATGAAAGTTGTACACAATCTTTTTTTTTATTTTTTAAATAAATTATTAGAAGTAGGTTCGAATTTAGAAAAGATTTGGTCTTGTATAACTAGTCAAACTTAATTTATTCTTAAATGTTCTCGACAATTATAAATAGTGTGATATAAAAGATCTATTGTGCTCCCCTGTCTTTTATAATTCCAGCCTCAGGTTATTAATCAACCTCCACAGCTTTGCCAGCAGCTCCTTAGTGTAGGATCTTGCTTGTGGTTTTTCTTGTCCTAGTTGCAAGAACCTGCACTTACATAGACCTTCACAAAAAGATAGAATATGTTCTGCGGTCTCCTCCTCTTCCTGGCAGTATCTGCACAGTGTTTCTTTTGTCTGTGCTCCTATCTGGTGCATGTGCCTTCTTAAGTGGCAGTGCCCTGTCAGCAGTCCAACCAGAGCAGGACTCAGGTTCTGTTTGCCTTCCTGTAATTCTTTTGTAAGTTTTGCAGATGGTCCTTCGATGAATCTATTCGTGTGTCTCATACCTGCTGTATTATTCCATGAGGTTTTGGACTCAATATCCTTACAACTTGGCAACAAAGATTTTTTATTTCCCCCTTTAGTTAAATTTCCATAGTTGAATATTCTTGCGTTATACGTATATGTTTTTGTACATAGATGTCTTTTTTTTATAGCTTGTCAATTTTGAATCTTTGTAAACATGTTGTAGTTTTTTAAAATTTTCATATTAACTATCGAATAAAATGTTTTTCGATATGTATCGAATTGATAATAGTTTTGTCTGAACTTTTTTTTCTAAAAATTTTTCTCAGTCATCAATCATTTTAATCATAAAATCATTTTTTTAACCAGTTCACCAAATGACATAAAATGACGTACTAGGCGGCACGTTTCGTCCCCGATCGACGTTACTATGACGAACGCGACCTGCTTGTACGCCGGTTATTGTTTTGTTGCAAAACCTAAACTTTAGGAACAAACCTCTCCTGACCTAAACAATCTATGTATGAACTCCAAACAGACGTAGATTGATGTGATCGGAAATGGTCGTATTTTTTGCTTATGGGGCGAGAACCTTAGGAAAAAAGGCGTGTACCTAATATCAACGTTGGTCCGAAGCGAGGTGAGCTTTTAAAATTCTCATTTAAGTTAAGACTTCTAAAATCTACATTTTTAAGTACTCTCTGACAAAGCATAAACAAATTTGACCTTTTTAAAGACTTTTTAGAGATTTAGGGACAGTATTTTACAACTGTTTTTCTGTTTTCTTGAACTTTGTAGTTAATTGGGGCTTCTTAAAAAAAAAGTGTTTCCGGGTTGAACTTTATAAAAGTTTACAGACTGTTTTATTATGTTTGTTATTAAAACATATAGTTCTGTTTGAAAGCGAAACAGTTTGTCAGATTGTTTTTGTTTTAATTTTTAATCCTTAATCTACATTTTGTTGTTATTTCTTATGTGAGAAAAGAGAGTTTTAGGACTTTTTAATTCCTTTCCCTTAGATCAACTTTTTTTTTGATAAATTAACAAAAAACGGGACACGTTTGTGTTTATGCTTCATCGCAGTATGATTAACGCTTAACTTTTATCCCGTCTAAACACTCATCGTTTGTTTATGTTTATACTTCAATGTTCCTTACAGCGACTGTCTTACGAATGGGATCCATTCGATTTTAAAGTGTAAAAAAGCCCCGGTTTTGTCAAAAAAATTCAATTTTTCAACGAAACGAAAAACGGAGGTGAAAAAATTCACAATTCGATTTTCGGTCGTTTTCCCCATATTTTTTGTAAGGAGGCGCAGTGTATTTCTGGTGTCTGACGTCTTCAGTCTCCTGTTCATCTGTTTATTGTTTTGACAGTTGAAGTTGTCACATTTCCCGCTCGCTAACAGCTCGTTAATCCCATTTCGAAACTCTTTCACTGCGCATGTCGTGAGACAAACTTAAAAAAAAGAAAAAAAAATTCAATTTTTTTCTTTTAAACAACGAGACAGAACACCCGGGTTGTGATTAATAATTTTAAAATTTCCCCCTCTGCAGGCCATTGTTTTGGTTTTGACGCCAGGCTTGATAACATTCAACGACAAAGAGAACCTTTTTTTGTTAAAAGGATATATCGGAAAAAAGAAAAAAAAAATTAACATAGGGAGTCCATTATCGTCACTGATTTCTTTATTGGGTTTTGTCTTTCCTTCATGGCGCATGTTGACACTTATGCACGTTTCGTCTTCACGCCATCTTCAGTGAGTGACTGAGAAACCTAACCCTAATGACTACGCCCGTCTGGATCAGTTCAATTCAATTGATCCACTGTACCAACCAACGCCACCAATTTTTATAACAGAGCCCTAATATAAAAAAAAACACTACTTTTTAGTATTAACGAATTTGCACATTTACATCCTTATACCAATCCTTATCCAGATAACCAGAAAAGTTCGTCCAGGTCATAATTGCCATAATTAAAATTATTTTAAAAATATTTAATTCAGGGAAATAGTCTCCATCAGACTGTCCAACCTTCTCCCTACAAGTTTCTAGCCCAGTTACGCCCTTCTTATAAAAGTTTTGTTCCCAATAGTTAAACACTAAATCCAGCTCATTTTCAAGCTGTTGTCAATTCAAACTCCCAATTGCTCCTAATTGTCCTTTAGGAAAGATGATGGTCAGATGGGGCCAGGTCTGGACATTACGGAGGTTGCGGTAGGGCTTCCAAACCGTGCTTCACCGCCTTTGTCATTCTGGCAGTATGAGGTCTTGCGTTGTTCTGGTGAAAAAGTACCTTTTCTGTTCACGAGAACAAACATTTTCTGTAGCAGGGCAAAAGATACTCATTGCAGTTGGTTTGAGTAGATTTCTGCTGTGATGATCTGGCCACGTGGCAAGAGTCAATAGTGCACAATGCCGTACTGCACCAAACACAAAGCATCGTCTTTTATTCGTGAAATGTCAATGGGATAGGGTAATTTGGTAGCAGCCAATGGTATGACCTCCTGGTGATACAGGATCCGTTTTTTGTTGTATGTTACAATCCGCTCAAAAATGTCTCTACTGTGAAAGCAACAATGGCAAAATATTTTTTTTTTCCGCATCAGTGGACAAGGTTATTTGATGACGACTTTCTGGTGTTACTATAAAGGATCCATTTTTCATTTCAGTTGATTATCCTGTTAAAAAGTCTACATTGTGACATGAAAGCAATGAAAGGGAAATGTTTAGACGCTGAAGCCTTTGATCGTCGGTCAATTTATGAAGAACACCTTTGCTAAGGTTCTACATATTCCCAAGCCGATGTAAGCTAGAGCGAATGGTATCATCGCTTACGATGACCTCTCTGGCAAGCTCCTGAAATGTTTGACTCCAATCAAGTTGATAGTTTCCTTCAATTCATCAACATTCAAGACAACTCTATCAGACTGTGGTTCTTTCTCAATCCCCTTATTCCCAAAAGTAAACTTTTCGAACCACTTTTGGGCAGTGTGCTCACTAATTGTTTTATCACCAATTGCAGGGCACATTTTATGAGCTGAATCGGACATCCTAGTACCAAGCTTATTTAACTGTAGAGATATAGATGTAATATTCCGGGTGGGTAATATACTGCAACCTTTGAGATCTATTGTATCTCCTATTCTGTACCTACATTAGACCGGTAAGTCCTAGTTCCTCAAGAAATTTGGCCGGTTTCAGTCGTTGAATTTTTTTCTACAGTTACATTGTACATCCCAAAACACTTCCTCCTGTGGGCAAATGTAGCTCCACAGTTTTTTAGTAGGAATGTTGGTATCTCATTTACATTCTTGCAGAATCTGCATGTGCCATATTAGATTATACCAATCTTCTTCAAGTCTGCAGTATCCTGTTAAGAATCCTGTTAGGATTCAAAGTGTTGTTGCTTCTTTCCTTCCAAAAAGGGCTAGGAGAGTGTATTGTTTGTGTCCTATGAGTGATTCCCACTGTTTCCATTATCATTTTGTCTTTTTGTTTAAGAAGGGGGACTTATCAGTGGTATAACAATCCCTTCCTTGCAAGGGCGTCATCTCTCTCGATTCCCTCTACTCCTACATGTTCTGGGACTTAGCAGAGAGTGAATTTATTTTGTATACTAATTTATTTAATTTAGTTTTGCACTTCAGCACCTCTTCACACTAATGATGTTTGAGCATAATGCTTTGATGGCTGCCTGGCTATCTGACGTGATAAATATATGTTTTTGTACCCTTTGTTCAAATTTAACTGAGTACATCTCTCAACTGCATAGACTAAAAAACAAAATTACTGTACAAAATTCGAATTAATTGACAAAAATAGTCTAAATATGGAATTTAATGAATTTGCAGATTGTTATCTCTCAACATGACTTCATCAATCAACTCAGCAATCTTACAGTGATAAAAGCATGAATAATTTAGTATTTATTTTTTGTTGATTTCATTGCTGATGATTTACCAGAAGAATGTTGATTAGCCAGAAAAAGTAAGATAACGTTTTCATTGATGTAGACCCCGTCACTAAACACTTCCCCTTTATTCTGGAAGTACTCAAACATCATCTTTTTTCCTAAATGGGGCAATCCCACCCGTAATACATCTTTCTACCATCCAATTAGCTTACTCCCTTCTCAACAATATCCGAGAAAATCCTCCTAAAAAGATTAATCCGGACACTTAATTTCCCAGCCTATCAATTTGGTTGTTGCTATCAAACACCACACTCAGCAAGTGGTATTCTCATCCTTTGAGTGTAACCATAAAGAATACATTATGGGGACATTTCTTGATGTGCCACAAGAATTTGACGTGTAGCAGAAGGATTCCTATACAAACTAAAGTGCATTCTTTCAAACAGCTTATACTTAATCTTAACTATACCCTCTACCCTCCTTGCATCCTTTGCCTGAGCTTTGCTTTCCTCTAAACCTCATCCTACAATTGCTTCAGATGAGCTCCAGGCATGCGTCCAAATTTACCCCATTTTGTTGGTCAATGTGGTCATTTATTCGCAGCTTGATTTTCCATGATCATTCATTCTCACTTTATATGTCAGTCAGGTGCATTTCAGCATTTTGATACCTTCCATCGATTGTGTCTGTGAGCCTAGGCAGGCTGAAGACAGCCAAATCTTAAAACTTATCTGATTGAAACGGACAGATTTCTGTTATCCTCTCTGGGTTAGTCTGTCAGAGATATGCTTTGACATTTCATCATCTTCAGTATGTGACAGACCAATCCAACGAGGATAAGCAGACTAAGATGATCAGTAAGGATCAAATTATAGTGAATATGTATATAAAATGAAATGGTCCATTTTGTTGGTCAGTGTGGTCATTTATTCGCAGTTCGATTTTCCATGATCATTCATTCTCACTTTATGTGTCGGTCAGGTGTGTTTCAGAATTTTGCTACCTTCCTGCAAAACAGGCAATGGCCAAATCTTAAAACTTATCTGATCAAAATGTACCGATCGCGGACCATACATCCTACAGTCAAAACACACACCTTCCAAATTAACTAAGGCAGACTTAAAAACAACCTTTTTCTTCCCAAAGACAATCAGCCAGGATAAATGGATTGCTGCCAATACAATTTAATTTGGGACTGAACACAAACTATTTAAACTATTAAAAACTATAATGTATCACAATTCATTTGTAAGAAAAGCATTTCTTATTATTATTTACCTTTCATGTTTATATACATTTATGTGCAGAATTGAGCTTTTGACTTCTAGCAGCCTTCTTTTCGGTTTTGGCAGCTCAAGGTTAGACTTTGTTTTGCCACCGATGTTTGGCTCACAAACTCTCATTCATTATTAAATACTTTCTTTCCTATTTGCAAACCATTCATTCCAGTTGGGTGGTGGAGTACTTGCTTGATTCTCCATCATCATTTTACATAACTAATTTCATTGAGAGCCAATATAATACTCAATACACCACTAGCAGCACTCTCACACTATGCATTCAATCTAATAAATACATTCACTCTAAATATTAACAAAAGGGAACGTAAAACAATATATCAATACTATATACAGTAAAGCAGCCCTATTCCCTCTAAGAATCGAAACAGGCAACCCAAATATTCGCTGCCATACTTGGTCACAATTTTCATATTGGGTGGCATTCCTACATGCTCTTTGTATGGAATCAAGGAATAACACTGTTCAGTTAAATGGGGGGCACATTAAGCAATTTTTTTTCTATATTCCGGACACATGCACATAAACACACGTTGAATTTCTTTGTTTCACTTAAAATTTTATTCATCCTAGTTATTAATTTAGGGATTATTATGGATTCGATTCCAAATTTTTTATGCATTATACCAACCAAATCCTTACTTTTTGCAATAAATTAATTAAAATGCTCATCCTAGTTCAATTTGTTATTCATCGTACTTTTATGTGTCCTAGCTTTCTTCAGAATATTAGGGATTATAAAATTCATTTCCATTTTATAGACCCTTTATATGAGGATCATTATACATTAAATTGAATATGACTTGATTTTATTTCTTGTTTAAAATAATAACTTTTATTATTATTTTATAGGTGTAAAGATTAACTCTGCTGAACCAAATCTCAATAATAATGTGTAGCAATAATTTTTCTGAGAGTGATTTATTTCACATGGCTAATTGTTTTGTGGCTATCGAACGAATGTCTCCAGAATTTATTGCAACAAAATTATTTAATATTCCTCCATGCTTTGTTTCGCTGAAAAGATTAGCCTCAGAGGAGATAAGGGTATTTATTTTATAATTGCCATTATACCTATTTGTACGAATGTATTTATTAAATTACATGTATTGTATATGTTACTATGTACCTATTATTTTAAACAGAGCATCATGTGTAAGCAGTGATTCAATGTTCTTTATTAGTAAGTTAAAAAATCTTTACATAAAAATGAAAGTAGTATTAATAATTTGATGGTAACTAAAGTGATCAACCAATTCAACCAGTTTATAATTAAATTAAAAGAAAAGGGCAAAATTAACATAAGATAAATAAATGATCCCAGTTATGGTTTAGTAATCTTTGATAAATGCTTACAAGATTTTATTAGAAAAATTATTTTTTATATTCTCTTAAAAAACATTAGCATTAAGTTGTAGAAGATCAGCAATATAAAACAGGCAGTCATAAAGCAGAGGAAGAAATTAAGTCTATCTACTTTCTATTTAAGACTAAAACATTGATTCTATGGTTTAAATTTAAGTAGCATACTAATTTTATGCAAAGAAAGTTGAGATGAAAAATTAGTGCACAATAAGTTGTACATTTGTAATTCTGTCTAACTTTATTTCTACTCAGTTTTAATAAATCATCACCAATTTGTCGTTTATTGTTATCAGTAAGTTTATCGAGAACAATAGGTTTCTTTATCTTGTTATTTATGCAAGAATGACACTTTTCCTCTCCTTCCCTTCATTGGCATCAAATGTTTTCAGGAAAGTTCACAAAGGACTTATAAAAATCATTCATTTAATAATTATTTTAATCAAAAATCAAAGATTAACAATTAAATACATAGAAGCAACACGTGAAAACATTACTGCATTTCAATTCAATTCTTTTCATTTAAACAATATTATTCACTCTTTATAAACGATGTTTTCTATATATGGTGATGGATTGATAAATTATTTAACATTTTCTTAAGTATTGTATTAAACAAATTACAACATCAAACTGTGTTTACTGTTTGCCATACTTTCAAGGAAAGAAAATATTTGTTATGTCTAGTACTAATTGTAATTAAATTTTGTTGCTAGTTGTTAAGTGGAACATTGTGTACTGTTAAATGTAAAAAAATAATTATTAACAAGTTTTTATGCTGCATTGGCTGAAGTTGATTTTCTAATTGGAATTTATATTTATTTTTATTCTTTTATTTACAGCGAATAGTGCAAACCAAAGTATTTAGCAACAATTCCAAAACTTTAGCAGCTGAAAGGAAGTCCACATTTGCACCACAGCTGAAAAAAAAGAGAAGAAAATGGGCCAAATGTTATACATTTGGTAAGAAAAGGAGGCCACAATATAATCAAATCAAAATTATGGCTTCTAAGGTGAGAAATGTACAGAAGTATAAGATTTTTTTAAAATTTTCATTCCGTTGTTAGTTTCTAGCTTTAGTAAATAGGCACTATTAAACACAATAGAGATGTAAAACAAAAATTTGCATAAAGTTTCTACTAGATAAAGATGTAATATTACGGGTGAGTAATATACTGTGCCTTTTGAGAGCTGTTATATCACCATTTACGTATCTATAGCATACTGTTATGTTGTACATCCCAAAACACTTCCTCCTTTGGATAAGTGTAGCACCAGTCTGTTAGCAGGTTGGTGTCTCGTCTGCTTCCTTACAGAATCTGCACGTGCCGTATTTTCTTCAAATGCGCATTTAGTCTGCAGTGTCCTGTTAAGAATCCTGTCAGTGTGTTACTTATTTCATTCCAAAATGGGCTAGGAGGTATTGTTTGTTTCCAATGAGTGAATACCACTATTACCACTTTCATTTTGCCTTTTTGTCTAAGAAGGGGGACCTACCAGTGGTATAGCAACCTCTTCCTTGCAAGGGCGTCATCTCTCTTGTTTCCCTCTACTCCTACCTGCCCTAGAACTCAGCAGAGAGTGGATTTATTTTGTATACCTAATTTTTAAAGTTTATTTTGCAATTCAGCACCATCTTCACATTAAGGATGTTTGAGCATAGTGCTTTTATTGCTACCTGGCTATCTGACATGATAATTATATTCTTGTTTTTGTATCATTTGTTCAAATTTAACTGAGTACATCTCTGTATAGGGTAAAAAATAGAATTAGTGTGCAAAATTTGAATTAATTGACATTATAATATAGTACTTCAAATGCCCAATTAGTCGGCACAGTGTGAAGAATCCTAGTAGGATTCAAAGTTTTTTCCTGCTTCCTTTGATGCACTCTGCTGCATTTTTCCTTTCAAAACATGCTAAAAGGTTCTTGGACGTTTGTGTCTAACGATTGAATTCCACTTTTCTTCAGTTTCATCCTGTCATTTTGTCTGTGAAGGGCTCAGAACAGTGGTATAGCAGCCCCCTTTCCTTGCAAAGGTGTCATCTCTCTTCTCGTACATGTCCTGGAACCCAGCAGAGTTTTATTTTGCATACCAATTTATTTAATTTAGTTTTGCAATTCAGTACAATCTTCAAGCTAATGAATAAAGACCGAATTTTCTTGCAGTAAACCTTCAAAACCTGCTGGGTAAAAAACTCGAAACGTGGAAAAATCTCAAAATCGTGCAAAAAATAGTGTAATAAATATAAAATTCCCATTTAACATAGTAAAAATTTTATTTACCTAATAAAATTAATTATGTCTTAAACATTACTTATGATTCATTGTTATTTTATAGTCAATTGATTATATCAATTTTTAAACCCAATATGCACAAATATACAATTAACTTTAAAAATATACTAGATTAAAAAATTAATATTGTGAAATTTAATATAAATTTGAAATACATTTTGTTCTCTTTTTCTTACTAAAATTAATTTTTATTTGTTTTCATAAAGTTTTGTAGTCATCGAAAACTGGTTCTATCATTGACGACCTACCTTGCACGCAGAATTACAATTTAGACCCTTGATTGAGGATGGTTAAAAAAATTTGGCCATCAATTTTTGGTTCCGGGTTTTTCTGTAGCCACCACTTTGCATATTTGGTACTACAAACTTTAACATGCTTTATTTTTTGGGTGGTTCTGCTTTGCTCCGAAGCCGAAGAAAGATTAGATATGAAAACTGAGAAATATGCACGTGATGGAACAGAGCAGATTGGCAGATGTTGAATATAAAAAAAATTCTTGGAAGATTTTAAGAATTGAAAGTTGAAAACTTTGAGAAATAACAATATAGTAAAGATTTTACCCTCAATTCATTTTCTAAATATTGTAATACCACATAAATGATGTATTTTCACCATCCCACAAAAATGATGTATTTTCACACTGTTTTTATGTATAAAAAATAATAAATATAAAAAAAGAAAAAAAACAATTTTGTGCAGTTTACCGTAAAAACATGCAATTTCATGCAAAATAAGAATAGTGTTAAAAAGTACTTCCTTTCCATGATTTGAATTTCTGACTTGGTTTCATTGCAATCGGAGTGAACAATAAAATGACGCAATTGCACAGGAATCTGGTCTTTTACTTACGTTTGAGCTTAGTGCTTTGGTGGCTGCCTGGCTATCATACATTATAGCTATATTCTTATTTTTGTACCCTATGTTCAAATTGAACTGAGTACATCTCTCATTTGGATAGATTTCACCTGGAAGATATCGGTATATTTTCCCATGGGTTCTGTGTATTTGGTTCCAGTACCAAACACCCCTGCCCCCCGTACATTCTTGCAATCTAATTATATCAGTGCACCAGCAGATGGTCCTGTTTTCAATGGAGAGGTCTTTCCCGTTCTTTTTTGGTACTTAGGTCTGTCCAGAAATTTTGTTTAAATTCAAATATCCCGAGCTGTGTGTTCCTATTAGGATGCTATTATCTCTCCAAGTTAAAGCCTTGTTGAGGTTTCTCTTTATTTTATAGTTGTTAGTTTCTGGCTTTACTAAATAGGCACTATTAAACACAATAGTGGTGTCAAACAAAAAATTACATAAAGTATTGTATTATAAATTTAATTAAAATAGTTGTACAATGTTTATTTTGTTTCCTGTGTACTTTATGTCTAAAGTCCCAGCTCTGATAATTTGTATAAGGGAGTCAGATAAGCACTCACAATAAAGAATTCATATTTTTACAATGCTTTGTATTACATTGTATAGACAAAAGCACAAAATAATCAGAATGTGTTTATTGCAGGATTCTTTCTGTGATGAAAAAATATTCGACACTCCCGAGTATCCTTCTGTTTCTAATGTCTCTTGTGACAAGCAATATCAATCTGTAAGTAATAACCAATTCAGTATTACATTATATTATAAACTCAGCATGGTTATTGTATTATTTAAATAATACACTCTGTGCACCAATGTTTTTCAATTTTTCTCCTCCCGTACAACGAAATTTCGTGCTCCTAGAATGTGTTGTTAAATTTTAATATGCTAATGGTTCGTATAAAATGTTAATGTGAATCCTTTATGAATTATGTTTTTTGTCTGAACGTTGGATTTGCTATCAGCTATGCTAAACATATTTAATATTAAATTATTAGTCTCTGTAGTTTTGCGTCAAGACTGCCGAATAAAAAAATTGGTTCGAAATATTTACTGCGCACTGTTATCCAAAATCAATTTATGTGGTATTTTTTAAATTCTTTTGCAAAAAAAGTTATAATTCAAAATCACCATCTTTATTTTCAAAATTCAACATTTCTAATCTTTAAAAACATACCAAGTAACCAGAAAAGTTTGTGTTTCCAGTTGTTATTGTTTTAATACTATTAATCAACATTTCTGTTTAAGGATGATTAGATGTTTCCAACATGTAATACCAAGAGGATAAAGTCAATTCATAAAGAAAAAAGTCTTGAACAGTTCACTGTAAATTGTATAATATTTTCATTGTCATGGCTTCAAAACGTGATAATTCATGCATACTTACTGTATTAATTTAAGCTCGGTATTAAGGCGGCCAAGGCAGCGCACTGCCCAAAAGTGGTTCAAATAGTTTTCTTCTGGGAATAAGGGGATTGAAGATGTACCACAGTTTGGTATACCTGTCTTGAATGACGGCGAACTGAATGAAGCTATCTAATTAATTTATATAATTATATACTATAATTTTTCACCTCAATGGAAGACCTCCTGCAGCCAGAACGACCAAGGTAGCTTGGTTGGGAAATCCTACCACACCCTCTGTACTCTCCTGGGCTGGCCCCATCTAACTATCACTTTTTCTTAGCAATGGACTATCATATGCACAATCGTGAGTTTGATAATCGCCAACACCTGGATAATAAGCTAAATTTATTTTTTAATTCCTGGGAACAAGGTTTTATAGGCTAGGAACTTGTTGGGAGAAGGGTTATAAGATGCCGATGGAGACTATTTTCCTAAATAAAATATTTCTAAAATAATTTAATTGTGACAATTTTTAAACCATTTAAGCATGCACGAACTTTTCTGGTTACCTGACAGTTGCGATACATGACATTATGACTACAAGTTTTTTGTTTTGTTTGTTTAATAGGCTAGTACTAAAGCTAGTACAGGTACTAATATAACTAGTATGACCACTGAAAGCTCTGACAATGATGAGGTGATAAAGAGGAAATTCGAATTACAATATGGTCTAATTATACCAGAATGCTATGTTAAATTAGATGTACTAAGGCCTGAGAGAGAACAATTCCTTTCTCATTATACACAAACCAGATCAGGTTGTCAGTATGAGGTAAAATGAGTTTAAGCTTTAACATGGTTTAAAATAAAAGTAAGGTGTTGGTATGCGACTGCATGTGGTGTTGGTTTTCAATTATATCTTTGATCGGCTTCTTTAATGGTAATGTGCTACATGACTACCTTCAGAAATCCCTTTAGGAACAATTTTTGATTTCTAGTTGTGTTCATACTGCCGTTTAAAAGCTGTGATATTAGAAAACATGCTGTTATTTTAATGCAATAATTGAAATTGTATATAAACAAGATCGTACTGCTTAAGAATTGGAGTTGGTTTGTTCATAATTTTTACAATGTACAACCTCAATTTTAAAATACAAGGGTAAAGTTTTTTTAAAAATAGCTTTCTAAGTTATATTCTTCCATTTTAAATTGTCTGAAATCATCATTGGATCAACAATAAATTGTGGGAGTGAGACAAAGTTTGAAAGTTTGGTATAAACTGTAATTCGTAACAAGTTAATTAATAATTACTTTTAACAGCTGAACTACTAAAACAATCTTCTAGCATGAGCACCATTATAACACACTAGAGATTTATTTTCTAATTATTTGATTTTATTTAATTTAAATATTTTTAAACTAACACACTACAGATTTATTTTCTAATTTTATTTTATTTAATTTTTTATAAACAGAAAACCATATGTAAAAAATTTGTAAAACGAACTAGACCGGTAGCAATGAAAAAAGAAACCACACATGTAAAAGCTGTAAAAAGGAAGAGAAGAAAGTGGTCCAAAACATATTTACCACAAAAGAAAAAACGTAATCAAACCAAAAAGGCTTTGCTTCAATGTAAAACCGACCTTATGGCTTCCGAGGTTAGAAAGTTATTTACTTTAATATATAATTATTAATTTAACAATATCTGAAATATGTCAAATGAAGTCATGTATAAATATTTGTCAGATTTTGTATTGTTTGGTAGGTAACAACAAAACTACGTTAACAAGTAGCACTACAATATATCATAATCTATATGGCAATGTGGCTTTTTAAATTGTTGTCTATACACTTTTTGCTGCCTAAGAATTTCAATATAATAAATAAGTAAATTTAAAGTTGATATGTTTGTTCCATCTTCACAAACGGAAATTAACTTTTTATTAGTCTAGGTTTATTAATGGTTTTGAATACCTGATATAATTGTAAAACATGTTCAAACATATTTTGGTTGTACACTGTGCTAAGTCATACCTCTAAGACTATAATTTAACAAATATTTTTATCGCCTTTTATAAAGATTGAATGAAATATTTGAATTAGCTATCTAAAAGCAAAACATCTGCAGAATTATTATACCTTTCAAATTAAAATGTGTAATTAAGTGTGTGGAACATTATATAGGTAAATAATTTGAACAATAACATATTCCATATGATTTTTTAGGACAATGATATTAAAATGGAAATATTTAGTGAGAATTCTGTACGCAGTAGTAATGCAGAATGTGTTAACAAATGTACCAAAGAATGTGTATGTATTAACTTTTGTTTTAGTGTTATCTATTTTCAAACTTAATGCTTCTTGTGTGTTAACTGTTTTACAGCATTTTTTTAAACATTTTTTAAAAATAATTTTTCCTCCAACAGGAATTGAAGAATAAATCTGAAGTTGTCAATAAGGATGAGTGCGTTAAGAAATGTGAAGAACTCTGCAAGGTATGCCCAAACATTTTCATACCTCAAATAATATCTGACATGAATTTATGCATTTCAGGACTCAGAAAATGTTGAAAGAAATATTAGTGAATTTAACAGCAATACTGAGTTCATCTTTAATGTAAATTCCTCTGGCAAGACAGGTTTTACAGTAAGTATATCTAATGTATGTAATTATCAAGCAGGTTTATTTTACATTTTAATTTTTTTTTTCAATCAAGATCATAAAGCAATATTTAAAAAAAATAAAATAAAAGTAATCCCCAGTTACATAAAAATTTATTTCTTTGGTGTTACAACGTTAAACAAATAATACAGTATCTGAGGTTAGAAAGTTATTTGTAGCATAAAAACCGTATTCCTGTGCAATTGTTTTATTCCACACTCTGATTACAATGAAAACCAAGCCAGAAATTCAAATCTTGGAAAGGACGTCCTTTTGACACTGTTCTTATTTTGCACAAAATTGCATTTCTTCCTATTTTTTAAATATTTATTGTTTTTTATGCATAAAAAGGTGAAATTATCATTTTTAAGGGAAAGTATTTAGTAAATGAATTGAGGGTAAAATATTTTGTATAATGTACTTTGTTCAAGTTCTTATGATGTCTCGAATTTTCCAAGAGATTTGTTTATGTTCTACATCTGTTCTTTTACTTGCATATTTCTCACTTTTCATTTCTCAATCTTGCTTCGGCTTGGGAGCAAAGCAGAACCACTTAAAAAATAAAGCCTGTTAAGTTCATAGTACAGAATATTTAAAGTGGCTAAGGAAAACCCTGAACCAAAGACCGATGGCCTAATTTTTTTAACACACCACATGCAAGGGTCTATCCAGACTGTAATTCCGTGTGTAGCAAGCCGTATCTTCGATGATGGAATCATTGTTTTCAATTTTATTTTGTACTACAAAACGTTTTGAAAACAATTAAAACTTAATTTTAAGGAAAATGAGAACAGAATATATTTTAAATTTATATTACATTTCACAATATTTTTTTTAATTAGTTTTTTTAAATTTAGTACATTTTTAAATTTAATTATAAAATTTAATAGTATATTTGTCCATATTGGGTTTCAATATTAATATAATTGATTGACTATAAAATAAAACAATCAATCATAAATAATGTTTAAGGCAATAATTAATTTTATTAAATAAATAAAAATTTTACTGTTAAATGGGAGTTTTTTTAATCTTTATTACACTTTTTGCACGATTTTGAGGTTTTTTGCACATTTTGAAGGTTTTTGCTTTAAATTGCTAAATTTATACTTGTCATCTATTTCTGCTAAGGGGACATTATTAAAATTTTGGCAGTTTGATATGCCGCAAAAGTGTCCCCATCAAACTTTCCTTAGCTAATTTATCAGTCTCTTCATTGCCCCTCTGCCCTGAGGATAGTTTAGAGCAGGATGACCGGAAATGTCTGAACTACAGGTTCATCACCTCAGACTCAGACAAACAGAAAATTTTAATTATTCTCTTCCATTTCAGCAATTGAAGAAAGAATCAGTACTTAATGACCCTATCGATCAGTACACTAAAAGTGTACATGACGATGTTAGTTCGTGCCATGATGTGGTAAATATAAACATTTAAAAAAAAAATCTCCAATAATATCTTATATGTAATTTTACATTTCAGAACTCAAATATTGGTGAAAGTGATATTAGTGATATTGAAAACAATACTGCGCTAATTTGTAATGGAAATTCCATTTGCAAAATGGATCCTACTGTAAGTAAATTTAAAATGTCCATTCTTCTTAAATGTGTACAATTTTTATCCAAACATTTTTTCTAAGATAACTTCGTCAGTGTAAACAAATTATGTTTTCTAAATTTCTATTTTTTTCTATTAAATGGTTATTGAGTGTTGATAATTTATTTATTAGCATGACAGGTTGATTGAATGAATAGGTTTGTGACAGAATATAGAGAACCCCATAGGTCCATGAAACTAGGTTTGTTATTTTATCATCATGAAAATTGTATTTATTAGCGTGATAAGTTGAGTGAGTGAGGATGTGTTTGTGGCGGAATATATAGTACCTCACAGACCCTTACCAAACTAGGTGTTATTTTATTGACCTAAATATTTATTAGCATGAGTAGCATGAATCAGTAGGTAATAGGTTGTATGTGTGTGTGGTGTGTGTGTGGGTGGGTGGGTGTGTGTTTGTGTGTGTGTCTGTGTGTGTGGGCATGTTTGTAACGAAATATAGATTACCCCTGAGTAAATATTGTCCGTACAATATATATTCGTGAACTTACATGCATATAAATGGTCATTGGTTTTACTTAAATGTTTGCATTGGTTTTTTCTGCAAATGTTGAATGAGGGGTCAACAGTAGAATATAAAAAGTAATATATTGACCCTGATTTATGTTTGCGTATTTAGTATTAAAGTATGCATGGTTGTGCTAATGTCCTAATTTTTCAATAAGACCTTAGCAGCAAATGTCTAATCTCGGAATGTGTAAGAAATCAATTGCAACCATAGTTACATATCATATAGGTAATTAATTTTAAATGTGTGAAATAATCCAATAACAAAAATGGATATTTTGTTAAATTATAAATAATATAAACTGCTCAAAAATGAATAGAGATATTGGTAATTTATTCTTATTCTAATAATTAAATTAAATTAACTAAATAAAACAAAATAGAAAATACAAACTGAAAACCAACAAATGTTAATCCTCATGTGTAATAATGGATATACTTAAGAATAGTAAAATGAAGATACTCATTTTGTAAACAAACACCTTTTCTAGTCTTTTCTCCTTTTTGATCCAGTCGTATTCTCTGGATAGACATCATTTTGAACCAGAAGTTTGCAATATTGTTGTGAGAATGAGTCATCAAAGTCACTGTCAAGTGGATATCAGAGAGGCAGTTGGCGTTTCTCAGAGTGTGGTCTCCCGGGCTTCAGCCCGATTCTGGGAGAGACTGGAATTACCAATATAGGCCTGGTAGTGGATCTCAGCGCATTACGACGCTAAGGGAGGACAGAAATATTGTCATTGCTGCAAGGCAAACCCTTGCTTTTGTGCCCGCAAGATCCTAAATGAAGTACAAAATGTTTTGGCAAGGCCTTTATAATTTTATTTTATTCGTAATCGTTTGTGGGATGTTGGCCTCACATTGCATGCCCCTTTGAGACGACCTGTACAACAGCCCGCCACTAGTAACTCAGGAGAATATGGTGCAGCGAGCACCTAGAAGAGAACACCAATTGGAATGCTGTTATGTTCAGTGATTTGCATTTCTGTCTGTGTAGTGATAGCAGACGACAAAGAGTCTACCGAAAACAGGGGATGCGTACAATACCCCAGTTCGTGCTTCTTTCAGTGCAGTTTGGAGGAGGAGGTCTGGGCAGGGATTTACACTGGTGGGCAAACTGGACTCCATTTGTTGAAGGCAACCTCTCTGTAATACATTTGTCCACGAAATTATCGAGGAATACATCCCTCAAACCAGGGATCTCATTGGCAGGGATTTTCAATTTCTGGATGACATTGCCAGACTTCATAGAGGCAGTTGTTGTTCATTAATGTGTAGAATACCTGGGAATTTCTATTCTGCCTCTGCTCCCATTATTTTCAATCCTCAATCTCCTTGAGCAGACGTGGGATGCATTGCAGAGTATGCTTTTCGATCACCATCTGCAGCCAGTTGATCTGCAACAAATGAGTGTAGCGTTGCAACATCTATAGAGTGAACTTCCTTATAAAATTAGTGACAACCTTATTAACAGTATGCCTGACAGGTACACAAACGACATTATACACAGTATTAATTGTTTAAAAAACTATTGTGTCCTATAAACAAAGTTATGGAATTAAAACCTTTTATTTTGTTAATTTTCAAAATCCCTTAATTAAATTTTCCTTCAGTAAAAAACATAATTTATAAATTTTAATGCAATTTATAATAAATATAAAATAAAAATGCCAGGGAAAGTAAATACTGCAAAATTGGCAATATCCCTATTCATTTTTGAACAGTTAATTTTTATGGTATATAAAGTTCATGTTTAATATTGCATCATAGAACTAACATTTGTCTTTCGTTTCAATCAGGGAAATGACATTGATTTGGAAGATCCAAGTTACGATCATTCTGATCAAACCAGCTGTGTATGTATTATTTTTGTCTAGAAAACCATTTTTTTATTTGTTTTATTATTAATTTATTATATGTATATGTCAAAATATAGCCATAATACAACAAATCAACTTCAGTACAAGATAGTTGATTTATTATTTTGTTGTACTATTTTGTTATTAGTTGATTTATTATTAACATTACATTTGAATATAATTTTTTTAAAGACATTTTTGTATAATATTATCATCTTACTTTTTAGGACGATGATAATCAGGTAGAAACAGCTATTGATGAACCAGACAGAAATGTTGAATATGTTAAAAATACCGAAGAATTTGTAAGTATAATTTTACATTATTTGAGTTAATGTGTTTGAATTGATAAACAAAATGTTTACAAATATTTTTGGTCCAATTAAACTAAGTTCATATTAATGTGTGGAACAGTGAGTTTTGTGAGGCAATGAAACTGTAATTTGATCTTTCCAATCATCCTGTTTATGCCTATTCTTATCAGTTTTGTCTGTCAGATTCCTTTTTTGAGGTTTGTTGGAAAATCATCGAGAGTAGGCTGACCAAGATGATAAGGGATGATCAATCTAGGAATTCAAGTTAGTTGATAAATTATTGGCGTAATCTATAAATATATCTTACATAGTAATAACATTCTGTTTCATTTTCATATTCAATATTTTAATTTTTTAGGATATTGATAGTATGACATAAATAGTTAGTAGTGATGTGTCAAATAATCTTGAATTTGAGGAATATGCTTATAAAAGCATCATAGACTATGTATATATCTATGTAACTATAACTATGTGTATCATTTCTATTAAAAACAGTAGATATTTTTGTATTTACACTATTTGATAAATTAGTTTATGTGGAAGTTAAAGTACTGACATCATGCCCATTACTCATTGTCTGGTGAATTGTTAGAAAAATCAGGTTTACTTGGGGGGAAGGGAAAACAGGTTATTTTAAATAGTTATTTTTTTTTAAATATTTTTTCTCCGGTCGTCACCTCATGGTTTTTGTTTTTAATTATTATTATTGCTAAAATTTGGCTCTCCATTATGAGGGCCTGGCGATCTTAAATTTTTTATGGAACTTCTGCGGCTCTATTTTAATTTTAAACTGGCCCTTCCACAAGTGGTGAGAAGGCATTTCAACTCATGCACATATGCACATACATATATGCGGTGACCTAATCTAAGTTTGGGGGGCTACTGAATATTCTTCTGAGGACCCAATCAATTCATTCACACTGACTAGAAACTTTTGTACTATATGTACAATTAACAATTTAGGAGTCACCAGGGTTTTACACCAGCCTCGCTCACAATAATTCTAAAAATACATAAAACTAACCTAGGTTGGTGGGTTTGTGGGGTAGTGTATTCCGCCCCAAATCCACTCTCTTTCTCTCTCCCTCCCTCCCTCCCTCACTCCCTCCCCCCCTCCTCCCTCTCACTCACTCGCTCCATTGATCATACTAATAAATACAGTCGTTCAGTACAATAAAATGACTAACATAGTATAGGAGAGTCTGTGGCTACTCTATATTCTGCCACAAAACCGCATACTCTTAACCAATCATGCTAATAAATACATTCACTCAATACGATAAAATAACTAACCTAGTTTGGTGCTATCTTCGTGATTATTATTTTGAACTTGAAAATATTATCTCACCGTACTCAGTTGCATCACTTTAAATGCATAATAAATTAATTTATATAAATAAAAATAAAGAAAGAAAATAAAATTAAACAAAAAAATTTTTATGAATCACAATGACATGTTGAAACAAAAGTGAACAAGGGTCTGTTTTATGGGCGACTCATCACTGGAAGGACCCAGTTCAAATCTCAGCAGCCAGTATACTTCCAAATGGGCTTTTTTTTAAATACTCTAATTTCATGTGTTGATATGGCAGCATAGTTGCAAAAAAATTTTTAAAAAATATGAAGTCAATCACATATTTCTGCAGTTTTGATAATAAAATAGTTTCATTTTTTAAATATCATGTGAATTTTTAGGTCACTGATATTAAAATGGAAATATTTAGTGAGACACACATCAGTGATGCACAATGTGCTACTAAATCTACCAAAGATTATGTATGTATAAACAATTATTACCTATTTTCAAATTTAATGATTAAAATTACTTTTCTTGTGTGTTAATATCATTATTTATTGTACATCATATTACATATTCCAATGCAAATGCTTTTTCCCCAGCAGAAATTAAAAATTCAATCTGAAGTTGTTGGCCTTATAGATGAGTGCATTAATAAATGTGAAGAATTGTGCAAGACTGTGGTAAACGAAAACATTTTCACATCTCAACTACTACTATATCTAACATGCTATTTGTACATTTCAGAATTCAAAAAATGTTGAAAGTGACAATATTAGTGATTTAGACATCAAGACTGAATTAATTTGTAATGGAAATTTCTCTTGCGATACAGCTTCTACAGTGAGTAGTATATCTAATAACACAAGCAGCATGTTTTTTCACATTTTCAAATTAAGTTATATTATTTTTCGTCTTACAAGGAGAGGGTACGGACATGGGATTACAAATTTTATTAAAACTTTTTTGGGTAATACTAGATCGAATAATATTAGGCACAGTTCTGGGTGTTCTTGCCTGTCCCCAAAGTACTGCAAAAATTGAGTAATTTACATAGTTTTTCAAATAATTTTTCTGCCTGTGTTGTGCATGTATTTTAAGGTTATTATATATCATTCATTTTTTTTAATCTATGGTAAGCAAATAATGTGCAATATTTTATTCAATGAGATAAACTATGTGTGAAAAGATAAAAAAAAATACTTGTGCTTTGAAGCCCTTTCCTTAATTCCCACGTCGCTTGTTCACATATTTTGTATTTCAAATCTGCAATACCTATGTTGCCACTTTTGACGTTCTGACTTAGCGACTTAGCAAAGCAGGAAAAAATGTTATTCATTTTTCACATCCTCATAAAGCTCTGAATGGAAAGAAAATTGCCCCTGGTGAATCCAGCCCAAACATTCTATTTTTTTCCTTTTTAAATTAAAATTCATATTTAAGAGTGAATATTAAAGGATGCTTAAAAAAATCCATTTTTTCCAAAATAAGTTTTTTTTCCTACTTTGCTGGAAACATCTTGGTTTTTGTAACTTTTTATATATTTTGTCTCATTTAATACAAGTGAACTTTTGTGTGTTTATTTCTTATGTAAAAAACAAATTGATATATAACAATCTTGTAAAACATGCACAACAAAGGCAAAACATATTTTTAAAAATTACACAAATTAAATAAAAATATATGTCTTGGTTCCTAGGGTCGGTCCACAGGGTGGCAAGAACATTCGGACATGGGTCAAATATTTTCTAGTTAACACATATCTGTTGCCTCCCCTTGTTTAGATTGTTTTAGATTATCAACAACATTTTGTTAAAAAAAAAATGAATTACTAATTAATTATGAATATATATATTTAATAATAATACTATTTTAAATACGGCTATTTTCTCACAGCAGGTACTGAAGAAAGAGCCAGAAGTTATTGACCTTATGGATGAGTGCGTTAATACATGTGAAGAATTTAATTCCTACCAAATCATGGTAAAAAAAAATATAAAAAAATCATATAAAAAATATGTCATGTGTATTTGTGCATTTCAGGATTCAAAAACTGTTGACAGCGATATTGGTGAATTTGACAGCAATACCGAGTTAGTTTGTAATGGAAATTCCGTTTGCAATACAGATTCAATTGTGAGTAAATCTAATATACACACTGAGAATGTTTATTTCAAATTTAATTATTTGTTCACTAAGATAAAGATTAGATCAATTAATTATACTTTTTATCTAAAGTCTTGGTTGTGATGAAAAAGTTAGAGTCATGAGCAGGATTCGAACCAAAAGGTCAATTATGACCGCTAGACATAGATTAGTAGAGTAAGACCCAGTCTCTTCACAACCTGCACATCGCGAGTAGTATTGGTTGAAATCTCCAATGTTTTCTAGAGCGCCTCATTAAGCTTAATGCTTTTATCAGATATTTTTCAAGAACTCCCATGTGTATCCTTCAGGTCTGGGCTTTTCCTATTCCAGGAATCGAGGCCTACATAAGCCTTCTCACCAACAGATGACTGTTCCGTTGTATCTTCTTCTTCCTGTGAAATATTTGCACAGGCCTGTTTATGCTGCACCGAGTTATATGCCCATAGTGTCCAGTTAGCATTCCCAACTATTATTCCAGTCCTAACACGTCCTAGATTTAGTAAGTCTGCCGATAGTTTCTGCAATGGCCCTTGACGAACTTCTCATTGAACCAAGGACTTATTTTGGCAGTTTGGTGTGCCACAAAAGGGTTCACGGCCTATCTATCGGTGTTTTCATTAAACTATCCTTGGCCAATTTATCCGCCTCTTCATTGTCCCTCTGCTCTGTGTGTCCTGGTACCTAGATAAGGGTAATTTTGTTGTTTTCCTGTTTTTTTTTCTTTTTTTTTCTTTTTTTTTTTTTTTCTTGACTAAGTAATGAAGCTAATAAATACAATTAATTTGTTTAAAAAAAAATTGAAAGAATCCACTAAATTTAATGTAATTATTTTAAAATGGACAACATATTAAAATAAGAATGTACCTTAACATTTTTAAACCATAACATGCAGACTCTTATTAGCATCTTTATTCTTATAAATAAAACTATTTTTTCACCAGCCGGAATCGAAGAAAAAGTCAGAAGATATTGACCTTATGAATGAATGTGTTAATACATGTGAAGAATTTAGTTCGTACCAAATCATGGTAAAAATAAGACATTTTCATAACTTAAATAATATATAACATGCTATTTGTGCATTTTAGGGCTCAAAAAACGTTGATAATGATGATATCAGTGATTTAGACAGCAATGCTGTGTCAATTTGTAATGGAAATTCCTGTCGCCAAACAGATTCTTCAGTGAGTAACTCTAATATACATATTCAGTGTGTTTTATTTCATTTTTTCAATTTGATTTATTTCTTGACTAAGAAGTGAACAGCAATTTATGTTAAAAAAAATCTGTCAATTTTGATACAATTTATTTAAAATGAACAACTGAAAATGATGAATGAAGAATGAAAACTGATGAAAATAAGAATGCAAAACATATTTTTGATTATGTAAAGTGTGATGTAAAGTTGCTGAGGCCTATACTTGTATTTAAATTGTTTTTATTGTCATCCTACATTACTAGTTGACTTGAGTCTTAAACCATTATTACCATAATTGAAACACTTATTTCTCATTATTGCAATCTACAATGAAATGTTACCAGGTAACCAGGAAAGTTCGTGCGGTTTTCATTTGTTATTGTTTTAACTGTTAATCAACTTATCTATTTATATAGAAGGTTTGCATAACGTAATACCAAGAATGTGTCAGTTCATAAAGAAAAAGTGTCTTGAGCAGCTCAATGTAAATTATTAAGTATTTTCTTTATCAAGGTTTCAAAAACCATAATTAATACATGCTTATTGTATGTATTTAAGCTCGGTATTAAGGCGGCTGAGGCAGCTCGTAAAATTTGCACTGCATTCAGTGATGAAACGATAAGTGAGCACTGATTCAAAAGTGATTCAAAAAGTTTGCTTCTGGGAATGAGTGGATTGAAGATGAACCATGATCTTTAATGACAATGAATTCAGGGAAGCTATCAAATTGATTCAAGTCAAACAAGTGTTCAACATAAGCGAATGAACCATTTGCTCTAACTTACATCGACTTGGGAAGGCATGAAAGCTGATGCTTATTACTGTTGGTCAATTTATGAGAAACACACTGCTGCACTAATTTCTCTGGTTTCCTGGTATATTATTAAGTTAAATTTAAGAGTTTCCATTCTTGTTAACACTCATCTTTAAAATATGAATACCTGTAATAATTATTTTTGAAAGCTTACCTTTTTAGAAAAGAAAGTAATATTTAAAAACTACCAACACTCACAGCTGTTGATAATCATTTTGTGTTTTCAAATATTTATTATATTATTCAACCTTCTAGGTCTCACCTCATTTAGAAACATTTAATGTGTTAAGTGAAAATTTCAATGAAGAAAATTCTCAATGTCTAAAGGATCAAAATGTAAGTTGCAAATAAATAAAGATTAGAGAGAGAGAACAAAAAATTTTACACTTTATGTTGGGTCTGTTATAGAGTGCGGAAAATGAGACACAAATGTTGTTCAATACTTCTGAGTATGCTACCACTGAAGATGAATATCCATATTCAAAACAATATCAACCTGTAAGTTCTAATAATATTAATAACAAATTATGATGTTTTACAATTAATTTTGTTGTATTAGAGAGATTCTAAAGCTATCATGATGTTTAAACAAAACAAAAATTTGGTAGCCATTTCACAACTATAATTAAAAACATTTATGACCCTCACAAAATATTTTCATGCATATATTTACATATAAAGATACTAGGTCTTCAGATTCACATTGTGCGCAACACTTGCTCAGATAATTAATTTCATAGGCCAATAAATAGGGCGCTTGAAAAGATTGCGCATTGTTCACCGTCTGTGATATAGCTCTTGGCAGAATAATAGAACTAATATTTTATTGCTTGATTTTAGAAGCTTTTGCTTAATTTTTTTTCTGGTGGCGGAGTGGTTAGGGTCTGACTTGTATTTGCCATGCTAGCGGTTTTGGGTTTGAATACCATAGAGCCTATGACTTTTTTATTGATTATAGTATGAAAAATGTATTGTAAAGTGGTTTGCCCCTTGACCATGATGTACATTTTTAAACTTTTCTGTATGACAGGAATTACTTTACTTTCACTTAATACTTTTAATAATTTTTTTGTTCACATCCAAGTGAACTTTTACAACAATTATATTGAGAGTTTAAGACCCCTTGTCTATTAACTCATAAATTGAGCTTCCCATGTTTTCATTATGGATAAAATTATCATTAGGCATATTTATAATTTATTTAAAAGAATCACTTCTCTTTATTTTCTCTAAGTAATCAGAGTAGGTAGCATTTGACATTACTTTCAAACAAGTGATGCACCAGACTTGTTTTTGGCATAGACGACGACCATTTTAACAGTATTTCCAAAGGCTCCTGTAAAGTCTTTTTATTTCTATGAGATTAAATGTAATATCAACCAGCTTCAACATTTTTTACACCAGCATTTATAATTTTAAATAGAAAAATAATCAATAATATAGAAATACTAATTGTATGAAAATTTTAAAAGGGTTAGATTAGTCAAGTGTGGTTCTAACTTCTTGCGTGTGTAAGTAATTAACATGTTGTGCCGAGCTATTAAAAAAAGAGCTTAATTGTTGTTAATTGCTAATTAATTTTGTTTGGTGATTAGTGACCGTTAGTCGATAATTATTCAGAAATCGTGAGATGCGGTCTGGTGTGATGAAGGTTTCAGAAAAACATTTTCTGAAACCTACATCTCACCAGACAGCATCTCACGATTTCTGAATAATTAGCTAATTAATTTGTTTTATAAATCATCATGTTTTAAAATTTAAGAATAAAATTAAATTATCGATGAAAAGTGGTTATTGAAATGAAATGCAGATTTACATATTTTGTAAATATTACTGTGTTTATAAACTGCTGGACAAATGTTTTATATAAAATTCCATTATTGTTATATTATCAAATTACGACCTACTGTGCTATTATTTTTTATGGATTTGTTGTAAATCAACTCTTCTGCAACAGGAAAATTTCCAATGAATTGCAAAAACAAGCTTAACAAAGTTTTAATTAAAATTTTAAGAATATTCAGTTATATATTATATTGCACTGGTAATAGCAGAAAGCATCCTTGGCATTGAAATCACAAGGCTTTAAACATCTCTGATGAAATCCCATTCCATTCTTAAATAAGTGATAAGAGTAGGTAGCTCATGCTCTAGTGCATTCCAGGCGAAGTTTGAAACGTCTCCCAAATTCAGGAATTCGTAATGGAACAACCAAACAATTTGCGACATCTTGTAGGCACTCGAGGACAGCTCAAGCAGTGTGACATCAAGCATTGTCTCACTTTAATAAAAAAATTATCCCTGATTTTTTTGAACAATGGTAAAATATCTGAATTTATTACCTTTTAAAATGTGCAGGTCTGTTCTGTCCATCAAAAGTTGTCCTCATATTATAACCCGACCTTCACCAAAACTCACTCGTAAAGATATAATAGCCCCTTCATATCTCTTCCCGTGTCGTCTTTACATTCTTCCTTACATCTGAAGAGAATAGAATGAATCATTGTAATAAAACAAACGAACGGTTTAGTAGACACTATTTCAAATTTTATATAATTATTGATTTGGGATACGATACAGAATTTTTCCAAGGGTCAAAGATCATTTGTATGAATCTACATAAACAAAAACTTATAATAGAATTGTAACTTTAAGTTAGTAAGTAGTAACTTGATAAATTATCATTTGATATTTTATACAAAACTTTTGCCAGCAATTTGTGTATATATATCCATATACATATATAAATATTAAATATTAATATATTATTAATTAGGGTTTTGGTGCAGAAAAAAATGATGATAATGACTACTATTCAAGTGATAATATTTGTTTAATAAATGTTCAAGATAATGAAGTAAGTCAATACCAAAAGGAAAATATAATCTATTATTATGAATTATTAATAATTAATTATTTTAGGCAATAGAAACTAGTTTGGAAACTCTCATTAAATATAATGTTGGATGTTGTGATCAAAATAGTTCATCGTTTTTAAAGGTTTGAAAATTAACTCTTGTTAAACATTAAGGAGAATAGCATTGTTAAACGAATCTTAATATTGTGCTTATTTTAGAACTCAGAAAATGGGACACATGCATTGCCCAGTACTGAAGATTATTCTAATAATTTTCTATTAACAACTTACGATGAATGCTCAAACAACACCCAAATGGAAATTGTAAGTATTAATTAATAATAGTTTTTGTATTTTTTTTTCTATTTAGGTACAGCTCATGATAATAAATAGAGATGACAATTTAAAGTAATAATAACTAATTTAATAAAATAATTTGTTTATTCAGATCGGAACAATTGTACTTTGCAAATAAATTTTTCAATCTGTTAATATGACTAGTGAGAAAATTAAACTAAATTTAGATTGGTGTCAGAATCAGACAATGCTGGACGAGCTTTTCTGTAACAACTTGATATTTTGGAAGGTCATTTGGTTTGCCATATGTTCTAAAAATGTTGTATTTTGCTTTTAGGATGAAAAGGAAAAATTAAGAATAGATGACATAAATGTTATGTTTTCAATGGGGCAGTATTCCAACTATAACAAAAGCATTGAACAGCAAGGTATTGACATGTCACCATTCTTGTCATCGAAAAATGACACTGATGTCAAATGTTTACATACTGGCAATGGGGAAACATCCACACACCAACATTCAGTGTGTCAGGTATTTAAAAAAGAATCATTTTTATTCACACTTTGTTTACTGATTACTGATTTAAATAAACTCAAATTTGCGCTGTTCACATGCATATACAAACATAGAGTTGAGCCTATCACTTCAGTCCAATGGCAATTCCAGCTTTTATAATTCACAATATATTACCACCAGGCCTCAATGCCAAGATTTAGAAGGGCTGGGTACCAAGAAAATGTGCATATGGAAGGGTGTTGAAATGGAGGAGACGAAGAGGTAGGAACAGGAAGGCTGGGCGGTGAGGGAATTTCAGCGACATTGGGCCCAGATAAATCCTGATCTAAAGGTGAATGTGAAGGGGGTTGATCCAAAGAAGATGCAGGTAGCGGGGGGGCAGAGATGTCAACGATAGGCATAAACAAAACACTCTACCTGAGGTGACTGACATACCGGGGTTTAAGGACATAATTGTTTTTGGTAAAATATTTCACAATCCTCGTTCTTCTTCATCTTCAGTAAAATCGTCTTTGATGTTGGTGTAGTCCAATTCCTAATCTTAAAGTTTTCAAAGCTTTTCTTCCTTCGTTCAAAAAGTACACCTCGTCATTTATATTTTTTGTCTATTTGGAGGGGGCTGCTGATCTGGAAAAAAATTGAAATAAAGAAAGAGCCCAGCTTGACTCCACTGTGGAGTCATCCACATTGAATGTGTTAAACACAATTGTCAAAGGGTGGCTTACTCAACATGCTGGACATGTGCACTGGCTTTGGCAATAGGCTCGCATGTCTTATCCATAATTGGGTGAGGATGACCCTTCTTCTACGAGTCAAATCCTCTGAAGGTCCCCTATCGACAGTGCTCTTGATACATGAGAGCTTCTCTCCCGATCCGGCCCACTGACACTGCCACATTCTTTTAATCATGTTTTTCATGTATTTTTAGCATCAAAGGGCTGGATTGGATTACACTTTGTTTCTTTATGGTATAAACCTTCTTTATACAATATTACTTCTTGAAGATAAACAAATTAATATTTACAATTATTAATTAATTATTATTAGGGTTTATAATATAACTTTATTTAAGTTCATATTTCATTAGCTCTTTTTTCTTCATTAGTAAATGATTATAAAAAATGTTACAGGACAGAATATCACAACCTGAAGAAAGCTTAGTTACCAAAAATGATAATCAAGAGATTCAAGATCAGTTAGAAGGTTTTAATAAATCCACTGAATATGATTACCAAGTGAATTGTGTCTCTACTGTAAGGAAGACTGTTTTATATTTTCATAAAATTTCATAAAAATATGAACATTTATTTGAATTCGTTTATTTTTAGCTCAACTCTACTCTTCCATTCGTTGATGACATTCCACTAGGAACGATTCCTAACTTTCAAAATTCAGACTGTATTTCATTAAAAAGGTCTATTTTCCCAGCGGCGTCGATGTGTTGTGATTGTACTTCGATACTTAATTTTCAAGGCAACGATGAGTATGCTTGCCGATTTATTACGTTCAGGAAGTTTTTTTATTACAACAACACCACAGCTTGTACATTTTTTGGCTGTAATGATGAAATAAATAAGGTAATTATTCTTTAATTAATTGAACGTTAACACGGGATAAAAGGAATTAAATGGTTCTGATGTTTGAAGATAGTTGCAAAGGGCAATTTTTAATTTATCTTTTTAAAAAATGCATAATAAATTTCATTATTTTAGTTTTGAAATAAAATAATTAATCAACGAAGAAAATGAAAAAAGTTTGGAAAACAAAATGAACTTAAACATTTTCTCACAAATGTTGCTAGATTTTTTGTTAGAAATTATTATATTAACTAATGGTAAACTTAATAATACACACCTTTATATATAATTTCAGGAAGAATTGGATCTTCTAACTAATGTGCCATTACAAAAGAAATCTATAAGTTTCTATGAGACATTCCACAAAGGAAAATATATATTGCCTAAGTTTCTAGCCCTATTGCAAGAGGAAGTTGATCTAACTTTTGGTTTGCAGCCAAAATGTAAGTACTGATAACTTTTCCTTATGTTTTGTTTCATTTACACATGTGTGTCTTATATTTCAGATCTCAGAAAGTTCACTGGAAACTATAGAGATCTTTGTGATTCTTGCTCTACGACTGTCTTCAATAGGCATTGGGTGTGCAAATATTGTGCCTTTGTCGTTTGTTTACATTGTTTCAAGGTAAGAATTTTGCCTTTTTTACCTTATAAATTTTTAAATTCAGTTAGTCTTAATTTGTGTGATTATTTTGAAAGAAAAAGGTTAATAGAATGTGTGAGATTTATTCATTTTTAATCTATAATTTGGTCATTTCAAATCATTTCCGTCTGCCTATCCACGCCAGTTTTGCATTTCACCATCTTCAAAGTTGGGTCTGAATGTCCCACCAAAGAGCAGGATAGGCAGACAAAACCATTCCGTAACGACCAAACTATAGGCTCATAACCCTGCCGACCACAAACTGATGTTTATTTTTGTTTTCAGGACTTTAAATTATGCCAAGAAAATAATAGAAGGTTTAAATGCCATTGGGACGTTTGTTCAGTCGGTGTTATTCATACTGTTAAATTCTTTGTGCTATGTGAAGTTATTCCTCGAGCGTATTTAAATAATTTAGAAGCCCGTTCAAAATTAATTATGCCTTTGCTCTCTGGTAAATCCATTGATTACTTCAAACTGTTCAGAAATGTAAATAACATGTTCGGAGAATGTTCTAAACCTGATGTAAATTTATTACCATTCACCGGCGGCAATGTCGAGGCAGAATTCAAAGCTGAGGACGTGACACCGGCAGACCTTGAAATTGATGAAGCCGAACTAAATTTGGTATGGTTTTTTTTATATTTTAATTCAAGATAATTAAGTGATTTAACAATTAACTTTTACTATTGCTCACTACATTATTAATTTATTAATAAAACAATTTTTGAGATAATAGAAACTTTTATTTAGTTTTGAGTTTCTAATCTTCATTTATTGATTTCAAAATGTTTTCTCATACCAAAATTAATAAACTTATTCCTTAATTGTAATTATTATTATTTTTGTGTAGTTCATTTCATTTGTGAACTTAGTTGTATAATGTTACTATTTATTTTAAATTATAAAAAAGGGAAAAAATGATGAGTAGATAAGGATTTAAATATTCATTCTGTTTCGATTATTTTATACAATGCTATTGATTGCATTTATTATTTTGTAGAGTGGAGTTCCCTATTCATTGATGTGCAACAAAAGAATAATACGACTCGAAGACCCTTCCCACCCCGGAAATAATAAAATATTCCAGGTAATTTTACAATCAGTACAGAGTAGAATTTTCAAATTTTTCAATTCTTACAAACTGGTAAAAATTATAGCAGTAGTAGTATTATATATTATTTGTGGACTGACTAACATCTAAAGGTCATTCACAATCCTCTGCGCTTGAAACAGAAATTTCTCCATCTGCAAACTTCTCGAGGTTACCTCAGGTTGTCAAATTACAATTTTTAAAAAAAAAGGAAAGAAAAAACTAACATTGTTTGATTGTGTGTAATTCTTTGTGAGATACCATCTCCTCTGGTCTAGAGAACAAAGAGTATTGCTTGGGTGCATTCCTAGAAGTAGCACAGGCTTTTGATAGGGTCAAGCACCTACCTGGGCATGATTTATAAACTTAAATGATTCCTACCCATTCCTATTATTGGGTGGGGATACTTTAAAAGGGAGGCGTTCGTCATCAATTTTCTTGATTTGTAATGAACTGACAGTATATTTATTTTGGATATCAGATCGAGAAGAAAATTAAAGACTAGTAGAAAATTTAATTTTTTGTTGTGTTGAACCAATTCCCCTTAGTGAAGAAACAATTTGAATATTTGGGAAACCTAATTTTTGGAAGCATTAATTTATTATAAAATCAGTCTGAGTGGTAGTATTTAAAAAATGCTCATGAAATATAAGGATGACCATTCTTATTATATGCAAAAGTTGAGTGGTCAATAATAATATCTACGGGAGAAGGATCAATTAAAATTCCCCCAGAAGTAGAATACTGTACTATTTCTTTTGGAAGTTTTAAGGTATTAGGGGGCTTAGTTGTACAATAAATAAGCTGGGTGAAATTTAAAGTGGAATGATGTCGTTTATAACAAATGGTGCAGGACATTTTAGATTTACATTTCTAAGTCTGATGGCGTTGCGATAAGCAATTGATACATACTTTTTTATCCTTTGCTAATTTAAACCTCTCTTCAGGAGTAAGATCTGAAATGAAAACGAACATGCATGATTTTAAATAAATGCTGCACAAGAGTACAAATGAGTAAAATTTACATATAATATCCAGTAGATTCTAGTTATCTGTGGGGGATACATACCAAGCATCACTGTATGTAACAAGAACCATGGATAATTGGAAACACCTCAAATTTCATGCTTCAAAGCATTTTATTCTATCTGCGTTGGTATTGATTTGTATCAGACTTTATGTATTGTGTGTATACATGATCCCGGAAATGTTTTATAACATCGTATACAATACAACAGACTGCAAAGAAGAAAAAGAAATCAGGAGGAAATCAAATACAATGATATGATATACAGAAGGAATATGAGCAATTAAACTCATTAGGGAAGTACACGTCGGTCTTTCAAGCAGAAATACATGCCATCAATGTTTGTGCCCTGGAAAATTTTAAAGGTTACACTGGCAATAAAATCCTCAAAAGATCTGATAGCCAAGCAGCTATTAAAGGATTACTATGTAAAAAATCACATCAAAATTAGTCAATGCATGCATAGAAAATCTCCAAAACCTGGGCAAACACAACAACCTGATATCTTGGGTGCCAGGACACAAAGGAATATCGGGTCTGCGGGGAAAAAAGCAGACACACTGCACGAAGGAGGATCTGCAAGACCGTATATAGGCCCTGAACTTATTCTTGGGATAACAAAGAAAACACAGAATCCTCCATTGCAGAATGGATCCAAAAAAGACAAAAAGAGAAGTAGATAAATTCTAGTGGCGCAAGGCACAGTAAACTCATTGCTACACTTCAAGAGGGCTAAACTCAGAAGAGTGATGATATTAACCGGTCACTGGCATCTGAGAAAACATCTTCACAACATGGGCATATTCAATTTATGTAGTTTATGGAATGACGAGGAAGAAACTGCCACCTGTATCACCTTCAAATGGGAAGCAACTGCTCAATGGAGATATAACCTGGGGTACAAAGAAAACACAGGGAAATGAATTGAAATGACAGTCAATAACCTAATACTTCTTAAGAAAAGGATCGAGTCAATTGCACTGAAAGGAACTAGGAAACTATCGGGTTGTCCGGAAAATAATGCAGGATTTTAAGTTTTCATTAAAAAAAATCTATATAAAATATTCTGTTTACGTTTACAGGATTACTCATTTGTATGNATTTTGATTAAAGAACATTGCTTTAAAGTAACTAGTTTCTTTTTTTTTGTTTAATACCAAAATCCTGCATTATTTTCCGGACAACCCAATACAAATAAGCTAGAAGGCTGCTTGGGGTGCTTGGGGAACAAAAGTCCCTACTTCCTAGTTTCATCATTATCATCATCATATAACATACATGTCTATCGTCAATGTTATATACACATATTTTTCCCCCTATAAGAAAGATAAAACAATGTTCAGTAATATACATAAAATTTAATCCATGCAGGTTTCCCATTCTCCTCTTGACCTCAATTGAAGAGGGGGGGGGGCAAATGAGTGAAAACACTTAAAATAATAGTCTACTACAATATAGTTATTACATACTGTAACATTCAATCATCAATGCTGATGATCTAATTTTCAATAGTTTCAACATTTGTACACCTTATTTTGTGCATAAATGTACAATACAAAACCGTAATTTATTACATTATGTCTTGAAATATTGCATAATTAATATATAAAAAATTTAATTGATTTATTTGTTTGTTGATAGAAATATTGGCGACTGGGGCTACCGATTGTGTTCTCAGGTTTGGAAAAAAAGCTGAAAAATAATTTATGGAAGCCATCTACATTCCTTAAAGAGAGTGCAGAAGATGATACGGTTGAGGTAATAGACAGCCGCACTGGAAAAGCATTCACACGAAATGTAAAAAAATTTTGGAATGGATTTTCAAACGAGCAAAAGAAAGAAATAGATGAAAATGGACTCCCATATTCATTTAAACTAAAAGATTACCCTAGTACATCTGATCTGAAGGATGTTTTCCCCAGAAGGTACGTACTTTACTAAATAAATTTTGTCATTTTTATTCTAATTACTATTTAACTTAATAAAAAAAAAATAAGGATATAATATACGAAGATGAAGAATGATCATTTCATTCATAGTTAGCATTTTGAAGACATTTTATATTTTGAATTGTGTTAGGGGGGGACTTTCTTTTGTGTGAATTAGATTTGTTCATTTACATAAATTAATTTTGAAAAAGTAAGTGTTGATTCACATACCTTTGTACATTGACAAAGAGACTAATATGGAAATATTCCATTGGTATTCTAATCCCTAAAGCTCACAAATCTCCCAACCCATATCCTCCTACAGACCCATTAGCCTTCTTCCTGCAATGTCCAAAGTCCTCGAAAGACTCCTTTTAAAGCACTTTATACCCATCCTAGATACTTATAAAACCATTCCCTCTCATCAATTCAGCTTCCATCCTCATCATTCCATGATCCAACAAGGTTTCAGAGTTGTCAACACCATCTCCTCTGCTCTTGAGTACAAAGAGTATTGATTGATGAGTGCATTCCTAGTTGCAGCAGAGGTTTTTGGTAGGTCTGGCACCCGGGTATGATTTATAAATTTAAATGCTTCTTACCCATTCCTTATTATCTTATCCTGAAATCCTAGCCAACTGACCACTGCTTCAAATGGAGGTGCAGCAACGAGTTCTCAGAAATCAATTGGATACAAGCCGGCGTTCCACAAGAGAACATTCTCAGTTCCATCCTTTATATAGATGATATATAATTCTGATATTTCTACACATCACAATACAATTTTGACTTCTAACTCAAATCCTATCCAAGCAGGACATTCAATAACACCTTGCGCTTATTGAAGACGTGCAAAAAGTAGAGGACGACTGAATGAAAAAACTGTACACAATGTACATTCTCATTGAAAAAATAGCCTTGCCCTCCACTGTACATCAACAGCAAAGAGATACCAATTTCCAATCAAATACCTATATAGCAGATATGGAATCTCCACACATGTCTTAAGAGACAACTTTGAAAACTTCTAGGATCCCAAATCTGTCTTGGCCATCAAAACTAACCTTATACAAGATTTTACTGTTATCACTACGGAATGGAACTGTGGGGTTCTACCAAGCCATCCAACATCCAGCGCATCTAATCATTCTAATCAAAAGTCCTTGGACAAATTGTCAAAGCTCCTTACTATGTCACTCACCTCACGACAGGATGACATTTCCTTTATCAATGAATTTCTCTGTTACTGATTCCAGCAGTTTCACACAAACCTCTCGATCCATCCTAACTTTACTTCTTGAGACCTCTGTATACATTAACTCCTCTTAATTGACAATGGCCTTGAGACCATGCATTTTAATCCCTCACAGTGAGTGCCAGTATTGGCTGGTTTCTCGTGGCATGTGTCCTCGTGATGCAGCACGGGTCTTGGTATTAGTGCTGTAATCGTTGAAAAAACATATTGCAATCACATTGTAATACGTACTAATATATATAGTGTACAAATAAAAAATTATGTGGTGATTAGTGATCGTTAATGGATAATTATTCAGAAATCATGAGATGCGGTCTGGCGTGATGTAGGTTTCAGAAAAACATTTTTTTTATCATGCCAACGTTTCGATCTTTATTGAGATCATCGTAAAATAAATAACAAAATATGTTTAAAATTGCTCTCTGAAAATAAATTATCTTCGTACTGTGACATTTGCTTACATACACTTCATTGTAAATGACCAAATTTTTTGGTTTCAGGTATGCGGATTTTGCTGAAAATGCACCTATGACTGCATTTACACACAGACATGGGAATCTCAATCTAGCCGACCACCTTCCTCCTGCTTATGTACGACCAGATTTGGGCCCAAAATTATATGTAGCCTATAGCACTCTAAATAAGCTTAACAAAGAACACTCTTCCACAAATTTACATCTAGACCTTACTGATGCTGTAAACATAATGACATTTGCTAAGAGTAAAAGGAGCCAAAAAGATTTTTCGATAAGTAAGTTGATTTTCAATAACATTATTTTGTAATTTATATATCAATGAAATGTATAATGAAAGATGCTACTATAAAATATTATATCAAAACTATGTTTAATGTTTTATTGTTAATATCCAGTTGCTGTTAGATCAAAAGAAAAATGTTAGAACAAATAACATTTTAATTGTTAAAATTATTGTAGACTTAAATTACATTATTTACTTAAAATAATTTTATCTCAGAAAGTGTACAAACTAGTGGTTTTAACGTACATTTGACGCTTTATTGTAAAATAAATAAAGTGAAGAAGAAAAACTAAGTTATTTTATAGGATAATTAGTATGAGCACATTAACTATGTTAAAATATGTTGTATTGTTGCATAATTCTAGTTCTGCACGAACTCGAAAAATTAGAGGCTATGGACGATTACATTAAAAGGGCTGAATCAATCCTAGCACAAGGGAAAATAAATAGTTTCAACGCTCACAATTTAGGTGCCATTTGGCATATATTCCATGCTAAGGATACCCAGAAAATTCGAGAACTTCTTATAAAAGTAAGTATTCATGTATTATAACTTTTACAAATAGGGAATTGAATATAATTTTTCACGATGAACTTATTTCCATCTCATGAACATATTCTGACAATTACGGCCTTATTCAATAAGATATTCTAACAAACAGTGTACTGTTTTATTTTTTCCCCTCACATATTTTGTCCATCTCGCGTTATTTTTATGATGTTTTAAGTTGTGGTCTGTTTCAGTACCTTTTTTTTTACCAAACTGTTGCCATAGTTATCTTTGTGTCCTTTTTTTTAACCCTTCCACACCCGGTAGGTTAAAATCTAAATATATTTACAAACAAAATACACGCTCCTTGTTAGGTTTCAGAATGCAGATGCACCACTGAGAACCTTTTGCCAACCTCCCTCTATTAATGCCGATAAATACATTCATACAGGGTATCCTTTCATACAAAAATTGGTGAAACCCCCAGCTTTTGACATTGCCCGGTGTCTCACCAACATATCATACTCCATTTATCAATTAACTATTTAACCTAACTTGATCAACTGGCTTGTGTAGTACTTGGTATTGACAGACCTGTCCATTCATACTCCATTTATTTTCCTTCACATCACACTACAAATATGTAATTACCTAGACTAATTCAGTAGACTCTACTTGAGTGAGTTACTCGATATTCAGTCATAGCTACACCCACACATACGTCAACACTCACACAAATAAAAGGGAAAAAAACCACTTATAGTGGTTTATATGTGATTATACACGCATATCTTTGTAGTCATTGTTATGCTTCAGCACCTTTGGGGTAGGTCACACCTGTGCTGTTTCCTGTGCTTTGTCGGGTGTTCATATGCTGAAAATGTGCTTCATTGTTACAACTGTGCCACACAGGGGGTATTTCCTGAATCCCTTTCTATGAGGAATGATTTGTAAGTTGAGTGAGGCCTATCCTTAATCGTGTGAGAAGATTCTCTTTTTTATAATCTGGGACTCAGGTTTCACTGTCAGTTTCACTGCTTTTAACTTTTTGATCATCGCATCGCCAGTCATTCCAGCCCAGCTCAATGTTTTCAACATTTTTTTAACATCCGCTGGGCCGACCGGTGTCCCGAGTCATGCAGTATTTTCACTGGTTCTTTTGCCACTCTGACAGCCTCTTCTGTTCCTTTTAGGTCAGCATGACCGGGAATCCAACTAATAGGCCCATAGAGAATTTGTTCTGCAGTGCAGAGCAAGTCTGTGCATATTACAAATTTTTTTCCAGGCATGTTGCCACCTCACTCAGTGTGGTCAACTCCGCGGAGTACATAAATAAAATTGAATAAAATAAATTCAGCCATTTATTTTGAATTTTTAGTTAATAGTTTTGAATTATGTAATAACTAAATCAATTGTATTTATATCTTTACATACAGGTTTCACATGAAAGAAACAAACCAATACTTCAAAGTCAAGATCCAATTCATGATCAAACTTGGTATATTGATTATGAGCTAAGGAAACGGTTAAAGGAAGAATATGGTGTGATCGGTTACAATATTCTACAATATGTTGGTGATGCTGTATTTATTCCAGCCGGTGCCACACACCAGGTAAATAATCTGTCTTTGAATTTTGTAAAATCAGTTTCTTCGTCAATCTCCCCCCCCCCCCAATGACCTTATGTTTTCCACATTACCCAGCAACAGTGGTATGTATATACGAGTAATTAATTAATAGTTGTCAGAAAAAATTGTTAAAAATTTCAGTATCTGAGTTATGAAACCGTAACCACTTGGCTACGGTAACCTTCATAGTTTTTAACATTGCAAATTATTAATAATATTTTTGAAGTACTGATGAAGGGAATATATTCTTCAAAAGCCAATGAAGTAACTGGATGTTTTCTTTTCTTCCCAATTGGGCTTATACCAAGTTTTTAATTTAAAAAAAATCAATGACATTTTGATGCTATATTCTGATATAAATATTCAGTAAGTAAAAAATTGCTGCTCAAGTGTTAAATTAATTTTTTTTAAGTATTAGTAAAAACTAAGTTAATAATTTCAATCATGGACCTTCATCGTTAAATCATTTCTTTAAATTTCTGCCAATACTAGCCAAATTTAAAAAATATATATTTAAAATAAAAATATAACACAATATAAAAAAAAATTCAATTTCAGGTGCGGAATCTCAGGGACAGTATTAAAATCGCATGTGATTTTTTCTCTCCAGAAAATGTACATTCTACTATATCATTAATTGATGAATTTAGAAATGTAGCATTAGGCCAGAGTGGACATGAAGATAAGCTTCAAGTAAAGAATACATTATTCCACACAGCAAAAGACTGCTTATACGTATTGGAGAAAGAAATACTAAAGTAAGTAATTTTATAGTCATAAAAAAATAGGTTTCAAAGTAATTTCTTTGAAGGGGTTAAAAATGGTTTACATGACAAGTTAAAACCAATAATAATTTATTTAGCAAATATTCGGGCTGGAGGGCAACAAACATGTAGACAAGGCGGCTGGGACGTTTTGCCCAGCAGGCCGAACAGAGGGAAAATTCAAAAAGGGGGGGGTTGAGATGGGAAGTTAGTGTCCGAGTGGATTGAAGTCACGATAGCTCAAGTGGTAGAGCAGCGGCATATTTTCCCGAAGGTCGTGGGTTCGAATCCCACTTGTGACACTGACTTTTTTATCTCAACCAAAACCTTAATTAATTGAAAATAATTTATTTGGTCAAGCGGGTATATATAGTTGTTTGTTAGTGTGAATGAGTAAGTGAGAGGGCTGAGTACTCGATATTCCGCCTTCGGTACTCACAGTGCATTGGGGCCTGATAAGACTTCATTGTTGGTACCCTGCCATTAAAAAATAATAATATGCCTTCTTGTGGGCGAATGACGGATTGGTTAAGACGAACAACTCGTATTTGCCACATTAATTATTTTCAGTTTGAATCCCATCATAGCCCTTGGAATTTTAATTGATAATTTGAAAAAAAAAAATAGTGTAGTCATTTTTACCCCTAACACTCAATGGGTTGTCGTGAAGTTTTGTCTGAAATTGGTGTTGTGGTTTGATATTAAATTACAAAGGATCGCGGAGCCATGTGTTTAAGACGTCTGACTCGTATTTGCCACACTAGTGGTTATGGGTTTGAATCCCAGAATAGCTCATGGCTTTTTATTTGATAATGATATGAAAAAGTATTGTAAAGTGGTTTGACCCTTCGCCTGTGACACCCTACGAGTACTTGGACATTAATCCCCTTTTTTATGACAGATTAACATTATCATGGGACTGTGGTGGCCAAGTGGTTAAACCATCAGACTCGTATTTGCCATGCTAGCAGTCCTGGTTCCAATCCCAGCGCAGCCCATGATTGCCCATCCATAATTAATGGATTATAGTATGAAAAATGTATTGTAAAGTGGTTTGATCCCTTGTCTGTGACAACCAGTGATGTCCTGTATGACAGGAACTACTTCACTTTCAAGTTTTGTCTAAAATTGATTTTGAGATAACAGGGGGCGCCTGTTATTATGCGGAGCACTCGGCTTTGAATTGTTTGTATCCTTTGGATTTGGGTCCGCAACGCAGAACCCCAGATCTCACATCAATATGGCCATATTGGGCATATTACTAAATATTTATCAGGCGCTTTAAGTGGAGTGGTAGTTTCGAATTTTCAGAAATAAGGAACTTTAATTGCTTTATCCGATATCTAAGTTTTTTGATTGTTTGATCAATATGCGGGGCTCACATCAGCTTCTTATCAAGGGTTATTCCTAGGTATTTTTCTATTTGTCCAGAAGGGATGCTTTGGCCGTTACCTTTCTTTTTAATGTAAACTTAACCAGTCTAGATTTGCTGACATTTGATTTCATCACCATTTTTCCACCATTATTGCATGCGATTTTATGTTTTCTGCTGTACTTTGGCATGTACCTTTATTTAGGATCGCAACATTATCAGCAAATTGTGCCAGTGTGTTATTAGTTATTATGGGAAAATCAGAGGAATAAATCAGGTATAGATAAGGCCTAATGCAGCTACCTTGTGGTACTTTTTTTCTCTATTTCTTTTATGAAAAGATTCATATTTAGCAATATATCTGCTTGTCCAATAAGCATGTTTGTTTTCTATTTTAAATGCCAAATCAGACATTTCAGTTACATAAATTTGATGTTCAATACATATTACACATAGTATAGAAAGTATTTGATATTATTTATATTTATAGATAATATATTTTTTAAATCAGTGTGTTTTTGTTACAGAATCTCCAATGACTGTGAGACAAATAAATCTCAGCCATAAATAAGTATTGACTAAATATCAACGGAGTCAGTATTATCTAATGTTTAAGAAATCAAAAATGAGATTGGCACTGATAAAATGTATTTATTTTATGGAAATTCAGTGTTAAATGTTCTTTTATCTTTAACTTCCACAATTGAAATAATAATAATATTAATAATAATAAAAAGAAGATAAACAGAAACTGTCAATTATTTAAATTATGAAAAGCATTGTACAAACTATTTAGATTGTGAAACAAACATTTGGTTTTCAATGTGTACTCAGCTTTCTAAATCAATTCAATATATAAAGATTAAAGATGTTTGTTATTAATTTTTCAATCAGCAAAAAATAAATTGTTCTATTACCTTTTTATTTGTGATGATAGCCAACAATACAATTTATGCAGTTACCAACAATATGACATAAGGCATCATAAAATAAGCCATTAGCATAATTTGAGCCTGGTTGTGATCACATTGTTGACTGTCTGCCCTGTTTTTTTTCCGTAAGAGAAGTGTATATGTGAGAGAAAATAAGAGAGGGAGAAAACTGTTTGTTTTTATATATAAACTTAAGGTAGGCACTGAATTTAAGATTCATAATAAAGTTACCAGGGTTTCTAGTTTTATAAAATGTATCAAAAGATATGTAAGGAACCTTAAACTAGTTCCTCTTACTTGAGTATATTAGTCATTGTCATTAAGTTTTTATTTTGTGTGCCTTTAATTATCATAGAGTTTACAATCTCAAGTTTATACAATTGATTTTTAAATAAAATGGTTTATTAAATGTTTTAAGTCAATAAAGTAATATTTTGTGAGTTTTGTTTTATTTCCTATTACTAAATGCAATGGATATCTTTAGTGGTAATTTTGAAAATGTCTCGATCCATTCTATCCTGGTGTTCCTCAAGGGAGTATCTTAGGTCCATTACTTTTCAGCATATACACAGACTTCCCTCAACACTCTAACATACTCTCGCCTTTTTGACGATACAGCAATCTTCTTTGCATCAATTCTGATCAGAAATTGCATTATTGCCTTAATTTTTTCCCTGGTCTGTATACAAACTTTATTGTTTTTATATTTATCTTTCTTATCATACACTCTCTAGAGCGTATACAGTTCTGCCCTGGAGTCATTCTAGACGTCTCTTAGGCATTTTGATCACGTCTGGTGCCAGGACCGACTGCTGAAAATTAAATCCTTCCTTTCTAGTACGCACTATTCCTAAAATCCTACATATCGGATCTTTTCTTCCCTATTACCTACCAAACCTCAAACTCGTCGATCCATTCTATTGTGTGTTCCTCAAGGAAGTAGCTTAGGTCCGTTACTTTTTAACATATACATGGTAGACTTTCATCAACACTTTAACACACAATTACCTTTGCTGACAATACAGCAATTGTTTCTTTGAAAAACTTTTGGTTTGTTTTTTAAACCCAAAAGGGGCAATTAACAAGGACAACCAAACTTCAACACCCTGCAGACTCAACAAGACATTGAACATTTATTAGAAACAGACGATTTCAATATTCAGTCACAGTCAAGCATTTTGTTTTGGTTTGTTTCAAAAAATGACCAATCCAGTGTGTTTTGTGCCTTACAAAAGGCCTCTTTGAACACCTTTGGTACAAGTTTTCAAAGAGAGTAAAAAGTGACGTCAGAGAATTTGTAGGAATTAAGAATGGCGCTGTTGGAGTATGAAAATTTTCCACAGCACTACCTTCAAAACTTCATCCATCGAATGCGAACGGTGATCAACGCAAGAGGATTAAATACTACGTACTGAATTGAATATTTTCTACATTCTTCATACTATATCTTTTTTTTTAAATATCCAGCAAACAACAAAAATCAAAATTATAACAATTGCAAGTATTTACTTAAAACAAAAAACGAGGGTGGCAACTTTTTTTTGCCTCTCAATGTAGTAAAAAAGATAAAATCCAGTACAGCCCCCTGAGGTACTCCATGTTCAATTATTTTATTAGAAAAGCGGTACCTTTACGGCTGACTTCACTTTGTCAAATAAGATTGGAACTAATGTAAGGAGACCTCCTTTGATCCCCAATCATCTCATTTTTGGAATAACATTTTGTGATCTAGCGTATTTCTAGTACACAAAATTCTTTATTTCTTCTGCCATTCTATGAGCAGTATGAAAGCTGTTTCTAATAAAATTTACGAATTCTTGTTGAGTCTGCAGGGTGATGAAGTTTGGTTATCCTTGTTAATTGCATGTTGTACCATAACTTTTTGGTTAACTAAAAAGGAAAACAAAAAATTGCTGGAAAATCATCATATTTATAATATCATATTATGTGACAATAAAAATTTGTTTATAGAATATAAAAAAAAATAAGTCAATAATATAATTGACAGCAACCAGTCGATTCGATTATGTATATTTTTTTTATCTGGATACATGTAGTCATACATACACACATATAAATACATAACATTCCCATACACACAAATTTGAACATATTCAAATATAAAAATAATATTACTGACACATGCACTTTCCTCCCTAACTTAGAATTCAGGAAAACATGCAGTGGGATCATTTACTGCATCTCTTGGAGTCCTGCGTCTTGCATGCTCAGCTGTCGTCCACCTGTGCAGTAGTGAGTGACCTTCCTTCTACCCTATAACCACCTGTGAGATAGCTATCTGGGCAAACATAATTCTTGGTTGTTGCGTCCCCAATTTCAAAATAAAATAATAATAGCAGGATATGATCCAATAAAAAACCCTGAGGTACTCCATGTTCGATTACTTTATTTGTACTTAAAGTAGTGCCTCTATGACTGACTGCTTTGTTAAATAAGATTGGAACTAATGTAAGGAGACCCCTCCCCTTGATCATCCAATAATCCGGTTTTTGGATTAATATTTGGTTATTTAGCGTTTCAAATGTAATTCTAGCTCACAAAATTTTTCATCTATTTTGCCATTGAAAATATTAAAGCTATTTCTAATAAATGTGAAATATCTTGTTGAATCTACAGGATGATGAAGTTTGGTTGTCCTTGTTAATTGCATGTTGTTCTTTTGGGTTAAAAAAAATAAATAAAAGTTTTTCAAAGGAACAATTGCTGTATTGTCAGCAAAGGTGATTGTGTATTAAAGTATTGAGGGAATTCTGTCATGTATATGTTGAAAAGTAACGGACCTAAAATGCTTCCTTGAGGAACAACATGATAGAATGGATCGACGAGTTTGAGGTTTATTAGGTAACATGGAAGAAAAGATCCTATATGTAGGATTTTAGGAATAGTGTGTACTATAAAGGAAGGATTTTACTTTCAGCAGTCGGCCCTGGTGCCAGACACAATCAAAATGATAAAAAATTGGATTATTAGAGGATAATAATAATCCAATTTTTGAAATGATATTTGGTGAATCAAATGTAATTCTAGCATCATTCGACTCAGACAGAAATATTTTAAATCTATTTTGCCTGATTTCTTTGTTGACTCTGCAGAGCGTTCATTTTCAATCCCGGTTTGCTAATCCTTGGTCGTTTAGACTGTCTTTTTGTACTATTTTGACATAGTCTGGTTTAGATTTGTGTGTTGATTTTTTAACTAGTTAAGATTATTTCTTGAAAGGCTAAATTTTACTTTTACAAAGTGACTGAATGAAATTTTTTCTGGTTTTAATTCACCATTCCTGATTATAGTTCTAATTTATAACTGTTGTTTTCGTTTAATATAGTTTATAATGAGCATTTTATTTGATAACTTTTAAATTCCATCGAGAAGCATTCCAGCAGTTTGTCCATTTGTGACATCATCATAGCCAGCAAATGATTTGATGTGGTCTGCCAGTACTGTCGTCCTTGCTAGTTTCGTTATCCTTATCATCAGAGATAAACGCATTTATCCTTGTTTTAATGTTTTGTCGTCAGTTTGGCATTGTATTAAGCTAGATACAAACGATGGAGTAACTATGCTTTGGCACGTCTGTCATGCACCTCTTTGAATTGAGACTACCAAGTTCTTTCGATCATGAGTGAACTGTCAAATTGTTGTGAATATTTGAGTTTCAGAAGCAACGTCCCTTTGACAACTATTTTCGTAGATAGTAATTCAGAAAAGGTGAGAAAAAAAAATATATAAAAATAAATAAAACATGACTGGAGGTGAATCTTTCAAATGTAAATTAACGAAAGTCCATAGCATTTCATTTTTTTTATTGACTAATTGCAATGCCAAAACATTTTTTTATATTAATTAAAAAACAGATGGTTTTGTGTATTTAAAAAGATTCAAACAAATCAGGTAAAATGCCTTTGATTCAAGCGAACAGTATGTTATGTAAGGTTACTTAAACTTTTTTTTTAAATCTTTAAAAAATGATATTTCAGCCTTTTGTTTAAATTTATGGCGTGAGTTGTATAGATAATTCAATTCATATCCAAGAATAGTCCTGTCGGAACCCAACTGGGCAAACAATTCCTAATTTCTAACTTCTGTTAGTCATCTAGTATTAGCTAGCGTCAGACCGATGAATCACAATTCTGCTTATTTTTAAACTAAAATATATTTATATACCTGTAGTTATGATTTCAGTAATGGTAAAAAAAATGTTATGATTCAACACATTTTTCCTTTATTTTCTATTACAACTTGTTTTTAAACTCATTAAATTCACTAATTTCGTGGTCCGCTCGACCAATTAATATATTGCAATTATTTTATCTCAACTAAAAACCTTAATTAATTTTTTTAAACGTTGTGCATTAAATTTTATACCCTGTATTTATTCATTATTACATTCTTGTTTTCACATGTTCCAAAATTTTATTGATTTCTGATTTATTTTATTGGTACAAATAGGGCTTAAACCCCGCTAGAAAGAAGAAAGTAACAATAAACTTTATTCTGGGTGTTGAAAATTTCATGAGGTGTTTCTACTCACCATATGCAATAAAAAAACTTCCTATAAACCCTTGTCCAAATTTCAACGGTAAAGCAGTAATATCAGTTTTTTTTTTTTTTTGTCTTAGGTCCACTAAATTGCTTATAAACTTAATCTGGTTTGTGCCACCTGAAAGAACATTAAATTTACCATAAGAAAATTTATTTACATTGCAGAATTGAAGAAAAAATTCTGCGTGAACAAAATTCAGAAAAAAACATTGAAATTTTGGCATTTTTTGAAAATGTTGGATTGGTATCTGTTAATAACTACGAACCCCTGGAGCTTGTAAATTCCCTCGAAAGTTCCCCATTCAATTAGCTTCCAGAAATATACCCACCTTTTTTGATGGTGCGTCTGGAAGGCCCAAAAATTTTGTGCATTTTGTTGAAAAAAATTATGTCGATGAAGGGAGTCACGCTCAATTTTTCCGGGAAATCTATCTGGCTCTTGAGTTTGTCAGATCTTTACTGTTCGATTCGATCAGTTTGCTTCATATTATCAGCTCACAACGTTCTCAGGTTGGCGATATAAATAATATCTTTGTCTCCTAATGAACATCTTGCTGATATGCACTTCATTCATGTTTACTGCAACGGTAATGCTACTGCTGCAAGGAGAGAGTACCAAGCTCGTTTTCCACACGGCGCCATCGAATAATCTAAGCAAACATTCTTCCCGAGTCCGATTATTTCAGACATTGTCTTGTGGAAATAATCCAACAAGAGTCGAATTTTGTAAGAGGATCAATGAACCTAGCTTCAGTGTCTAATTCCTCCTGACTTTCAGAACGGGTTGGGAGCAAGATGGAAAGCCTGTTGAATAACCATCCATCTGTCCCTTTCCATGTGATTCCGAAAGAAATGAAGACTAAATTTCTCATTTGTGTTCCAATAGTCAGAACATCTACTAATCTGGATCATTCCCATATGGAACATGAGCCTTAGGAATTTTTTAAACTCCACCACAGACGTAGCATTCCAATCAGTAATCAAGGATCTCAGCTGCGACTCACTCTGCTGTAGCTGATCAATTGCAAACAAATTTGTCCCCTGGACTACCAATTTGAAAAATTCATTAGTAAACAGAAGATAAAAAATACAATCAATAATAATCCATTATGTTTATTGGTCTAATTGATCAAATTACTTTTTTCAATTAATTATTCCTTTTATATAAGATCTTGGTCGAGTTGAAAAAGTTAGTGGCATGAGCTGGATTCGAACTCAAGACCTTCAGTTGATTCGAATCTCATTAGTGACTCTAACTTTTTCATCTTAACCAAGACCTTATTTAAAAAGAATAATTAATTGAAAGATATAATAAATAACCTGAATAGTACAGTTGACAGTAAATGAAAAATTCAGCTGAAACTGAGAAGGGCTGTGGGACCAAGAAAATGTATGGGAGGGTGTTGAGGGGAGGAGGCGAAAGGGTAGGAACAAAAATGTTGAAATTTGGAATTTTTTGAAAATGTTGGATTGATAACTGTTAATAACTACAAACTCCAGGAGCTTTGCAAATTCCATCAAAAGTTCCCCATTCAATTAGCTTCCAGCAGTATAACCACCTTTTTGTATTGCGCTTCAGGAAGACCCAAAAAGTTTGTGTTTTGTTTAAAAAAACTGGTGTCAATGAAGGGGGGCATGCTCAATTTTTCCAGGAATGTCATTAGTCAGAAGCAATGTCACATTGGCTTTGATGATCCTAATTTGGCATGTGATCTTACTTTTTTTGTTTGCAATCCCGTAACCTAGATTGTTTTTAAGCTACTCATTACTGATCATTAGTGATGAGAACAGCCAGCATGTCACTGGTTAGACACAGTGTCGCATTGGCATTGACAATCCTGGTCTGATGTGTGTTCTTCCTTTTTTTATACTCCCAACAGCCTTGAATTGTCATAAAGCTTGATGTTACCAATCAGTAGCGATATTGGATCAAGCCAGTCGTCATAGGTCAGAAACAACGTGCATTGGCTTTGACGATCCTGATCTGGCATGTGTTCTTACAATTTTTTTTACAATCCAGCAGCTTGTACATTGCTTTAAGCTTGTCATTACCGATCAGTAACAATGTCGGATAAGATTGGTCTTGACACAATGTCGCATTAGCTTTGAAGTTACTTATTTGGCATGTGTCCTTATTTTTTGGTTTGTTTTACAATCACAAGCTTTGGATGGTTTTTAAGCTTGTCATTACCGATCAGTAACAATGTTAAATTAAGCCTGCTGTCATTGGTCTAACACAATGTCGCATTTGATGCTTTGGATTGTTTTTAAGCTTGTCATAATTGATCGGTAGTGATGTAGAAAGGCAACCATCATTGGTCAGAAACGATGTCACATTGGCTCTGATGATCCTGATCTAGCATATGCTCTTATTTTTTTGTACTCCAACAGCCTTGGATTGTCTTTAATTTTGTCGTTACCAATCAGTAGCAATGTAGGATCAAGCCTGTCGTCATTGGTCAGACGCTGTCTATGATGATACTGATTTGGCAGTGCTTTTACTTTAAAAATTCCACAATTTTAATTAATTAATTATTTTTTTAAACAAGAACTTATTAACTTTATCGATAACATTAAGTAGAATTTTTATTTTTCTTATTTTATAAATGATAATAATACAGAATTTCATGTAGCTCGATCTGACCTTATTGATGATCCATCGTGCTTTTATTTGTATATTGAAATTATATTTATTTTTCTTTGTGTGATTTCAACCATATTCAGGGATGGAAGATATATGATTCTGGGCCTAAAACTGTCAAATCTCCTTTAATATGCTTACCTCCCGTCTGCGGAACAGCTGATATCTTTTTCAAGCAAGTTCTTGGATTGAATGCCAAAGGAATTCGCGTTATCACAGTAAGTATAAATACATTGTTTATTTTTTAGTGTATTTTTGACCGTTATTTTGACAATCATAAAGGAAGTTTTAAAATTTGACTCACTCTTTTCAAGTTGGATGATTTGAGTTTGGGAGAAAAAAGTTGAAAATTTAAAAATCAAATGAAAAAATGTCAATTTTGTAAGAGTTAATAATGTTAAAATTTGATGTCGATTATCTTTAAGAAACACAGTTAAAAATTACTTAAGTTCCACCTCTACATTTTGTAATTTTAATTAATAGGCTCTCATGATATCCTATGTTGTGTTAGGAGTGGATTACTTCTCCACCCTTATAATTTTACAATATATTATACCTAATGACAACAAAGTTGGTTCTAGCCCTCAAAGTGTTGTAACATAATAATAATAAAATTAAAAAATAATAGGAGGAATATTGAATACTCTGGGGTAGCTGAATGAACTTCATTAGTGCCAAATAACTCTGAGAAATATTGAGTAGTCTGGGGTGGTGTGAATGAAGTCTGGTGTATGATTAAAATTAATTAGGACAAATGTGAGGACTTATCCCCAAGTATACCAACAAACATAAAATAAAAAGGCATGAAGGCAGTGAGGGGCACTGGCGTAATATCAAACACCCCAGCGACTCCCCAAATTTTATATATTCATATTATATGAATGTATTTATAAGATTGAATGTTTATATATGAGTGAGTCTTTGGTACAATATACGGTACCACACGAATCCACCAACCTAGGTTAGTTGTATATATTTATAGTGATTGTGAGCGAGACACTGGTGTAAAACCCTGGTGGCTCTAAAATTTTTAATTGTATATCTATTACGAAAGTTTATAGTCAGTGTGAATGTAAAGCGTGAATGATGGCATGATGGCAAGTCCTCAGTGGAATATCCTGAACCCTGAGACCCACCAAACTTAGGTTGGCCACAAAATATAGGTCGTCAGTACATAAGTTGCAGGGTCTGAACAAAAATGAAAGATTGCCATGCCCTCCTTCTGGAGAGCCAAATTATGTCAATCAAACAATGCAAGGCACTGGTAATAGTCATGGCAATTAGCAGGCCAGGGGGGAACTAAGCATGAAATGTTTATTCACAGATATTTAAAAGAAAGAACTTTCTCCCATTTCTTCCTTTATATTTAATTTAACCTGATTTTAACTGTTAATTTAATTAGAATTTCGAATTTTNTTTTTTTTTTTTTTTTGAGGGAGCTATCTGCATTGTAGTTTATTACCCCGCAATAAATTTCAAACAATAATATAACTTATTAAAAAATTCTGATGATTGTAAATAAAATAACATTGTAAATCTATTCTTATCTAATTTCATCAATGTATTGGTTTAGGCAGAGCATCCTGCATACTGGTCGATTGACGATTGGTGCATTGGATTTAAGAAATTATTAGATTACTTGGAATTAGATAAGGTTCATTTATTTGGAGCTTCTTTAGGTATGTAATTTTTGAACTTTTTCTAGATTTTATCTTGTGTTCGATCAATATCATGGCATTTTTTGGCCTAAATCATTTCATTGACTTAATTAAAATATAACAGCTGGACCAAATTAACAAAATATTGTACAATTCAGATTTACATAATTTTTTATATAGAAATTATTAATAGACTAGTTTTGCAATGAACGAAAAAGAGATAAGATGGTCTAGATAAAGACGAGTCATTAAATTGTTGACATAGTTATACTTTTAAAAGACATCATCATAAATATTTTATACTATCTGTACATCTATGATGGTTAATTAAACAAATCTGGAACCAAAGGCTTATTTCATGTCCTAATAATTATGGAGTTCTGTAACAAAAGGAGTTCCATACTGAAAACAATCTTAAGAAATTAAATTATTTTTAGATCACCCTCTTTATCTCCACTTTATCAATTTTTTTAATGCACGTAAACACATTCTAACAAATTATAGATAATAGTATTTTCAACTAAATTCACCGTTTATTTTTATTGTTTGACATAAATTAATATATATTATTATATTATCTTGTTATATTTTATTTGAATCAATGGAAAATAAATAAATAATGCTTGCACATTTTTTTATTTGTAGTCTATTTACACATTAGTAAATATTGTGATTACAAAATGTTTTTTCACACTGTCACAGCACTAAGACTAATTTCCGCATTGTACCCGGAGGATACATGCCATGAGAAACCAGCTAATGTTGTCCCTAAGTCACTAAGTGTGAGTTATTAAATGGCTAGGAGGTGCTGAAGGCCATCGTCGATTAAGGCGGTATCCTCAGGATGGGAATATGTAGAGAGCTCGAGCAGTAGGGTTAGGAAGAGAGGTTCGTGTGTGAAACTTGGACTTGGGAATGGATCAGTTCATTGAGAAAAGGAATGTTGAGGTCATGGATTGTTAATGACATAATAAGGAGCTTTTACGATTTATCTGAGGACATTTGATTAGCAGTTGGATGAACTGGATGTTGGATGGCATGGCAGAACCACTACAGTTCCACTCCGTATGTCCAGAGTGATCACAGTAAAAGTAAAGTCTTGTATAAAGTTAGTTTAGTTTTGATGGTTAGGGATGGTCAAGATGGACTTCCGTCCTAGAGGTTTTCTTAGTTGTCTCTTGTGTGTGGATTCCACATCTGTTGACTAGGTGTATATATTATGCAGGGTGGGCGACCAAGACCCGAGGGGTTAAATGCCTGGGTAGACTCGTACCCCATCCCTAAAAGGTCCGGGACTTGGTCGGTTCACATGTCCTGCATAAACCTCTTGGACCTGTTCACAAACCCCAAGATTTTGGACCATTTAATCTCGGGTAGTGATTTGGTAATGTCCTCTCTTTCAAAAGTTTCGAATCTAGACCTAGCATACCTATCACACTCTGCGAGGTAGTGTCTTGCCGTTTCTTCTTTTATTTTGCAAAAACGGCAAAAGGGATCTGGTAGAATACCCATTACGGAGAGGTGTCTTCTCAATGGGCAGTGGCCCGTAAGGATACCTACCAGCCTCCTAATTCCCTTCCTTGAGATAGAGAATAGCCATTTCGATTCTGCTGGTTTGATCTCCTTAACAAACTCCTTCGATTGCCTGTGTCCAGGGGATAGATTCCATTTCTTAAGGAATTGTTTCATACCCCAGTTTTTAATACTCTCTTTCGCTGTGCTTATAGAGTGAGGTAATACCAGTTGTGGCTCAACAAACGCAGTATTTGAGCCTTCTTTGGCCAGGCTATCCGCCTCTTCATTGCCATAGTGTCCTTTTATGTGCTGGTATCCAAATAAGGGTTACCCTATTCTCATACCTGGAAGTGGTTCTGTTGATAAGATCTACAGTTTCCTCCACTAGTCTAGATGTTGACAAATCTTTTTGTACTGGCCGAAGACTAGCCTGACTGTTGGAAAAAATTCTAATATCTTTTCCCTTGATTTTATTTTCCATGAGTGTTCTACAACGCACATTAATGGCCCAGATTTCCGCCTGAAAAACGGAGGTATTATTGCTAAGAGGGGAGGAGATGCTGATAACTAATTTAGGTATATGGATTCCAGCACCGCTTCCTTTACCTTTGATAAGTGAACCATCTGTATAGCAGTCTATGTTACGATGGTCATCATCCACAGTATAGTTATATTCACAAGAAGTGACTACCTGAAAGTATTTTTTCCCCCGAAGGGGTTTTAACCTTTTTATTGCTAACGCTTAATAGTTGGCCATTAACCTTACTCAATAATTGTAGGATTTTCGAGTGACCTATGTTATTGCCCTTACAGTTCCAGCTGCCTTCACTAATTAATCTGTAGCAGCTCATTAGTGCTCTGACCTTAGCCTCTATGTGTAGAGGTGTGGTATTGGTTATGATCTCAAGTTGAATGAAAATGCTCATCATCAAACAGCCTAGTCTTTGAAATGACCTTAATTTATTACTATTCCTTTTATTTTCTAGACCTTTCCACCATACTAAAGCTGCGAACAATAATCTAGGTAGAATAATTGCAGTATATAGCCATTAATTTTTTAAATTGACGATGCACCACCTCTACAGCATTGATCGTATAAATACGTTTTCTAATGGCTCTAGGGTATCAAAATAAGCACTGAGCAAGTGGATCGTGGTTGATGACTACAGGAGCTGAATTGGTGAATGAAGGGGGATTGATTTTATGAGTATTTAGGTTGGGTGTTAATCTAATAAAAAGGAGTCTTTTGAGGATTTTGGACATTGCAGGAAGAAGGCTAATGGGTCTGTAGGAGGATATGTGGTTGGGAGTTTTAGGAATGAGAATAACTCTATAAGAGTGGTTCGAAGAATGGTATTTTATAACAGTAAATATTATGGTTATACAGTGTTGCTTATACTTAAGATAAAAATTTAGGTTTTTTTTGTCACAACCGTAAACCAAAAGACATTCATTCAACCACTTGAGTGCATTGCTTGAATAAAAATTAAGCCTGTAATAAAATTAATTAAATTTATTTGAATTTAGTTTGCATAATGCTTTAAAAAAAAAACTAACATGTTATTTCAAGTATTTAATTGAATTGTATATTTCTCAGGTGGATTTTTGGCACAAAAGTTTGCTGAATACACGACCAATTGTCCACGTGTAGCTTCTTTGATATTGTGTAACACATTTGTTGATACATCTATATTTAACAATGATGACAAGTCTAAAATGTAAGTATTTTTTAAATTTATTTCTATATTAAAATTCATCTTGCTTTCTCCACTTTAATACTGTAATTTTTAGTTTTTGGGTGTTCCCTTCGTATGTTCTAAAGAAAATGATTTTAGTCAAATTCCCATACATGCACCACGACAAACTTATTATAGATTCCGTTGATTTTATGGTTGAAAAGGTAAAATTGTACACATATCACATACACAATTTTTATTACAATTATTATGAACTAATTGCAGTTGGATAGTTTAAGCCAGTCGGATTTAGCATCTCGACTCACTATTAACTGTATCAATTCCTATGTCAAACCGAATAAATTGACTTATTTGAGTGCTATAACTATTATCGATGTTTTTGATGAGTGTGTTCTATCCAGTCCAGTAAGGGAACAGTTAAAGAAATGCTACCCAGATGCCAAGTTAGCACATCTTAAAACAGGTGGTAATTTTCCTTATCTCAGCAGAAGTGAAGAAGTAAATCTCTACTTGCAGGTAATTAAAATGTGTACTCTGGCTGCATAAATTCTCTCGATGAAAATCTAACTAAATCAAATAAACTAAGATTCACAAATATGTTTTAAACATAAATTACTCGAATGTTGCTGTTGTTAGATGTTGCTTGAAACTTAGTCTATTACGATATCAGTTAGTTTAGCACACAAGAGTGTATGCAGAGGCATTTATTTACTTTTATCGCTGGTAAATATTTTATTGATTTTTTTTCTTTTCCAGATTCACCTCAGACAATTTCAAGACACTGAATATTCAGCTCAAGAATGAGTGTGAGTCCTATCTTCATAATGGATTTAAAAGTCATTTAGTTTTGCTTAGAATTTGCTGTGCATTTTTGGAGGTTCTGTCCTATAAATTACTTAAAATTTATATATATATTTTATATTATATCCTGAAGTTGATTCAAATATTTTTGTACTATACGTATGTAACAACTTGCATACAATGAAGGGTATCACAGTTTATTGTTTGTAATTATTGAATAAACTGCTTTTCTTAAAAATTACACTTTATATTTATTAGCGCCAATGGCCTTTGATCCCTTTTGTTGCTGCTGGCCAGTCAGAGATTCAGTCATTGTCTAAATACATAAACACATTGTCGATGTGATTTTCCTTGTCATTAAATTTTGTCTTGCCCAGCTTAAGTTATCGCCATACTTCGGTACCATGAGTCTGAATCTGGTGTTGATTTAGGGCCCCTGCTGAGTTGACAAAAGAGGATAACTGTTATCTAGTTCAGTGAGATAGAACCGAGCATCGTTGGGGTAAGTAAACATTTTTTTACATAAAAGTGAACATTAACGAACAATATTTGTTTAAACGTCATGTTGAACGTGTTGAAGCAGTAATGCTGACTTCTGAATCAATCTTATTTTTTCATTGTTATCTGTGTGGTGAAAAGGAACAACAATCACAAACACAAAAACTACCGACTTATTTCACCAAAGACATCTTATAGAAAGAGACTTAGCTTTACAAATATCCACACGCAAAACTGAAGCTAGCAAAATGTAACGTCTTAAGACAGCCCAATGCAGTGACGATAGACCAAAATGACCAAATTATGTTTCTTCTAGTTATTCAGATATCGTGAGATGCGGTCGGGTGTGATGTAGGTTTCAGAAAAACATTTTCTTTATCGTGCCAACGTTTCGATCTTTTATTGAGATCATCTTCAGGGCTCAAAGTGTTTGTCTTCTGTGTAATTGTGCCATCCTAGCGTGTCGTGTTGAGAGGGCACAATCCATCTACTCTGTCTTTTGTCTGTGTTGAAAAATCTGGAGAAGATGAAAAAATTGACCAAAAAATAAAAAATAAAAATAAGTAGACCAAGATGCTGACAGTTCAATACCACAGATCCACGATAAAAGATTTCAAATAAGTTTTTAAGTTTAAATAATTTTCGCTGACCAGACAAGAAAATATACTTAGTGATGATTGGTCGATAATTTATTTAAAATTCCGATAAGTACAAATTAAGACTTTATTGAATGGTAACAAAAATTATCAACACAACGATGAAATTAAGTTAGTCAATCTTTTTTAATGAATAGTTATCATCATCTTTATCACTGAAGTATTCTCCATCTATGTCCTCTTCACTTATTAATTCTTTTTGTTCTTGTAAACCATGGTTGTTTCTTTTTGTAAGTGCATTGAAAACAGTAAGGGCCTGGAATAAATATTTACAAATTAAATATATAAGATTATAGTTGTGTATTATTTAAAAATATATTTTAGATACCTGTGTAACAGCTGAAGGAACATCACCAACATTGCTAGGAAGTATCAACGTGTTACTAGTTCTAGCCAATTTATTAAACGCTTCAATATATTGTTCAGCGATTTTTAAAGATGCTGCATCATGGCCATCCTAAAAATAATAGTTTTTGCCGTCAAATCAAAGATTATATTAGGTAAACTATTTGATATATAGTGAAGTTGATTGAATCAATGGATGAATAATCTGCCACTTTTTATGGTATGACAATGAAAAATGGCCAAAACTACTACATAAAATGAATTATTTAGATAATAATACCTTATTTGACAGCGCTTTTGCAACGATTAGAAGCCCTCTTGCTCTTGCATCTGCTAACGCAAGCATAGCTTGAGCTTCACCATGTGCTTTGTTAATTCGTTCCTGTTTTTCAGCCTCTAAAATATTTTTTATACTTTACATTTTACCAATTGTTTGAAACAAAGAAAAATAAACTTTTTGTAAACGATGGTTCCTGTATCACAGGTTGCATTTTTTATTTCTATTAAGGAAAATAAATACTACCTAAGTTAGTATTGTACCAACTTTGTTCCTTGCAATTCAATAGTAATGGATATGTAATGCTAATTTACCTGATGCCAAAATTCGTGATGCTCTTTTTCCTTCGGCAACATTTATGTCTGCTTCTCGTATTCCCTCTGATTCTAAAATTGCAGCTCTTTTCTTCCTTTCCGCTTCAACTTGCATTTGCATTGCCTCCTGAACCCTTACCGGTAACTTGATGTCCCCTGCGTATTAAAAAATTGATTACCAATTATTGTACATTTGAAATCATTATTTAATATGCTTGTTTGATATTTACAGTGAACTTACTTATTTCGTATCTCAAACATGTAATTCCCCAGGCTTCACTCGCTTTGTTTATCGATTCTACTATTCCAACGTTCAGGTTTTCTCTTTCTCTAAATACGTTGTCTAAAGATATTTTCCCTAATTCGGACCTGAAATTTCAGAGCTGAATGAATGAACAAGAAAATTAACATTTAATTGTTTAACAGATTACAATTGTATTAAAAAAATGTGTTGTGTTGTTTAAATCATGTATATTTTTTTGTGAATAATTTTATTTATTATATACAAATTTTTTGTGCAGCTTTTTTAAAATAAAGTTTACAAAAGACATTACATTTTTTTTACTTTTAGCAAAGTTTAGTTGTTTTTATTTAGAACAATATGAAAACAACAGAAGTGTTTTTGGGCTAGTTAGAAAATTTTTTTGCATAACCATTTTTACTTCATCGACTTTACATGACCAGGGTTTGTACACGGGATAAAACTTAGGGTTATGGGTAAGGATATTTTAGGTTTGGTTAGGGACAGGATTAGAGTTGGGTTTAGAAACATGTTAGGTTAGAGTTAGGTTTAAGTATGAGTTGGAATTAGGTAAAATGTTAGGTTAGATAAGGGTAAGTTTAATGATATGTTAGGTTAGGTAAGGGTGAGGATTCGAGTTAAGTTTAGGTATGGGCTAGATTTACACATGGGTTGGGATTAGGTAGGCACAAGATAGGTTAAGTTAGAGTGAGAATTACAGATAGGGATGGGTTGGGATAGGTTTAGGAACATGCTAGGTTAGGGCCAGGATTAGTGTTAGGTTTAGGTATGGGCTAGATTTACACATGGGTTGGGATTAGGTAGGGGCAAGATAGGTTAGATTAGAGTGGGAATTACAGATAGGGATGGGTTGGGATAGGTTTAGGAACATGCTAGGTTAGGGCCAGGATAAGTGTTAGGTTTAGGTACGGGTTAGGCTTTAGTTTAATGATGGGGTGAGATTAGGTTTTTTATATACAGTAGAAAGTGTTTATAACAACACCATTTATAAGGAACGGCCGGTTATAACGTATAAAATCTCTGGTCCTGTGAAATGTCATAAGGAAAAAAATGTAGGGAACCGTTTATAACGAACTTTTGGTTATAGTAGACAGCATGGAAAAGTAACCCCAGCTGCCTAATGCCTCTAGGAAAGATTCTCCCCCTTTTTTACTATAAATATCTTTAAAAAATCTCTAAATAAATTAAAAAAACCACGACCTTAGTCTCTTCTGTTGAGGAAAAATTCATGATCATATCTCAGATCGAATCGGGAGATTGTCCCAGCAGTCTCACAAATGAAATGGGGACATATCGTCCCAAATCAGGAGTTTGAGGAAAAAATAAAGGAAAAATAATCAAACAATTTAATAACTGCCATAAAGTTTTAAAAAAATACGAGCCAAAAAAAATAACATCACATATTACGATGATACTGTAGTCAAATAACTACATTCACATTTGTACATACACACACGCACCTATTTTAAAAACATTTATGTAAATAAATTACTTTAGCACGTTAGTATGTATTTTATACTCCCTCATAAACCTGAATAAATTATATAATTACTTATATAATGAAAACTGCTCTGCTATAATGTACATGCCTATCAATTGGATGACATGTTCAGATAGAAGTGAATACTGCTTATAACGTACAAAATTTTATGGTCCCCTGAAGTTTGTTTTAAACGATTTATACTATAAACAGGTTTTTGATAAACTTTCTATAATCTATTAATCTACAGGTTAATATATTAAAACTATCCAAATATGAAAAAATAGAGAATAACAAAAAAATTTATTTAGTTTTGTTAGTAATGTTAGAATAAATAAGTACCTCATTGTCGTTTGTGCAAGTTGGGTAATAGCAAATTCTGGGTCTTCAACTCCATAACTTGCAAAGTATGGATCTAATATCCTCAAATATAAAACCCCATCGATATTTAGGGTCACATTGTCTACAAAACAATCAAAACATTACATAAAGGTTAAAAAAAAAATCACATTTTACAACTATTTATATGGTCATGTTGAGGAAAGTAAATAATCAATATTATTCTCCTCCTTCACTTCACTACTTAAACTACTCCTCAGAAAGGAGGTTGTGGGCCCATTTGCAAATTAGACGCCTTATAGGATTGTAGGGATGGGATAGCTGGACAAGGCTTGGGTGGGACTACTGGGGTGTTAGGAAAGATTGTTGTGTAACTTTATAAATTTTTGGATAAATGGGTTTTTAAGGCCGTTATGGATATTGGAAGGTTTACTGGTCCCCACAGTTCAATTGGTTGTAAAGCTTTTTGTAGGCTGTAAGTTTTTTGTCAAGAGGTTGGCTTGTCATCCTATAAGTTTGTAATGTAGACCGTAGAGTCTGTTTAGGTCTTGTCTTTTCAGTTGCTTATCCTGGTTTCATGTTACCATAAGCCTAGGTGGAACCCAAGGTAACGAACACAGCCTGATTTTAGTATAAGAATATTGTTGTAGTATATGTAAGAGGAGATTTGCTTCAGAGTGTAAAAGTGATAATAACGCACTCGCTTTCATTTTTCTTATTTACACTAGTCTGCTATACATATGTTTCTTCATATCTTTCGAAGCAACTGCAGGAGTGGAGTCAAAGAATAGTATGGCTGTGACATAGGCAAAAGATGCGAGGAGAGTGCAAGTATTGTTGGGACATCTCCAAATAATCATTAATTAACGGTCACTAAACACCACACAATTTTTTCTACTGTGTGGTGTTTAGTGACCGTGAGATGTGGTCTGGTGTTTTAGAAAAACATTTTCTTTATCGTGCCAATGTTTCGATCTTTATTGTGATTAATCTGATTGAGATCTAAATATGATCTCAATAAAGATCGAAATATTGGCACGATAAAGAAAATGTTTTTCTAAAAACCTACGTCACACCAGACCGCATCTCACGATCTCCAAATAATCAAGTATAAAGAATATGTAGGATTGGTACTCCTGCAGCCAGAGAACAGTAATCGAAGTCTGATCCTTTTCAGACCTAAAAGAACCACTCTGTTAAGTAAGAGCGGAGAATTAAGTAGAGAGTATTTGGAATGACATGCTTTAATTTGTATAAGAGACCCTTGGCTACATGCGGTCAAACACTTGTGTCATATCAAGAAAGTTCCCATACAATCACAACATGAAACACTTCCTGAACTCTGCAATGGTGAGAGCGAAAGCCAAACTGGTGACCTGGGAGAAGGTTCAAAAGATCATGATAGCAAAAGGCAAAGTAGGAATTTCAGGACCTCTATATAAAAAATGTGAAATCTCAATATGACAAAATCAACAAAAGCAGGATTTTTGACAAGTTCGGTCTTCATCACCCTGCAGTCATCACTTTTCACAATTAACATTTTACCTGAGGTGATCGCAGTTTGCTTAGGTATATCAATAGCCATTTCCTTTAAACTTTGAACGTATTTCACTGAATCGATAATTGGCACTAAAAGATTGAGACCAGGCTCGAGAATGCGATGAAATTTTCCCATTCTCTCAACGACCCATGCCTAAAAGTAAAACAAATTTTATTGTTAGAGAATTTTTATTTGTAAAAAATGCCAATAACACTTGTTGAACAAGCAAGGACATGGCAGGAACGAATTTAAAACAACCTTGCCAAAATAAAATCCCAAGTAATTAATTTTTTAAATAACTGACTATTTAATGGTAATTAAGTACCTCTTGTTGTGGAACAAACATAATAATTGTATTTAAAGGAGTCGACGATCGTTTCCGAACTGCCACACTATGCCAATAATTTTGATATCCCATGCAATTCTGGAATCATAAAAATATTAGCTATATTCAAAAAGTAAGTAATAGAAAAAATTCACACAGTATACGATAAACATAAAAATTATCATTAGGATAAAGTCCGAGATAGTAAAAATTATAACTAAACTAAGCAGGTCATTGACGAATATCAGAGAATATCAAAGCAAATGATTGTTACGGGTAAGGACTGGTGGAAAACAGAAAAGACCAGGGAAAATAGAAAATATGAGTGAGGTCTTTGCTCAGACTTCAGGCCAGGTTAATAACAAATATCACTAAAATACCTATTAATGTTATTATAATGAATATTTAACATGTATACCAAAACAATAAAAAGCTTTATTTTTTTTGGATTTATATAAACTCAAATCCACACATTTATGCAAATGCACACTTGTACTTAGTTGAGCCTTTCATCACTTCAAGCAATTCCAGCTTTTGTAATTTATAATAAATTACAGGTAGGCCTCGAGAATGCCCCATCTTGGTCTGGGGTCTCGGGCTTATCCATTCAGCCACCATTACATAGAAATACATGTAATTTGTCCCCTCTCATAGCCCCTCATCACTGTGGGCTATGGCACATTTGGCCAATAGATGATCCAACCCTTGGCTCAAGATTGGGCCAGCATGGCCTCAATGGCCTATAGTTGCTTACTTTTCCTATGCCGAGATGGATATGGAGGTTGAAGAAATTGCGGTTTGCAACTTTGTGGTGGCCATCCACCGTGCCTGTGCATACAATCTCTATAAGCACCCTCCTTGTGCATATGGAAAATTAGACGACGTAAAAATAAAGTGTGTGAAGATGCAAAGACCGCCTACAGAGTCCCTTGAATGTGTACTGGGAAGTGGATGGGGAATGGTGATGTACCACTTATAATCTCTCCTGTTCCTGCAACCTCTTGCCTTCTCATGGCAGCCACTGTTAAAGACCTCTCCGGAGGCTGAACTAAAAGAGGATTGCAACCAGTTCATTCAGTGAAGTCCTAGCAAATACAGATTGGGGTGGAGCAGGCCCAACTTGAAAGGGTGAGCTTGCAAAGCCCTGGGGACACCCATTGCCAAAGGGTGGTACATTATGCCCAGGGTGAGGGGCACAATCTGAAAAGGTGAGCCTTGTGTTCTCGAGCATTTCCTTGTCTCAGTCCAAGTCCCACAGCATATTTCCTCAAGACCTTTCCTAAACCTTGGATGCTGGGGAGTTTCCAGGTATAGCATAATGGTGTAGCCTTGTGAGCGTAGTGAACTCTCTTAAGCACACACTGTACTCGCATGTTGGCTATACTTCAGCAGGCAGACTGAGGGCACTCTATCATTAGGGGGTTAGAGTAACAGATCCTGTCTGCAAAGATGAAGGAGGGTGTATAATCAACTGAACTACGGGGTCGCTCAAAGTTCCAAGTTGCAAGCCTGGTAGTGCACCGCATGGGATTGGAATCATATGGCCCTATGGTGTGACCCCTGGCAAGTACTTAAGAGTAGAGCCTGTTGTTCAGTAGTGCCTTAACCAAAGGCAGTGTTCCACTAGCAGTGGTTAGACATTCCACTATAAGCAAAACCGCGACCAGTGCGGATCCGGCAGTTCCGACGCTGGTGGGGCCCCAACACTCTGGGAGATAAAGTTACCTTCTCTATCTATGTAGTATAGCAGGAAACCAACTGATGTATTTCAGTACCAAGTGAGTGGTTGTCCAATGGCTATGCAGCACACGGTTGGGTGCATAGATGTTGACTACCCCCACAGAAGGGGCAAGTAGGAGAAGTCACCTTAGTCTGTGAATGAATGGCTACAACACCAAACCTCACAGGATTAACACTGACCACTTGTGAGCGGAGGTGTCGCTCCTATCTTGAAAACCTAAACAATGATAAACAACACCTTGTGCCAGGTGAGCATGTTAAAAACCTCATTGTCCTTCTGATGACATTGAGACCCCCAACCAGAACCATATGTTGCAGCTTTTATTTGGCTAGGGTGTATAATTGCTATTTACTTATTATTGACAGAAACCTGGTTGGAAACAACAAACAATGGCCGACCAATGTTGGCCCAGTGTGTGGACAGGTCACCTATATCTACTGTGCTTTTGGTTCACGCACGTTGGTCTCCTTTGATGCACTGCTCCCAAAGCCAATGTATGCCAACACAATTTCAAACTTTGACCAATATGGGACACTTACAGGACATCCTCCTATACAGTTTAAGCCTTACCAAAGAGGGACCCATTAAAGATCGTTGATTTAAAGAAAGGTGTGGCCATGAAATGTTAGATCAGTCTACATTTTTCTTGTGTTGTTATACCTACTGCTTGACTCTGGAGGCATATGTATAGACTCGGAGTGGCAGAAACAAGCCTGTGCAAATATTGCCAAGAGGAAAAGCAAAGGCCTGAAAGATACATACGGGAGCCCTTGAAAAAGCTTTGGGGACGGCAAAAAGCCTCAAGCTTAACGAGGAACTCAAGATAAAAAATAATGGAGATGTACAATACTGGTCGCAGTGCACAGATCATAAAGAGGCCTGCTCCTACATAATCTAATCTATACCGACTGTTTAGAAATGGATGAAAAAAGATGAAGAAGCAATGAAGAAAATGTAAAAAAAAAAAATTAAAGAAAAATTCTCGGTATGTTTAACGTTTTGTTTGGGGATGGTTATTGGTTTAACGGATATGATAAAGTGTTGGGTTGGAATAGTTTTTTTTTGTATGGATATATTTTTTTAACAGTCTGTAATTCAAACTAATTGCTGCAGGAGAGTATTCGGATTATTGAAAAATTTGGATTACAGACGGTATTAAAAAATAGAGCACTGAATCTGTACTTTTTCTTTTAATTGTATCCTGAAAAGTTATGATTCATTGGGTTATTATCAGTCATTGATAAACTTTGATATTAAAAATTTTCAAAAGCCCAATTAGATTGAAAAAAAAAGAAATCAATCTAATTGTAAATTTTCGATGAAAAGTTAGTATTTCTTCTTACCACAGGACTTCTCCTGCTGAACTTCAAACCAACTGTTTTGAACATGACTTCAATGTTTTTAACCAGACGTCAGTAACACTTAGGCAAAAATTCCCGTTTCAAGTTTTTATCTTCCAAAAAATTTCAATTTAAAAAAAAAGAACCCTAACATAGCATCGTACTGAACCACCGAGACCCGGTTTCAATCCCCAAAACCTAAACATGAAATTACCCTAACACACATGACACTGGTAAAACCTCGCTGGAATTGTTCGAAACCTCCATGATCGATCATGAGCAACCGGCCCCAACATTTCTTTCAAGGAATGTTCATGAATGACGTAACGATGATTTTATTTTACATTTTATGATTTCCATAAACAACTCGTTAAAAAAAAAATTGTGAACTTAGTAATATCGTCTAAACAAAACTCACAGTATGAAGAATATTACTCAGACAATGGATATGAGTATCTCTAGTGCATGGAATAAAGAAATGAATGAAAAAATTTTATTTTCAATATTATACTTGTTTAAAAAAATAATTGTCAACTTGGTAAATGCATATCATCTAAATAAAACTCACATTATGAAATGGCCTCAATGACTATAAGTATCTCTAGCGCATGAAATAAAGAAATTAATGAAAAAATATTATGATTTCCATTTTCAATATTATCCATGTTTAAAAAAATTGTTGTCAACTTGGTAAATGCATATTGTCTAAATAAAATTGACATTATGAAGAATATTCCTCAGATGGCCTCAATGGCTATCAGCATGTCTAGTGCAGGGAATAAAGAAATGAATAAAAATATTGTATGATTTTCAATGATGAAGGCTTCCCTTATGTCACATAGCATTCTCCACACAGAACTGACCATGATGAGGTGGCTGTCTATCAATTACAGGTCCACTGCCTAATAAGTTTGGGATGCCCTGCTCATGAGAAAAGAATAAATTAGATGTTAAAAATAAATGATATTTAAAAAGAAATATTTTTTGTTCAAGAGGTTAATAGAATAGTTAAATTCAAAACTTCAACTAGAGGAGAGAGATCAGTTGTTTTCTTTGCAGTACACATTCTGTCGTACACTTATTTCATTTTTAAAAATTATCCTACTTTAATTAATATTAGATTATTTTGGTTTAATAAAGGTTATTTGATATTTCCTTAATGCAGTGAGATTGTGAATGGGAGAAGTTGGTTTATTTTTTATATACAGATATATTCTAGATACACTAAAGATACATTTTACAACAAATTTATAATTTATGTGTTACAATTATAGCATTAATATGTAGGTCAACTGGCAGGAGACAAGTGTATTCCTGTATAAGTGTTATCTTGTTCTTTTTAAAAAATGAAATATTTTGTTTGTTCAAATATATCTATTATTAATGTATAAAAAATTACGATGAATAGTACTAGTGGTTCATTACTTAATTGTGTAATTTTTTTTTATAGCCCATAAAAATGGTTAATTGTATTCATTTTTAACTTTTAAATATGTAAAATGTGTTGTTTGATGAATGAATGTATGAAGAAAGGACTTAATTTGCAAAACAAAAATATAGTATAATAATAATTTAAAAGTTAAGCAAAAAAACAATACATGTATATTTAAATAATAAGAATAGTTTCTTGCATTCGGTCGTTTTATTTTCATTTTCAACCGCGATTGTATTGGTTTAGGTCATTTCAATAGCTTTGCACGTGTCAGTTGAAAATTTTGAATATTAAATTTGCAAATTTTTTTATGAATACTCCTAGGATTCAATATGAAGAATTAATGCCAGGATTGGGCAATAATATAATATTTTTGCTAAAAGTTCTTTTAGTAAATAGTATATATATATATGTTTTTAAAATATTTTTTTCCCTATGGTCGTTTTAGTTTTATTTTCAACTGCGATCGTATTGCTTTAAAATGTTTTAATTGCTTTTCACGTGTCAGTTGAAAAATTTGAATATTTAATTTGAATTTTTTTTAAATGAATACTCCTGGTATTCGATATAAACAATTAAAGCCAAGATTGGGTATAACATCATATTTTTGCTAAAAGTTCTTTTAGTACATAGTATATATATATGTATTTGAAAACCTTTTTTTTCACTTGGTGTTTTTATTTTTATTTTCAACCATGAACATATTGGTTTAAGTTATTTCAATAGGTTTTTATGTGAAAGTTGAAAAATGTGAACATTAAANATTATATATGTATTTGATAATATATTATTTTTAAATATTGAATTTGCAAATTTTGTCAAAGACGAGGTGGAAATTGGGTGGGCAGCCTTTTAAAAAAAAAGCCGTTAAGTGTAAGGGGCAAGTATGACGTCAAAGAGCACCCAATGCTCTCTGAATCAGTCGATGACGCCAACGTCCGACTGGGCGACTGTTATCCGTTTATTACCGCTCGGCTTTTCCCGCCTGGAGACATTCAGTTTGGTCAACGGCGTAAACCGTGTCCATTGTGTCGAGGAGGCTCCCGAGTCCGACTTTTTTGCGATTCGTCCCAGCAGAAATGTCTCACAGAACATCCCAGATCTACTATTCCGAAAAGTACTTCGACGACAAGTACGAATACAGGTACCGTTTCAATATATCTTCACACGTTAAAACGAAAACCCGTCTCGGGTTCAGATTTTGCCCCTAAACCACGTGACAAAAGAGCAATTCCGTTCCATTCGTCAAATTCGGTTTTCTTTTTTTTCGTATTTACCGAAACGGTCGGTTTATTTTGAGATTTTCTCCGCGGAAAATTTCCCCCCGGTTTAATAGGACTTTTCCTTCGTAGGCATTTTTTTTTCTCCTCCTTGGACATTAGAATTTATCATATATCTGAATATCTTTTACAGAATATCTTCGAGATCTTGAAAATTTGTTTAAAATTATTATCAGACGGACTCAATTTTTCCCTGGTTTCGGAAACCGTGGACCGTTAGGTTTGAGATATGAAAGATTGCTGGAATTTTCATGTCCCTCGCCCTCGAAGACTTATCCAACTTTTTTTTCATATAATCCTATAAGTGGATAATTTGATAAAAAAAAATTTAAATTTCTTCCCTAATCTCAAACCAAAAACGGGCATGAAAATAAACTTTCCTCCATATTGGACAAAAAACAAAACACCAAATTAGTGCTCTTTTCTTTGAAAACTACATTTTATTGTAAGACATAAATTTTATCAAGTACTCCGCAATAAAAAAAAAATCTTTTTCTGAAAATTAATAAAACACCCAGATTTTTGCCCTTTTGTTAAGGCATTTTTTCCCATAGGAAATGTTCAAAATTAGTTTATAAAACGTTAAGATAAATAGATCTTATCTAGTATAATCAATTGTACAATAAACAAAATTTTTATTTTTTCATGTTTCTAATTTGAATTGGAATGAAAATATTTCAATGAGTCATTCTTAATTTTGCTGAAAGGCCAATTTTTCCAATTTTATTCTAAGCGCACTGATTTTGTCGGACATTTTGCATAGGTGTAAATAAATTTAGACTGACAAACGTATGTTATAAATTACATTTCAATATATCATCCGGCCTTCGCGAAATTTAATTCTGTATATTAAATGTTTTATTTAATACAAAACTTACAAACTAGTACATTCAGAACACTAGTTTTACTGATGTTCATGGTTCGGACTCCCGAGTGGATCTGCTGTTGAAATGTGCGACTTGATGCTCAGTTCAATAGTTTAAGTCATCATTGATTTAGTTGATTTCTGGGGTAATCGCGATGTAATATCTCCACTCCCCAGAGTAGGAATTAACCTGGAATATCTTAAGTGGGGTACACATATTCTTTTTATCTGCACAGTTATCTGTCTTAAATAACTGTGTGAACATCTGTACAATTAACTGAACTGAGGGTGTTAGGCTGCATTAATTTTTGCCTCAGTTCCACCGGTACTTCAGATGACAGAAAAAGAAGTGCCACAGTTACTTGGTAAAAGTAGGAGGCAAAAGGAAAAAACGCCGTGTGGGATAGTGCAAAGATTGGGTTCTGCAAAGAAGCATTTTACCAAGTGTTTGGGAATTTATGATTTTTAAAATTAACTAGGAATATGCATTTCATATGATATTGAATAAAGTTGCTCCCCTTATAGAAAAAAAGGACACTGTCTTAAGAGAAGCAATATCACTTCATGTGAGACTAATTGCTACTCTTCTGTTCCTAACAACTAGAAGAAATTTTCAAGACTTTCGCAAATGCTAAAAGATTAAAGACCAGGTGCCAGTAACTGAGCAAACTGTATGTTAAACTGCACATTGTATCATTGCAAAAGTTGATCTGAATGCGCCACAGACTTTTGATCTGCCTGAAAATCCGTGTAAACTTCGCAATTCTCACACTTTATCAATCAGACATGACGTGTTGGCCCGATTTCCAATGACTTGGTTTACATTTTGCAAGAAATAATTTTGCGTGTTGTGGTTTGACAAGGGGACATTGGAATAAAGACTGATTTTACAATTCTTCATGTGCTTGGGATGAATCCCATAGCCAGACAGCTTTTGTAAATTTTACAAGTACAGGGATTAGGGTAACTTTTCCCTTTTGTAAGAGTACTGGGTATATCCCGTCAGTTCCTGGAGATATGAATGGGCTGAAGTTATCAATGGCCCATTCAATTTTTTATAGGTGATTATTGTTTTGACAATTTACTACTCTTCTCTGCTGGCTTCGTGGCCTTTGGCGGGGTCAGTATTGTTCCTTATGTACAGGTTAGTAATATCTATTGAATCTGCAAAGTGATTACTTCTTAGCATTTCTTATGTTTCCTTTCCGGTTTGTACATGTTTTTTACATCTGGTTTTTTAGAGATGGGGTTTATAGGGTCTTTGGCAAGGATTTTGTGGAGCCTACTTGTTTCAGTGGTGTTTTCAACTTCTTTATGATATTTCCTCAATGTTTCTTGTTTTGTCTTTTTAATCTCCTTCATTGATCATTTTTGATGACCCTTACGGTTTTCATTGCAGGATGCATCAGCTATGTCTACCATAAAGAGTTAGACCTTTGCTTTCTACTCTCTGGCAGATGACTCTCCATTGCCCAGTATTAATACTTGCATTTTGGGATTTTGTCAGCCCAAGAATAATGGCAGTGTCCGTAGTGTCCAGAAGGTTAGGACCGGTATCTACATGGTCGCTCTAGTGTTTTTATAATTTCTCTGTTCTTACCTACCCTGAGGTTTGTCCCTTCCCACGGGTGGATAGTAGGTCCCGTTTCCATGAGCCATTCTTTGGCATGGTTCTTGCAAGTTATCAGGACAGCCCCTTTTTCAATGTAGCCATTCATGAACTGAGGTCCTTTGGAGTTTTTGCAACTCCAAACCTCACACCTCTGTTACGGTTACCTTAGTAATTCCTTTGTAAGTCTTGCAGATGGCTCTTCTATGAATCTCTTCGCATGCCTCATGCTTGGGTGTTGTTCTGCCAGGTTTTGGACTCATTTAAGGATCCATTTTTTTTTTGGCAAGATATTGGCCACAAAGGGTTCTTTGGGGCTTAGAGACTTCATATTGGCCAACATGTCCACTTTCTCATTATTTCTACGTCCCGAATATCTGGGTCAGGTCATTGGTGTCATTGACTTCTGCCAGGGCTTCCATACAATTTTTGCCTTTACCTCACATGGTAAACTGTTCTTTCCTGAAGATGGTACAATGTCAAAATTCAACAAACCTCATGTACAATGAGTAGTTCAACAAACCTGCAAATGAAGACAGATCCAATAACAGTTCAGCATGACTTCATAAATATTGTTCCTCATTCATAATTATTTGATAAGGAATTTCTTGAATTGTGTGGCTGGGACAGCAAATAAGTTGTGGAATACTCATCAGTGTCTGGTTTTCTTGTTGATAGTTTCTTTGATTTGGGTTTGCAAAATTCTACCATGGGTAATGTTTTGTACTGGCTAAAATGGTTATTCTTGGTACCTGAATGATTTTGGTGAAAATTGCATACAACTTCACGTTTTCTATCTGTCCATAATTTTTAGATCAATGAGTGAATTGATGTTGAAAGTCGTGCCTTAATTCTATAATTAAAATTAATAATTTATGAAATATTTCCAGTTAATTCTTTACATTATCACAAAATATTTGCATTGTCTAATTTTAAATTATCTACATCTACTTTTTTTGTATTTCCAAAAATACACAAGCGTATTTCTATAATGGATGGGTGGGGAACGTCAGTGGCCGCAATGGTTTAGGCATTGTCATGGTGCTCATCACTCTAAGGTCCTGGTTTTGAATCCAGCAGCCGTGCATTTGAACCCAACATACTTACAAATGGACTTTTTTTCAAAACCACCGGCACCCCAAGGGTTCATATGACCTCTGCTATTGTCAACCTCTGCTTCATAAAAAAATAAATATATACAATAATAGATAGGATAATTCCTTGTTTTCTCCGTGTTCTAGCCTCTTTATATACTAACCCTTAACTGGTTCCCTTTTTCCTGAAAAACTAGCGGGTTTTCAAGAAGACTATCAAATTTAATGTTTTATTATAAGTAATTATTACTGATGTATCGATTTTTCAGGCACGTTGTATTACCTAAGGACATGGTGAAATTGCTTCCAACAGCAAGATTAATGACAGAAACTGAATGGAGAAGCATTGGTGTGCAACAAAGCCCTGGTTGGATTCATTACATGATTCACACGCCTGGTAAAGAATTTTTTTTAGAAATATTATGTACTTTTTATTTGGTTTTGTGTGTGACATACAATTTTTCTTGGTGTATAGCACTGTGTTACATGAGTTATATGAAATTGTGTAGAAAAGCTCTCTATTTATTTATTTATTTTTTTTTTTTAACTTTATTGTGACATACATTACATTTCATGTTGAGCCGTTAAAAATTTAAGTTTTTTTTTCCCATCCAAACCTTACTTACGTGTGACTTGTCAGGTTGTTACAATATCAGTTTTTGTAATGGTCCAATTTTTAGATAACTAAAAACATTTTTGAAATTGAGTAATCTACAATATTGACAAACAAAATGTACAAAACTTTTAATTGTCCATTGAGTTTTGCGTTTTTATCTTGTTTTTATAACATTTGAAGTGTTAAAGCAGTAATGTCTTTCGTATTAAATGAGTACAGTAGAATTCCAATTATCCAAAATCTGACGGACTTCTATAAATCCATTATATAATTATTTTTACTTTTTTTATTTTATTTATTTATTTTTTAATTTTAATTTTAATTTTTTTGTGAACTGTAATTGTAAATCAGTCTGCATTCTTTACTTAACAATATTCATAGTATGTGATATTTCTTAGTAATTTTGCATCAAAAAATATCCTCTTTTTTTAAGAAATCCAATTATTCCAGATATTTGATTAACCAGACCTGGTCGGTCTCAATTAATCCAGATAATTGGAGTTCTACTGTATAAGGCACTTTTGCCTTATTTCCACAATACTTTATTACAACTTTTTCTGGCAATAAGAGATTTATCAGAACCGAACAAGGTCACCAATTTTTTTTTCTTCTTCTTCTCCCCCCATCATCGACTATTTTATCTTTACAGAGCCATGGATCCTGCTGTTCAAGCGACCCATCACGACTCCACCACCAAACAAGGAATAACGCGTTTTTACCCATATCAAATTAAGCCTGAACCTATTCCAGATACTTTTTAAAGAGTTAATTTCGATTATTTAGATGTTATAAAATGTTATTTATGAATCACTTCTACAGTTTAACTACAGACTCTTATCAGAACATAATATTAATTGTGTGTTAAATGTTCACAGAATAAAAAACAATAGCAATTATTTTCTTCTCAGATTTTATTTATATTTTATCAGATTTAAGTTTTGGGAAATAAATAATCAACATTAACTCGTATAATATTTGAAATAGTGTAGTGGCCCAAAATCTCTCATCGATGAAGAGTTTATATTGGTTTTTTGTCATCGAGGCTAATAAAGAATCAGCTTATTTGTAACCTGTATTAATATTCTGTTTTTTTTTTTGAATACCACTAACAATGTTAAATAACTAAAAATATAATAAGACTCGTATTGGTTTATTTTCTTTTTATTGGTAGTGTTTTATAATTACAAAGAACGTCGATAGTTCATAGTGCTTTTTTTGCTGTTCTGTGAATGGTGGATATATTTAATTTTAAAGCTAAATTATTTTAAACAATAGGTTCATTGGCGTAATATGTATTGAACAAAATTTTAAAACGGATTACCTAATTTTTTAGTTGTACCACTTTTGTCGGCGCATTGCTTGAACAAACAAACCTGTTATAAAATTTTTTTTTTATTTTGTTTGTTCAGCAATATTTTATGTAATTACTAATTAATATTTGGAGGAAAAAAAAGAGCGAGAGAGAGGGAGAGTTTATTTAGGTACCTTAGCACAAATTTTGATTAATTCTGTATTAATTTGTCTACAATTACATTAAATATTATAAAACTTAATCAGGGTGCAATGAGTAATGATTGTATGAATGTGTTTTCTCCGTGTTCAGAAAATAGTTATTTTGTACATGTATAAATGTTTAAAACTATTCTCTACTTGCGCTTTGAAACCCGAAAATAAACAATGCTTTTCTTTTTTAGACTGCTGTTTCCAATCAAATAAAAGGTTTAATTTGAGTAGTAAAAAAAGAAATGATTACATTTATATGGAAATAAAACAATCATATAAATATTAAAATTGTGATGACTATTTTGTGTAGAAAAGATATTTGTATTTTAAGAATATGTACTATATAGTTTTAATGCTCGTTGTTATTGTTACATTTCGCTAGTTTTCTCGTTTTTGTATAGGTGACAGTTGTCTCAAGTTAGTATGATGTGATTGCCACTGATTAAGTCCTAATTGAAGTAGATTTAGCAAAATATATTATATGACTTTATGTGTCACATAAACTTGTGGCTGGAATATTTTGAAATTTTGTTTCTTTGTGATCAATTTGTATTTTCTATATATTTGTTTTAAACATTCCTATGTTGTATTGAAATCATACCATTTTTATAAATATATATTTTTAATTAAACTGAAGTTACGCGGATTTTATTATATTCCAGCTTCTTTTGAAGGTTTATTCATTTTTATTGCTACTCTGCAGTCGATAAGTTGTAAAAGTATAATAAACAAATTCAAAAAAATTTATTTTTCTACTTAATTCGAATCTGATCTAGAACGTGTTAACCATGTTACTCTGATTCACTTTTTTCCCTTCTCATGTTAAAAGATAATGGGAGATTTGTGGTTTTCTGAATATTTCTCAGTTCAAAAAAAAAAAAAAAAAAATCTGATCTAACAAAAGTACATTTAAAGTATACTCTGCTTCGTCATGGCTTATTCCTGATTTATTTCTTGAAAACTTAACTATTTAATAATAAATGACCAATTAAAAAGGTTAATTTCAATCATCTCTTCAAGATTTATTATTTTATTATTATTATTGCAAATAAAAATAATATTACAAACTTAAATTGCACAATGCTATTATAAATATAATTTGGTAAAGTTAAACTTACATTTCTGGTCAGTATAGTGTAACGAGTTGTTTGTTTTTGTTAAAAGAAATCACAATATATTTAATTTTAAATTTATAAAGCACATATAATATTTACTAAATCCCTATATGTATATTTACAAGTGAATTGGTTACAAGACCATCTAGGGTTTAAGGGCTATTTACTTTTGCACTCAAAAGAACTAAAAATTACAATATAAATTAGAATTTAAAAAATAATAATATTAAAAAAACTACATTTATTATTATTATTAGAAAATAGAAATAACCAATCTACATCCGTCTTTATGATTATTTGGCGTGTTGAAACCATAAACTTCCACTATCTACATTGATTTCCTGTTTAAGTCGTGGAGACAGTTCGTCGTAAATCTCTTGAGGGATGTTTTCTGAAATATGGTCAATTTTGTTAACGTGCGGTAATCTGAAATCGACAAAACATTTGATACTCACCGTTACACCTGTAAACTAAGTCAGCCCAGATTACTTTTTCTTGTGAGAAGGACAACACTCCAAGCCTTCCCCCTTTCAACGTGGAATCGAAAATATTGCCAGAATCGGCGACGATCCTCTTCCCTTCGTAAATTATCAGCCGGATTAACGAAATTTTTGGACGGTGGATTAATAGCCATCTGTACGCTGTGTTTTCCTTCCAGCCGACGTTCCTTGGGTCTTTCCACAAAAGCTTAACCTAACAATAAAAGTTGTATGAGGTGTGGACAACAAATTTTAAACTTTAAAAATCTTCGAAATGTACTTTTGTTTGTTGTTTTTAAATTTACATATTCAGGAGACCACAACTCCCTCCCCCAAATACGTATGAAATTTTTAATTTATTTATATCAAATCTGTAATTTATAATATAATTTTTTTTAAAAATATATGTACAGAATTATAGAAACAAATACTTAAAATGAGTTTTCAGACACTTGGCAAAAGTTGAAAATCACATTTACCTTGCATGTTATTTTACACCTGTATATATTTTAATACAAAAACTTATCAACTGTTACAAATTTATAATAAACTATTTATAAATTACATATAAAAATTAATAAAAAATCACTGAAATGAAAGATTTTTACCTGATCCTGAGTGTTGCCAGTTTGCCATAATGAGTTTCTTAGCATTCGTCCAGGTCCACTAATCGAATTGACAAGTTTCAACTGTATCCCTGGTTCTGCAACAGCTCTGAACGGCGTGGCCTGCCAGTATGTTTGGCCCTTTTTCTTCCACATCACGGTGTAAAACTTATGACTATTTTGGTAACTGAAATAGCAGAATATTTTTCACTTTCAAAATTCCTTTTTTTTTAAAACAATTTATCAATTATATTTTTTTGATCTCGCAATCTTAATTTTAATTAACAGCTATGTTAAAATTACAAAGATTTTCCATCCTTGAATTCATTTTTTTACCCTTATAGACTTGAAATAGCTTAAATAATAATGGGAACAAAATCAATGATATATTGGGGATGATGGGGGGTTAGGTTATTTAAATTTTTATTTCAAATTTAATTAAATACACTAAGTTTTACTATTAAATATAGCGATAGAGTAAAGAAAAGGTAAGTAAATTTTATTCACCTGAAAATAAATCCTATGTAATCATCGTCGACATTGGTATCAACAAAGATGGTTCCCTCAAAATCGACACCACTAAATGCGTCGTAACCTTTAAAAATAAATGTTTAAGGATTAACACTATTTTATATTACACCTATATTAAATTATCGAATTCTAATGGAAAACTTCAATATTTGCAGGACAAATAGACAATTTTTTTAAAAAAAGAATATGAACCCCCCCCATCAAAACATATGAATGAAAAATTCATTGCTTCTTGATTATTTCAATTTATTGTGTAACTGATTGTTTTATTTAAGCTTAGATTAAAAAAAAAATCAATTAAATTTGAAATTTCAACTTTTTTTACCAATCGTGTGATAAATTGAAATGATCGAGTATTGAAGAAAAATTTCATCTCCAGAATAGATAGATGATTTTTTGAGTTTCTGGTATGATTTTTACAATGGAAAGGACTTAAAATTCATCCTCAAAACTTACTTGATTCGTTCTGGAGATGTTCTTCAAAACTCGATTATTTCAATTTATTGCATAACTGTTTGTTATTTAGTTATGTTAAAAAATCAACATACATTTTTTTAACCAGTTACATATAAATTGAAATTATCAAGTCTAAAGGAAAATTGCAATATCTCAGAATGAATTGATGAAATTTTGAGTTTCTGGTATCGCTTATTTTCAAAATATGCAAAAAAGTACATCCTCAAAAAATCATCTATTTATTCTAGAGATGTTTAAGTTTTCCTTCAGAACTTGATAATTTCATTTATTGTGTAACTAATTATTTAATGTTAGATTAAAAAATCAACAAATTTTCAAAGCAAGTGCAAAACCAACTAGACCCAAAACCTACAATGGTGATAACAACAAACAGACGCCTCCATCTAAGAATGGGCAAATAAAAAACAAAAGTTGGTGTACTCCCAAGGTCTCAGGCATAATAAATTCATGAAAAACTGGCAAACACGTCATTAGTTAGACTGGGTAAAACTCAGAGTAGTGATAAGACTACTGTGGTCACTGTCACTGGCATCTGAGAAAACACCTGCACAACAGCGTTTTCTAAATTTCCCACTCCCACTAGCCTTAAAAAATAATTTAACCAGCGCACTGCTTCTCTGAACTTCAGTCTAAAAGTGAAGAGAGTAGAAAGCGATATCACCCACAGTACATCACTTGGAGAAAGAAGAACACTGATGGTCCTGAATGGGTTAAGCAATAAGGAAGAAGAAAGCGCACATTCTGTGAATGAGAAGCAACGGTACAATGAAGACATAACCTATGGTATCAAGAAGATGAGAGAAAAAATGCAGCAATGACTATTTCTTAAAACAAGGATTGCATCATTTGAATTGAACAGAAAAACTAAGAAAAGTACAATAAGCCAAAACACTGCACTGCTTGGGGAATACTAAACCCCTGCTTCCTGGTATCTCATTTTTTTTTTTTAAATTATCCATATAGTTGTTCATTAAGTTAGTTCCATTGAAACAGTAAATATATAAGTGGTCGAATAAGATGATATAATTTTGAAAGTTAATTAGTTTTTGGTCATCTACCAGAGTATATTTTTAATTAATTAATTATATTTATGTAAAGTGAGGCTAAGGTAAAAATTAGTATCAAAAGTGGGTCTTGAACTCATGACATCCTGATTAATACCCGATTCTCTACCACTTAAACCACTGACTGTCCCTGAGACACCATTTTTTATTTTTTATTTTTAAGTTTAATAAACAGTTTTGATCTTTTAAAGGATTTTGCAGCTTTAGTGTCTTTCATCATCCTAGACTACCTATTTTTGGTCACCAAACCAATGAGAAAAAGGAAATGATTAGATACGATGAGTCCATTACCACATAGGCCTCATGTTTTTCTAAACTGCTCTGTACGATTAAAAAAAAAAAAGAGATAATTAAAAAAACTGCTCATATATAGTACACGTTATCTTTAAAATCAAATATTTCACCTAAAGCCAATCCCGGATCGCTGTTCATTGTCTGAACGATTTCCGCTCCTTCATCGTAGATAATCCAATGAGGATCGATTTGAGTTTCTCCCTCTGGGTCCAGTGCTACTGTTTGAAATGTTCTGTAACAAAAACAATAATTATAATACAAATAGGCTCATTTAGTTATATTATAATCTTACCTAAAGTCGGTTTGAAATATTTTTGAATTATTTGGGCAATTGTCCATATGGTTTATGACACCATCACCGTCAAAATCATCTTCACATTCATCTCCGACACCATTGCCTGCACAACAGCCAATTTGACAGGTGAGCATTTAAACAAACTTATCCGTATTGTCATTGATTTTCAGAAAATTAAATTTATAAAAGTGAATTGGATTAACCAAGTCTATAGAAACAATTTTTCAATCGATGTTTATTTGTAATAACATCCTAAAATAGTGTGGTGATTAGTGACCGTTAATCGATAATTATTCAGAAATCGTGAGATGCGGTCTGGTGTGATGTAGGTTTCAGAAAAACATTTTCTTTATCGTGCCAACGTTTCGATCTTTATTGAGATCATCTTCAGGGCTCAAAGTGTTTGTCTTCTGTGTAATTGTGCCATTCTTGTGTGCCGTGTTGAGAATGCCTTGCACTGAAAACAAATTGAGCCCTGAAGATGATCTCAATCAAGCTCGAAACGTTGGCACGATAAGGAAAATGTTTTTCTTACACCTACGTCACACCAGACCGCATCTCACGATTTCTGAATAGTTATCGATTAACGGTCACTAATCACCACACTATTTCAGGATGTTATTACAAATAAACATCGATTGAAAAATTTCTGAATAATTTGAACGATTTCTGAATAATTAATCTAAAATAGTATAATTGCAATTTAGGAGACGACAGTGGCCGATTTTAGCGATTTTTTTATTTCTATTTTGTTAAAGAGCGTTGGTATGTTCAAACGCTTTGGTAGTGGCGATGAGCCGGATCAGCAGATATGCTTTCCTGTATCAGAGCACTGTTGATACACGGCCCTTGGAGGATCTGACTCTTAGGAGAGGTGTGATTAAAAATAAAGAATAGGCCAAGTGAGGTAGACTCATGAACCCTTTTGGGCCAAAGCTCAAGCATGTGTCCAGCATATAGAAAAAGGTTGCTCGATGTGCCCCGCTTAATTGAAGGGTGTCATTCCTTGGCTCAATATATAGATTTGTACTTGAGCACAGCAGCTGGGTCCCCCGTTCCAATTTTTAGAGGAAGCGACTGTTTTATGGTATATAGAATTTTACAGGCACTCTGTCTTGTGTTTTGTTGTACAAATTGAGACTGAATGTATTTATTAGTGTGAATGTGAGAGTGAATAGTGTCAGAGGGTTGATATAATATGTGCAAGAGGGTGTTGATGAAATATCAAGTACACCACCCTGAGTGAACGCTATACAAGAAAGAGTGAGAAGACTAAGTTTAAGGGTGAGAGAGAAAATGGATTATGATTTAGTAACTGATTGTTTTTGGGGCTGAAATGACCTAGCTGTTGACAGCCCAACCTCGGTGACTGGACGATAAGACTGAGGTCTGACCCCCAGACTACCAACCCCTGGGGAGGGGGATTCTTGAGGTGTTTGCCAAGCTAGCGGTTCTTGGTTCAAATCACAGCATAGCCCTTGGAATATTAATTGTTAATCATTTGGAAGAAATATTGTAAAGTGGTTTTGACCTCTTGTCCATGACACCCAACAGATAGTCATTAAGCCCTGAACAACAGGAATTAATTTACTTATATCTTACAATAGTTTACTAATTACAATTAAAAAATAAACTAAATAAATCATCTTTTCTGTCTGATATTTTATGACATGTAAAAAATTACTGCAAAAAACTAGAAATGTCAAAACGTAAAAGGTCACTTAAAAATTCACAATTTGTCAGCATAAATAATGTTTAAAATAGTGATTTCCTAACTGTACCATTAAGATCCTCTTGGTCTGGATTGTAAACTAGTCGACAGTTATCATTGTTATTGGAAACGCCATCACCATCGGCATCGTGATCACACTCATCTCCACGTCCATCACCGTCTTTATCAAGTTGGTCGCTGTTTGATATTTTTGGACAATTATCAGAAGAATCCTGAATACCATCTCTGCAAATACAAAGGGTAATTTTGTACATTTTTTATATACATTGTTATATTTATTTTAGTTAATATAAATTGGAAGTAAAAGGACTAAATTTTAAATTGACTATGGATTTGTTTACTTCTACTTTTGATTTACCTGTCTCTATCGATGTCATTGTCACATACATTTCCAATATTATCGAAATCTGAATCTTCCTGATTGGTATTCGGAATCCGAGGGCAGTTGTCGCAGACGTCGCCCAAACCGTCAGAATCTTGGTCTCTCTGATCTGGGTTTGATATGCGTGGACAGTTGTCCTGGTTATTCAGGATACCTTTAAATGACAATACAATTTCAAACAAATATACATTTTTAAATACATATTAAGAAAGAGAATGGTTTATATTTTCACCGTCATTGTCCATGTCCGGATCGCAAGCATCTCCGATGCCATCTTTGTCAACATCTTCTTGGTTGACATTTGGGACAGTGGGACAGTTATCACATTCATTCCCGCTTTTGTCTGCACCGTCTTGGTCAGTGTCCAATTGATCAGGATTCGGAACAAGAGGACAATTATCCTAAAAATATCATCTATAATTTTTGTCTATTTCATCAGTATAACGTGCTTAAGCATATTATGCACACTTTCACTCTGAAGTTGCCATTATCTGTTTTAAAGCTTTTAAATCCTTCTTAATCTGCTAGTCTTGATTATAATATATTTAATTTATGATTATCAAAAATCATTAGATTCAGATTTTTATTTTTTATTTATTTTTAATTTTTAAAGGAGAGAATCTTATAAGAAAATTTTGTTTCAAGACTAGCAATAAATATATATTATGTAAAAATATTTTACTGTACATAAATGTGAAGTGTGTACTGGAAACTTACGGGTTCATTTGATATTCCATCGTTATCCGCATCATCATCGCAAACATCGCCCATTTGGTCACCGTCTGCGTCTTCTTGTCCTGAGTTTGGAATATGTGGGCAGTTATCCTTACAAATAAAAACTTCTTTAGAAAAATCCAAACCACGTATCAGATTCAAAAGTTTTACAAATTTAAAGATGACAACACGCACAGACATGTTACAATTTTGTTTGCTTGCAATTTAACCAATTATAAATCATTTTTATTACATTTGTTTTTTGCTTGCAACTAAAAAAGACACATCTTTAATTGCAAACATCATGACAAAGACATCACATGCCAAGTTTGGCTTCCCCAAAAATTGCTGTTTTGAAAAATTAATGGGGCTTGACTGTGTTAGATTTCAGGTAGATTGAATATAATGTAAATGTTTTAAATATAATTAACGTATGCAGTAATTAGTGTCACTTAATCACTGGCTCAATATATTTAACATACAGTGCTCGCCCTAATGCAAACTTCAGTACTCTGAACCTTATAGTAATCTGGACTGGAGAAAAATTCAAGAAGAAGAATTTTGAAGGAAACAAATTAAAAATTAATTGGGAGGAGGGAGGGGAGAGAGAGAGAGTTAGTGAGAGAAGTGAGTGAGCATGAGGGAGAGAGAGAGAGAGAGACGGATAGTAAGTGAGTGAGAGAGAAAGAGAGAGAGAGAGTATTAGTGAGAGAGGTGAATAAGTGAGTAGAGAAAGAGAGAGAGAGAGAGAGAGAGAGAGAGAGAGAGAGAGAGAGAGAGAGAGAGAGAGAGAGAGAGAGAGAGAGAAAGAGTATTAGTGAGAGAAGTGAATGAATGAGTAGAAAGAGAATAAGTGAGTGAGAGAAAAAAAGAGAGAGTATTAGTGAGAGAAGTGAATGAGTGAGTAGAGAAAAAAGAGAGACATTATTAGTGAGAGAAGTGAATGAGTGAGTAAAAAGAGAATAAGTGAGTGAATAGAAGTGAGTAAGAGAAAAAAAGAGAGAGTATTTGTGAGAGAAGTGAATGAGTGAGCAGAGAAAAAAAGAGAGGGAGAGAGGGAGATGGTATTAGTGAGAGAAGTGAATGAGTGAGTAGAAAGAGAATAAGTGAGTGAATAGAAAGTGAGTGAGAGAAAAAGAGAGAGAGAGAGAGAGTATTAGTGAGAGAAAAAAGAGAGAGAGAGAGTATTAGTGAGAGAAATAAATGAGTAAGTAGAGAAAAAGAGAGAGAGTATTAGTGAGAGAAGTGAATGAGTACATAGAAAGAGAATAAGTGAGTGAATAGAAAGTGAGTGAGAGAAAAAAAAAAGAGAGAGTATTAGTGAGAAAGTGAATGAGTGAGTAGAGAGAAAAAAAGAGAGAGAAAGAATTTGTGTGAGTGAATGAATAAGTGAATGGGAGGGAGAGTCATACGAAAGACCAAGACCAGTTTAGATTATATGAATTTTCGAGAATTTCTTTTGTTCAGTGAATTCCTCCACTGCTAAAAAATGAATTATTAGATCAGTCTAATTATTCTTGAGTTATAAGTATAGTATACCTACTGCTTAAAAATAAGAGAAAAAGAGGAAGAAGCAATGAAGAAAATTTTTAATAAAAAAAAGAAAATTTTAAAGAAAAAGTGACAGTATGTGTATTCTAATAGGTTTAATGTTTTGTGTATGCAATAATAATAAAGAGTTGTGTTGAAATTGCTTTTTTTTGTGTAAATAAGTATTTTTTTAACACCCTCCATAATCCAAATACCCCCTTCCCATTGCGATTAGTTCAAATTACTGAGAGAGCACTATATACGTTTATTGTGAAACCAACCATTGTACAAATAAACAAACCGTACGAATCTGTACGAACAATTGTCACACTAATTACTGGTGGGTGACATTTTAGTTGGATTACAAACTGTCTTCTTAGCTTTAATGGGTGAAGAAAACTATCGAATAAGACATTCTTTTGAAAATTAAATCCAGAAATCTCAGGAAAAGAAATAAACTTAAATGGACTTTTACATAGAAAAGGAGAAACAAAGAGACAATTAACAGTCAAGCAGTGCAATTATTTCAAACATCTGATTAATTATCTATTTAAAAAGAAAAACAATTTACATATCTGGAATTTAATATCAAAGCTATCTTCAATGATGGCACATTTTTTGCTCTTGGGTTGTTTTGTAGTTTTTTTATTATAATAATTTTTTAACAAATACTTTTATAATGATAATTACAAGCGTTCTGATAAGTATCCACTGTTCATTTTTTCTGCGGAAATTTATAACCATATCTCTCACACTTAAGTATAACAAGATTATCAGTCTAAAAAGTAGGCTAAATCTAAAAGTTTAAGGAAATAGGATTCAGCAGTCACAATCATGCTTTTTTATAGTCCATAGTGTGATGTTTGTTCTCAAAGGTTGTTGGGATTTTCTCTCTTTTTATAAACCAACCAGGGAGTGGTCACTTTGAGATTTTTTCTCTTTTTTTAAACTGTTTAGTAATCGGTATCTTTTTAGAACTACTTTTTCCTAAAACAAGAATTATAGCACCCTGGTTTGCAAGTGTCATTAATTTCATTTTTTAAAAATGCGTGAGTAACTTGCTTTTTCAAACATAGTACAAAAATTGTTGATGCACTGAGGAAAAATATATGGTAAATCGCTTCAATTTATTATTTTTCAAGAGGAAAGGAAATCAAAAATATCATGTAGGACTATTTACAGATTGGTATGCAAGCTTCTTCTATAGCTACAACAAATAAAAAAAGTTATCCACCTCATAGGGTTTTTTTTCTCTTAAAATATGTAATAGTATCTTTGTCATGATAGAAAAATTGACAAAGAAACTGGTAGTCAATCAAAACTGATGATTTATTCAGTTTTTAAAATCGCCAGTCCTTGATTTCATTACTGAATATAGGTGTCAGCAATAGATAATTTATTTCAGCAACACAAACGAAAAAGTTGAGCTTATCAAGTAATAATTAACCACTAAGATAAAATAACAGAATTAAGTGAAATCCAATGTACATATTTATTGATTTATAATAGTTTCATACTAATTCAGCAGGGATAGCAGCGATTGGTACCGGTAAGTGGATAAATGCATATGGTTGCATCTGATGGCTTTTCACAAGTGGTTTTACCCGTATAGAATGAATGTATTTATTAGCACGAATATTTGAGTGAATGGGTAATAGAGTACCCCACGGACAAGGTTAGTTATTTTATTGTCCAGAATGAGTGTATTTATTTGCGTGATAGGTTGTGACAGAATATACAATGCCCCACAGACCCACCAAACAAGGTTATTTCAACTTCCTGGACAAATGTATTTATTAGCGTAATCAGTTGAGTGATAGAGTGTGTGTGGGTGGGTCTGTATAGAATACCAAGTACTCTGAGATCTGCCAAACTTAGTTTAGGCGACAATATATATGTGTGTAAATGAGGAAGGCTAATTTTCCATCAAAACTCTTAAGATCATCAGGCGTCATACGGAGAGCCCAATTTTGTCAATCAAGAAATGTGAGGGGGAGAAAACGTAAGCTATAACAGCTATGTAGCTGTGAGAGAATTTCTCACGACCAATAAGTTAGTCAAGCGACCACCAGCGGGTTAAGTTCAAAATTGAAAGGCACAAGCTTCACATTCGTTTATGCTTGGTATTGTGCTCTTTTCAAGTCGTGTTTGCGTGTAAAATAATGAGAGTTTAAGGTGGAATTAAACCGAGAACAAAATATTACTGTACAAATACCCATTGTATATGAACCATTTAATTTTATACAAACATGCAATTGACAATATTACATAGAAATATTTGAATTAAACAGCAAATTTACATGTTCATAATACTACAGACAAATAGATACCTTATCTACATTAACATGAAATGTACTGTGCTTTTTAAGCATGAATAAAAAAGTTTGACATATGCATACTATTATGCAATTTCAAATGCTAATGATTTTTGTAAATAATCATACCCCTAAATAAATATACTTCGTAGTAAAATACATTTAATTTTTCAAACTATCAAAAATATGTTGAATTACAGCAATTTTTTAAGGACAATTTTTGTTGATCATTAAACCACACATTGTAAAAGTAATATAAAATAATTATTTTAACAATTACACATTTGAAAGTAGCTTCTTAATATTAACTATCATTACAAACAGCTAGTCATTTACATGAGTCATTTACGTGAACTACAATAAAATATTAAGTTCAGTGGATAATACTACACTAAAACAGCAAAATATGTGCACAAAAGGGAAAATCTAACATTTCATTATGATTACGCATTAAGTACTTAGTATATGTAATTAAATTAATTTGCAGCATTATTTTTATTACTTACAGCCTAACAACCAATAATTCAAAGGTGATCCGTTATGCACTGGACACAAAGTTTAATATAAAACATTACTATTTTTATAACACTACATATACGTTATCCTAATTAATTTTCTAAAAGCCTTCAAGATGTGGTAAATAATTTGTCGGTCATTAGACTAACAATTTTTAAAACTATTTTCCAACATTCAGTTCTAAGCATATGCCACATAATATCTTAAAATTATCTTTTGTAGCTTAATAAAAAATAATAATAAAAGAAAGATTTCAATTTATTTTTTCACTTTTAATCATAGCTTGTACAGTCCAATTTGAATCAAGATATAGTTTATCACAATTGTTTTACTATCAAAAAATAAAAGCTTCCATTTCTAATAAAAAGTCATTATCACATATTTAGGTCATATAGAAAAACGCCTGTGGATGTTGTACTATTGAAAAATTTAGGGAAAATAAACAGTAGTTATTTTTATTAATTTGAAGACAAAATGCAGGTTTGTAAAAAGATAATTTAAAAAATAAAAGGTAAAAATCGTTGTATAAGTACTGTCATCCAATAAAGAAATAAATGATTAAGAAATCATTTAAAATCTAACTTATGGCTAACTGTGGCAAAATTTTATCCATGAATGATTAAAGCTAGCCTTAAAATGTTTATGAGCCTGGTTTGTTAAATGACCTTAGATCTTATTGGCGAAAATTGGTCCAAAATAAATAAGTTGCAGCGACATTAACTAAATAATATAAATATATATAACAAAAAAATGCAAAGTAGCATGATATAATTTTAATTATTTTACTATATTGATAATAATAGGGCAATCATAAAACGAGTACTATTTTAAACAAACTATTTATATTCTGTTAAAACATTATTTTCCACACATTAAATTATAAATTAAAAGGGCTTAATTTTTTTTTTCAAATACACAAGCACACATTCATATATGTATAAAGGAATTTATTTTTTCCACATACATATCACAAAAATTCACAACCCAAAACCAGTACACATTGAAACAATTAATTACGAATTTTTTTTTAGATGAGATTGAAAAAAAGGCCATTCAATGAAGTCAATTTCATTTTCAATATTGCCTAGTAAAATCACTACAGAATTCTTTTTTCTTCAGTCATCGAAAGGAACAATAAAATCACAAGCTTCAACCTATCGAGTACTTTTCATTATGACGAATATAAAAATGCGTACTGTTGAGAAAAAAAGTCATACAAGTTTGTAAAACCAAGGCAGAGAAGACAATAATATATTTACGAAAAAAAAAAAAATTCTAAATAAATGTCTGAACTGCATAAACTGCAATATTCTTTCAATTTATATACAGTTCATTAATCAACCGACACCATCAAATAACATAACATTACAGTAAATGTTACAATGCAAAGGGTATCCCTAATTCAATGGCCAAATTGGGAGGTTGTGGAGTCCTATATGATAAATAAAAATAAATAGATTTCAAGTTAGTATAACAAGTCTTAAAGTAAAAAGTATCAATCATTTCTCATTTGAAATTAAGTAGTTTATATCACTTTTCACACTAATAGCAAATATTTATATTATTATTTTTAAAAAAAGTCTTTAAGCAATGTTAAGGGCTAAATATATATATATATATATATATTTTTTTTATCGATACAATATCAAGAATCTTAAGTACACACATGAATTAAAAGCTAAACTTTAAAAAATGCGACACACAAATGAACTTTTCTATTCTTCTGGGTGATGGATGGTTATCACAGTGGAAACCTATTCAAGGGAGATATCAAAAGATTCCATACTTAATCTAGTAAAATCGCATCCATGATTTTTTTTTTTGTATTTGAATAGCAATAATGAAAAAAAAAAGTCATTTACATATTGAACAACTAAAAATGTTACGCACATGTCTTTTGCAATAATAATTTACAAAATTGTCACCGTGAAACTTTTTTTAGAAGTTTAAATAGCCAATTTTATTTATTTATTTGTATTCGTTTGTCATAACCCCTTACCACCCCTGAAGTTCAGCCGCTGATTTAATAGATACCCTCTAAAAAAAGAAAAAAATTAAATAAATACAACACAATACTACAAATCATTTCAAAATTACTGATATTATACAATATACAATTTTGCAGTTTTATATATTCTGGATTAAAAAATAAAAATAATAAATATCTAGTTATAAAGTATCTAATATAATCTTATTATTGCACATCCGGGTGGTATGGATTGATCGGTTTTCCTTTAACTAAATATAACTCATCAGAAAATAGTTATAAATTGAGGGTTTGTTGAAAATTTAACATTAAAGAATCAAAGTATTCTAAGTTAAAGGAAACATTAAACGATATGAAATACTGTGGCATATACTATAGTGAATTAAGTTATTTCAAATTGGATGCAAATTCAAATAAACCATTCCATATTTATATATTTATAATATATATATTATATTAAATAATATATATAATATATATACGACTATAATTTCTTCATACATACTTATGCAAATTTTAACATTAGTCGAATATAAACAACAAATTTATTGCATAAAGTAATCTGGATGATCGGAATCTTTTTCAAACCTCTTTGCTTCTTCCTGCATACTTTCCTTGATTTTCATGATAGCAGCCGACTCGGTCTGATCGTTCTCCGGTGGGCCGCCAAAAGCTGTCAGATTGTAGTCACCCATTCCGGATCCGCTATCTTCCCTCGGTGTTCCTGGTCCCCCAGCAGGAGAATTCTTCATCCCGTCCAGTCCGTCTCCGCTCATGACAGGACCCATCGTATTGGGCCCCATAGGACCCATCGGTCCGCCCTCGCCTCCTCCTCCCATCGAGAAATCGCCGGGCATGTTGCCTCCAGGTACGTTTTTCATCATCGTGTACATACCTTCACCGCCTGAATTGGACGAATCCTGAGGGCTCTGCATTATAGGGGTGCCCGGCCCGGGCGGACCGGAGGATCCGGGCGGTCCTCCGTAATTACCCGGAGAGGAAGAAGAATAGTTCATCGGCGTGGAAGTGTTGGGTTGCCATTGAGGCCGTCCGCCAGGGCCACTCATCGACATCGGATGCATGCCGGGGGCTCCTGGGCCCGGTCCCGGACCCATGTTCGAATTCGGAGGCGGACCCCTCAAGCCGGGTCCATACGAGCCGGGACCCATGGGCCCCATGCCGGGTCCCCTCGGAGGATTCATCCTCGGGTTCATCGTGCTCATGCCGGGTGGTCCTTGCCTGCTCGGATCCATGCTGTTGGGCATCATCGGCTGGCCCGGGGGGCCGTTGTACTCCGATCCCAGCTGGGGCATCCTCACTCCGGGCCTGGGTCCGGCCGGGTACCTCGGCCCCATGAACGGCTGTGTGGCCATCATCTCGCTGTGCGGAGGAGGAGGCTGCGGATGGGGCGAGGGCTGCGAAGAAGGATGCGTCGGCGGCGAAGGACGCATCGTCGAATTGGGGAAGAAGCCCGGAGGCATGGGACCTCCCGGGATACCGTCGCTCGGAGGCATCTGGCCCAACGGGATCGGGGCCGGGCCCGGATTGTGCGCTATACCGTTCACCCCATAGCCCGAATTGACGAAACCGTAATCGTGGAACGCCTTCGCCTCACTCGAATGCTCGCAACTGTCTCTCCGTTCCGGCGCGGCACAGTACAAGTCCCAAAAGACGCACCACCACGAATGCAGAAACCCCGGAGGTTCGCCTAAAGTTATATTTTTCTCCCACCTGATTTCGGAGAGGAACGTCTGAGCCGCTTTCTGCGCTCCCACATGAAGGAGATACTCGTAGACGTAAAGGGCCAGCTTCTCCCTCGCCTGTGCGTTTGACGGCACCGACGAACCTTTACCTTTCGCGTACATCCTACCTATTTAGCCAAATATTCTAGTTACTATTTTTTATCCACGATCACCAACAGCTTCACATTTGAACTAAATCGAAAACCCAACGGACGAGACCGAGATTTATATCGATATTATATTAATGAGTAAACGCATAACTATACGTCTTAAATGCCGTCGGCCGTGGTTGGGAACGAACCACCAATACGAGATCCAAGGAGTACATACAACTAAACTAACAAGTCAATACGGACAAACAGGTACGAACTCAGTGTTGCCACCGACTCCCTTCCACACGGCTCTCACTCTCCGACGAAATTGCCCCGCGGCCCGATCGACGCTCAGTCCCCGTCATCCGAATACCCATCCGATATCAACACATAATTTAAACGAAATTCCATCCAAACGCGAATGGACTCTATATCAATCACTTAGGTGCATTCGTATTGTACGTTTTAACATACCCATTCAGCAGAACTTAAATGTAAGACACTCCGTCCCGGAAGAACGGAAATTTTCCAAAACTCGGTGAAAAATACTTAGCCGAGTGTAATAAATTAAAAAAACATCCTCAACCAGGTTGTAGCAGCGTTCTTTTTTCAGTTGTAACTCTACACAAAGACTTTTTTAACTCAACCAATACCTTACATAAAGATTAATTGAAAGATGTTATTTGATCAATCGGACCACGAAATCAAATGAATCTATACAAAGACTTCAGATGCATCTGCTGACCACATTTTTTCGTTGCTTTTTCCTCTTTTTCTCTCATTTTTAACTAGTAGATATATTATACTTATTACAAACACTTAACACTGATCTAAAATTTCATTTTTTAGTAGTGAAGGGAGGTGAGGGATTCAGTGAATAAAAGAAATTCTCGAAAATTCAATATGTCTCAGATGGTCTTGAACTTTTGTAAAACTGTTTCTCTCTCCCACACTCATTTACTATCTTTCTATCTTACTCACAAGCCCACTCCCTTTCTCTCTCACTCTCTCTCTCTCTCTCTCTCTCTCTCTCTCTCTCTCTCTCTCTCTCTCTCTCTCTCTCTTTCATTCATTCTCACACACTCATTTACTATCTTTTTATCTCATTCACACACCCACTTCCTTTCACTCACTAACTCTCTCACTCTCTCTATCCCATTTACTTATTTTCTCACTCACTTGCTCATTCTCTTTCACTCACACCCCCACTAACTAACTCTCTCTCCCTCTCTCTCTCTCCCTCTCCCTCCCCCTCTCTCTCTCTTTCATTCACTCACTCATTCTCTTTCTCTCTCTCATTCTGACCTCCTTCACCGCAATTATAACTCTGTACAAGGATGGGGTTCGATTCAATTTAGTCACTGGGAAACTTAAAATTATCAAAATACACCTACAAAATTATGTGGTTGACAAAGAAAGAGCGAAGAAAAAGTTACATAAATGTGTCTTTCAAAGTAACAAAAAACATGAACATTGCTGGCAGATGTTCTATGGCGAGTACCACATAATATTAAAATTTTTGGAATTTTGTAAATAAATCTAGAAAGATACAAGGATTCCCAGACGCAATATGACATGAACACTGCAGACAATAGACAAAGCATTGCTGACTCCATTTCACACTTCATTTATGACAGGACTACCTACACACACACTCACTCACTCACTCAACACACACACAGAGTATTTGCTATTTCACACCTGAAAGAAATTTAATTTATTTGTCATAAATAAAGGTCCAGGCCGACAGCTTTCTACTATCTTAGTCCAACTTTTAACTTACCTTTTCAACTTCTCGCTCTCTGAAGTCTTAGTGAATTGTACCAATATTCAAATCTGGCAAAAAACCTACAGACCAATCACCAAATTTGGTGTTTTAACTCTATCAATCATCAACATAATTATATCTGAGTAACATGGTTTCTTGAAAGTTCAATCCACAACCACTAACCTTCTCACATTTCAAAATTAGATCCTCGACAACTTTGAAAAAGGAAACCTTGATGTGATTTACACTGACTACAGTAAACTTTTTACAAGGCACATCATAAACTTTTAACTTCTAAAATCTAAACTGATGGCTTATGGTATAACTGGTTCCTTGTTTAAATGAATTCATAGTTATTTGTGTGACAGATTCCAATTCATTAAAATAGCATAATCTTCATTTCAAACTTGAGTGGTGTGGCCATTGTACCATTCTTATTCCTATTGTTTATAAATGACATTCATTATTCTTTCATATTATTTGCTGACTATTTAAAACTCTACATGCCCCTCTCCTGCTGACTGCTTAGCTCTTCAAAACAACATAAACAAGTTATTTCTCCTATGCAATAAAAATAAATTACCTCTTAACTTTTCCAAGTATAATGTTATGACTTTTCACAAAAGTAAAGAACCCTTAATAATGACATGTATAATTTCTGGCCATTTTCTAAAGGGAAGTCATAGAACGCGAGATTTTGGTATTATCATGAATCCCACAGATCATCCCGACCACATTTGTAAGAAAGCTTTTCAGATGGTAGGTTTATATAAAAATGCTGCAAATTTTTCTCAACCGTTAATCTATTAAGTTATACTGCAGGCTGGTTCATACTATTTTAGAATGTGATCCAACAGTCTGGTCCCCCCATTACATGACACATATCCATTGGTTAGAAAGTATAGTGCTCTCTTAGTTATCCAAACTAATCATTGTAGGAGGTATCCAGATTACTGAGGATGTAAAAAACACATAAAACCTATTAGAATGCAATTTATACTGTTTTCTTTAAAAAATCAGTTAAAAAATTTTATTCAACATTTTCTTTGTTATTTCTTCCTTTTTCACCAGTAGTTATACTTAATACAAGAAAATGCCCACTGATCGAACATTTCATTTTTTAGTAGTGAAGAGAGGTCAGGTAAATAAAATTTCAATAATTTGTATAGTCTAAGCTGATCTTGGTCTTTCTTGTCTCTCCCTCACACTCACTTATTCTCTCAGTAACTCATTCACTCACTCAATTTCTTTCTCTCTCACTTACTATCTCACTCACTCAGTCTCTCTCTACCTCTCCTGTCTACTCACTCACACTCTCTCACTTATTCTCTCAGAAACTCATTCACTCTACTCACTCACACTCTCTCACTCATTAAAACATGAAACTAATGGGAAGATGCCTGGGAATCAGAATTTGTCCATTCAAGGGAAGTGACTGCTTTTTAGAGGTGTCCATTAAAAGACGTTTCACTGTACATCTATTAGTATTGGTTTATTAAATTCGAGAGAAAAATTTTACATGTTGATATGACACTGGGTCCAAGCAAACACTCAGGTCACTCACTCGTTCACTCTCTCAATCTCTCCCAATCACTCACTTACTATCCACTCTCATTTATTTATTTTTTTATTATTATTTTCCTCTCACAATTAACCCTTGCGAGAGGGAATATATTTCCACCTGCCTCCCGATTAAGATTACAGGTGTTTAAAGATTACGTCGTCCATTAAGTTTTTTACAACTAGCAGATTCACTCATTCACTTACTATCTTTTTCCCTTTCACTCTCGCTCACTAACTTACTTACTAAAACACACACACACACACACACACACACACACACACACACAAAATCTCTCAGCTCAGATTACTAGAATCTTCAGGGTACCGTAATTCGGATTAGGGAGAAAGCACTGTATTGTAATAATTTCAATGAAAATTAATGTACAAAACTATTTCAATGACAATAATCGTGTATCAAATGGATAATCGAGATTTGGGAAAGCGTACACACATTCATTAGACATTTTAAGCAGAATTTCTCGATTTAGTTAAAAGTGAACAAAGTAACTCAAACTTGTTATATCCATGTGATGTCACAAACAAAATTTGTAATAACTAAATATTTTTGGAATTTTATTGTCAAGCAAAAAATCTGTACTGATACAGTTTGTACTTTAAAGATGAACATTCCGACGACCTGCAAGTTATTGATAAACCATTTGGTACATACTTTTCTTCAGTACACGAATCTAATTCTGTCAGTATCAAATTTCACTTCAATTTATTATTTATTTATTTACACAAAAAAAAAAAATACAAACTCTACGTAGGTAATATGTCATAACAGAAATTTACTTAATAAAACCTATCCATAATAATAAAAAATTGTAATCCGTAATTCATGGTTGTTTAAATTATTCTAATTCAATTTTTTTAAATAATCTTTAGTAAGTTTGAATGTAAAGTCCAATTTTTTAATTAAACTTGTTTCACATGAGCAGAAGTGGGTACCTCTACACAATACATAAAATATACATATAGTTTAAAATTATTTTCAAATTCTCAACTGTCTAGGCTTATAAAAAAAAAGCTCAATACATTTAAAAATAACTATTTTGTTATTTTAAGGTTGGCTGCATAGATGCATTTTAGAAAGCATCATGAATGATGATTATTCAAGATAAAATATTAGCAGCAATATTTGTATGATATGTAGGTAAATGTAAAATAACTATTTATTAGTATTTACCTTGCGACATCTACCATGCGAGCACCCGACATCATAATCAGGCCAACGGTCAAGATCTGTGTCTACACCGCAAATAAAGCCGTCTCCAGCCCAGCCAATATTACACTGTATAAATATAATTCATTAATATTATAATTTATAATTTAGTGGGGGTACCTGTGCCAAATAAACCTTTCATTAGATATACCGAATTTGTTAAATTATCGAATAATTTAAACTTAGGATGTAATAACGTATGATATAACATGACGATGAGGTCTTAATAGTAAATACTTTTAGCCTAATGATTTTGATGCCTTGTGCTACTTATAAAAATGAAATAAAAACACATTTATTCAAACATATTTTATTTCCATAAAACATACAGTTGTAGGTGAGCATTGGTATGTTAATAAGCATAATTAAATATTACAATTTTATTTTGAAAAAACAAAAAAACAACTGTTATATCATTTTTAAATTACTTTCCTGCTACTAATTTACAACTTTTAGGCACAACTTATTGATTTCTAGAGTATTGATTATTGGACTGTGTACTCGTAAGTTTGATCTATTTTGTTGCATAACTATTCATTTTAGTTATCACAAAATGCGACTATAGCTATTATTAAATTGATATAGTGAATTTATTGTCTGATATTCATTGGCATTATCAATATTTCGAATTATTGTGACTTTCTACTGAAAACATTTTATTGGAATAATAAATAGGAAAATAAGCTAGTTTTACTGATATCAACCAACAAGGTTTAAAAAAAAAATTAAAATAAAAAGCCCAGTTTTCAAATTGTGAAGTTAATTAAAAAAAAGAAATGTATAGCTATAAAAAAGGCATTTCACATTATTAATGGCATTAAGTTACATCTATTGTTTATACCAATATTGGTCTTATGTGTGGCCTTATTTCGGTACAAGGCCTTTATTGGCACAGGTACCATTATCCATATGTTTTGAAATGAAATATTTAGTTCTTTACTTTGCAGCCATATCTATCTAGCCCAATTCTGTAGCACTGTGCATTCGGGTCGCAGTGTGTTCCATCAGGGCATAAGCCAGGCATGCTACGACAGCCGTGCGTTTGGTTACCTACAAAGCCGCTTAGACAGGGGCCACAGGTAAACGAACCCTGGAAACACAAAAAAAGGCACATTAGAAAATTACAATTGCTATATTTTAATGAATGTACAAATTTAAAAAAAATTCACATTTATATATTTTCAAACTTAAAATCTGCAGAAACTATCCAAAACGAAAGGGCAAACATATTATTTTTTACAGTGAAACTTCCCTCTAAAGGACATTCATTGGAGGGTGAAATATTGTCCATCAAAAGTGTCCACTTTCGGGATAAGAGTGAAAACAATTTTTAGTACTACAAGATAGACCACAATTGGGATTACAAAATACAAAAATGAGGATTTTTTGTTTTTTCCATGACCAGAGGGCTCTTCAAATTTACTGAGCATACTTTTGCATAAGAGTCAAAGTTAACCACTCTTTTGAAACCTTTACTCACTGATAATGCTCATTTTTTTACCTGCATAGTTTTTTTCTGAGGAGCTTTTAAGAAAATAAATAAATAAGGCTGCCTCATCATAATTAAAAATGTTGTTTGGACTCAAAATCGGTGCAATATTGTTAAAGTTTTTCATCCAGTTTTGTACAACCTCGGTGCTTCACTTCACTAATAGTCTTAAAAGAAATCTTATATTTGCCAAGCCAACCTGAAGATGCTTTAAAATAAATGTTTTGCAGCTTTTAAGGCCTTTTCTCGGATAAGCGGAGCATATAATGGTATTTTACAAGCCCGAGCTTAGAAAACCAAATCAAATACATCCTGGTGTATGGCTGAACCAGATGTCTTAAGAAAAAAAAAATCTGTGGGATTTTTTTAAATTTATCTAAAAGTTCATTTTTAGTTTTTAGAATTTCACTTTCCTGGGTCTTTCTGGTGGAAAACTTCGCAGCCAATTCCCACACACTTAGTTTTATACTTTTATTCAAATTAATTTTTCCTTGGGTGTCAATGCACTTGTCTGTCCACTACCATTATTGAGAGTGTCCACTTTATAGAAGATTTTAATGTTAAGAAACTCATGGGAAGATGTGAAATCAGAATTTATCCTTTCAAGGAAGGTGCCCATATTTTTCCTCACAAGTTTCACATTACATCTGATAGATTTATTAATGTCAAGAGAAAGATTCTATATGTTGAACTGACACTGGGTCCATGAAGAATCACATGTTTTTGATGTTATTCAAATACGCCATCTTCAGTGAAGAACTTTATTTTATTGACTTTTTGTCACAAAGCCAAAATGTGATTGAATCACGTCCAAATTCCACAAGTGTTGACAGACCCTGTGTCAGTTCATGTGTTCACCAAATTACAGACCAATATGCACCATAACTTTAGAAAAATAATAGCAATTTTTTTTAAAATTATTATTATTTTTTAATAGTCTCCAATTGTGTGTGGAATTAAGTTTACAAACATGATATTTTAATAATATGTAATTCAGTTTATTATATTTCATTATTTTAAAAAAATAAAGAATGACATCTGCACTTGGTGGAACCCACTTTCCCTAAGCCAAATTCCGTTTTTATTACTGCATACTATTAATTTTTAAAATTTACAAATTTATTGAAATATAAATGTAGACTTTTTTTTAAAGTAATCCTTTGTGAATACAATCTGCTATGTCATACAGTCTAAACAATTATAATAGCAATAATGTACAAACAAAGTATTTATCATCTCAGTGGTTCTGCATTATTTCCTTGGTACTCACTTCAGTATTCTGGCAAATGGAGTTTTGTGTGCATCCACCGTTTCTTCCATCGTCACATTCATTGATGTCATAGCACTGCTGTCTGTTTCTCACTGCATATTCCAATCCGACTCCTATTACACCTGAAGAGCCAGTAAAGCCGACTGGGCATGGGCCACAGCGATATCCAGGATTGAGATTAGTACATTGTACCCTTGGATCACAGGGTTCAGCAAGATCACACTATCAATTAAAATAATATATTAAGGTCAATATATATTTTAAAAAATACATACATTTAAAATGTCTTAGGGTTAATACCGAATTGTTTTAATTTATTATATGTACCTCATCTAGATCATGACAGTTTGTTCCATTTCCTGTGTATCCATCTGGACAGGAACCACATCGGTAATACGGTGGTTCGTTTGTGTTTTGACAGTCGACACCTTGAAAAAAATACCTGTAATCGCACAGAACATGGAAACAGTATACATTTTCAATCATATTTATTTAACCTCGTGAGCATGGATTGTATTCGCAACCATATCTTTGTTGCTTGCAATGTTGTCCATTGCCAGTGTACCCATGGGGGCATGAGCCACACTGAAATCCATCGACTGAATCATAACATCTGACACCTAAAAAACCGGCCATAGATAAGCTTTCAATCAGTAGACTAGAAATCTTGATCAAACATTCCAGTAGTTTTAATTATTGTTAATTCACCTGGGTAACAGGGTGATTGATCACAGCTTATTCCAGGTTTACATTCAAACCCATTTCCCACATAACCGGATGGACATCTTCCGCATGTTGGACCATCCGATGTATCCCTGCATTCAACACCAGGAAAGCACGGAGCGGGATCACTGTTACAAGTGACTCTTGTATGACTTTCTGAAGCTAATTAAAATAAAAATGTTTAACACAGATAACGTCATTGTTCTACTTAATAATGTGTCATTTTAATAATGTGTCTCTCTAAACTCTGTCATTCCATTCTTCCTCTTTAAAAGTGTATATATACATAGTTAATCCATGATATTAAAGATTAATAATGTCTAATGTGATATACATCACCACCCACAAGATAAATTCATTAAATTTCATTAAAACAAGTTTATATTTAAATACTATGTTAGTTTTAATTTTTTTAAATTTTTTATATATATTTTTTTTAAGTGAAGTAAATAAATTTGATTTGGATATTCAAAACTTCTACTAGGAAAAACAAACCATGTTTGATGTCAAAAAATATTACATGTAAATTCACTAGTTTTCATGGTCTGATTGGCCAAATAATTAATTAATTAAACTTTATATAAGGTATTGGTTGAGAAAAAAAGTCAATATCACAAATGGGATTTGAACCCACGACCTTTGGCTAAATACGCTGCTGCTGTACCACTTGAGCTATTGTGACTTCGATCCACTTGGACACCAGCTTCCCATCTCAACCCAGCATTTCGAATTTTCCCTCCTTTTTGCCATTTTTCAAATGAAATCATGATAGCTCAAGTGGTAGAGCAGCAGGGTATTTAGCCGAAGATCGTGGGTTCAAATCCCGCTCGAGACACTGACTTTTTTATCTCAACCAATATCTTGTATAAAGATTACACGTAAAGTTTTGACTGCAATATTAAAAAGAAAAGGATGTTATAAAGTCCTTGGTTCAATGGGAATGTTTCCAGAATGGAGGCATGTGACAAAGATCAAAGGACCATTGCAGAAACTATCGGTAATACTACTATAACTAGGACTAGAATGATAGAACTGCTGACTGGACACTGCAGACTCCAGAGGTATACGTATGGACAGAGGAGAAACAAGCCTGACTAGATATTGCCAGGAGAAGAAATAAACAGAACATGTCCTCTGTTGGTGCAAGGCTTATGAAGCCTGACATTCCTATTCCTGGGAGAGGAAAAGCCAAAGCTTCTGAATCTGGTAAAATGCTAGCCTTATAAAAGCTCTATACAATGATGTTAAAAGCACCATAGACAATATTTGTCACAGTATGCAAAGTCATAAAGAGACTTGTTTTAACCTTACCCTTAACCTAGAACTAAGTGTACTAAATTTAGATGAAATCCTATCTTTAATATTTCTGAACTTTGCATTTCATCAATCAATATGTATGTATCAATATGTTTAAATATGTATGATCAAAAATATATTTTAAAAATACATTACATAATTTAATAACAGCAGTTAACTGTGATGTTGATGTTTCCTATTTCATGTTGTAATAGCTGTATCATTTACTGGATCATCTACACTCGCGGGTTTTCCTGTCAGTCAGGGCCTTACTGAAGATGGCACAAAGCCGAAAATCATTGAATTTTAAATTCATTTAAGTTATTTCATGTAATTTCTCATCAAATAAATATTCATAATGTTTGTAATTGTATTAATAAGACAGTATGATTTATGATCTATGAGTAATTTTGGTTGTCCACTTGTTCATAAGAGAGGTAACTTTTTTTTAAACAAAATTATCACAATTAAATGTTTCACAATATTTAGTTATTGTAAACTGGTTTAATCTGATTTTATATAAAATTAAGTAAGTAGCCAAGGCTGGACAAAGGGTTGGGAAAAAAAGACGCAAAGACATTTTCAGTTGTTAATTTAGTTTTGTATTTAATTTCAATTTGTTACAATTAAAAAGAAAAAAATATCATGAAGTAACAAGAAATTCATAATTAAGATGAAGTGTTTTTGCGTCTGATTTGTTTGTCGAGCCTTGTTCTTAGTTTCCCTCACCTGGGCGGCATACATCACATTGTTCAAGGAGTTGCCTCAAAGCCTGGTTCTCAGTTCGCTGAAATACAATTATTTTTTATTAGTAACCTTTTCATCACTAACTTCTTTTGTAAATTAGCTAATTTACAAGGAATAAGAAAGTTCTATCCCATATAATTTGTTTAAAATGTTGGATATATCAACCAACTTTTTCCTAATGAATAATATGGACCTCCGTATGGTCAAGTGGATAATATACGCTCTGATGATGACCTTACAATAGGTCGAAAGATTGGCAGATAATTGAATTTATTTTTTTAGCCACTTGACCATTCAGACATCCAAATTATTTCATGTACTAAATAATGTCAGTGATTTTATAATTATTGATCATCTTAATTTTTATACTTTCTGTTTGCCGTGTGTTTCAGCTCAGATATTCAGCGATACTGAGAAATTAATCCTATTAATATTATGGCAGCTTTTGATTGTATAGATAAAAATGATTCAAAAACTTTATAACATTGGCTTTTCCAAATTAATTAATATAATGAAGTCTGTTAATGAAAAAAGCATATCAATAGGTATTTCAGATTATATCTTCAGTGTTAGGCAGGGGTGTATTCTTAGCCCCCTTCTCTTCCCCATCTTTCTTATTCGTCTAATTTTTTAGATAGGGGAATCAAAAAATGGTGGCTCTTTTACTCTCATGTATGATATGGTTTAACTTAAGTTCTATGATAGTATGACATAAGATTTGGCTCTGAGATTTCTATTAGGCACATTAATACGGAAGGAAGAAAGAATATCAGGAGCTTTGGTGGCATTATGAAAGATTTACCAAAAAAACTAGACTAGTTACGATTCCTCCAAATTCTACGACAAGGCCCAATAAAGATATCGTCACATAGTATGAAGTTGTAAGCCGGATACTTAACTGCTTCCGGTGCAATTTTGATTGTGTTGATGGTCATGAGAGTTACAACTAGAGTTAAAAGTCAAACTCAGGTCCGAGAAGATGGATATCCTGTCTACTTAGTACACTTTATACAGTATTTAAAAAAGGGCGAGATTACAAATTTCCTCTTTGAACACTTCAAGACTTTGCATTTATCAATGTTAATTATTAGCTTATTGGCCATACACTACACTGAGAAGGCATCTTTTTATAATGCGACAATCACTTAAATACGATATTTGTACATTTTAAGGTCATCAGCTAATAGAGAGATCGAACTGTACTTCAATATGTTATGTACATCGTTAAAGAATATTAAAAAGAGAATTCAAGAGTGTGAACTCTGAGGAACACCCAAAAAGGCATTTAACAGTGGGGGAATGTACATGTCATATTTCACTACAGCAGATCTCCCTCAGAGGAAGAACTAAGAAGTGCTTTCAATTCTATATTATATCATATTTGCTATATCATTTGTTTATGTTTATTATATTATTATTTTTGCTATTTTCTTCATTAGTACTCTAGGGCTAGTAGACTGATAAAATTCCATTGCTGCACTATATTTTTCTATGTATTATTATTAGTTTTTAATAAAACACTTATTTATAATTATTATTATTAATTGAAATAATTAATATGGTCAATTATGACCACTAAACATACATGGATTAACATAATAATTAAAGAAGTAATCACTTCACTAAGAGCTCCCGAGGCCACTTCATAAGTCGCTGAAAATTGAGTCTTGATTACAAGACATTTGAAAAATGGCAAAGAGAGGGAAAATTTGAAAGGTTGTAGGTTGAGATGAGGAGTTGATGTCCGAGTGGATCAAGTCACGACAGTTCAAGTTGTGGGCTTGAATCTCACTCGTGACACTAACTTTTTCATCTTGACCAAGACCTTAGATAAAAAGAACAATTAATTAAAATAATTAATACGGTCAATTATGATTGCTAAACATATAATATTGTTTTATTTTTTTCTCCATGATGCTCTTTTAACGCGAGTTGAGGTCGTAAAGGATCTTGGTGTACTTTTTGATCAAAAGCTCAAGTTTAAAGAACATATTCCTTCAATAAAAAATAGATCTATGAAGATGCTAGGTTTCATCATCCGGAACACCTATGAATTTAAAAATCCTCTATGTTTTATCCATCTTTATAAAGCTTTTGTACAACCCGTACTAGAATATGCTACACATGTTTGGAACCCATTCTATCTAAATTATCAAAAAATCTTCAATCTGTACAAAACAAATTTTTAAAAAACTTTCCTACAAACTCAATCTTCCTCCAAATTCTGCCTACCCTGGAATCCGCTCTGAATTTAAACTTTTCGAACTGGCACTAAGAAGGGATTACTTTGATATTGTTTTTGTATTTAAATTATTAAACAATCTCATTGATAGTCCTTCTCTCCTCTCTCAACTACAGCTACATGTCCCTTTGCACTCTCTTAAAACCTATAAATTATTTTATATTGAATTTCAAAGCTCTAACTACATGCTCTCTTCTCCTCTACACAGAATGATGATCAAGAGTAACAACATCTGCAATAGCATTGACTTCTTCAATAGTGCTGTGCAATCTGTGAAAAACCTTATCCTACAACCTTTGTTGAATGCTTTTATATTTCATACTGTACAAAATTATTACAATTTATTTCATTTACTGGTTCAACTAATTCTCGCACTCTAGTCTTATTATATATTTACAAAGAGCATTATTTTCATTAAATATGTACCTAATTATTGTAGTTTCAATTGTCTTTCAGCTTTATTTTGTTTCCTCTGCCTTATTTGGTTAGTAATTATGTCTTTCATTTTTGTTGTTCAGTTTTTACTCTTTAATTGTATTTTTATATTTATTATTTATATTTACCATTTATATTATTACTATGTATATACGTCCTTATTCTTTTTATATATATTATTTGTATTTTTACATATATTATTATTATTTTTTTTTGTTATTGTAAAATGTCTTTTTTATAGTGGATTTCGATCCATAAATAAATAAATAAATAGGAGGCTAAACCGTCAAGTTTGCACATTGAAAATGGTATAAAGACTCATTTTATTATAACCAAGGGCATACAACAACAATAGTGATGATCAGATGGCCAATAATCAACCGTTCAATTTAAAAAGCATGCAGATAAATTAAAAATATAAAATATAAAATTACCATTGATTGCATCTCTTGCTCTAGCCTCTTTACAACATTTATCAACTTGTTAATAGTTTCAACAAGTAAATTTTCTGAAAAAAAGAAAAGAATTTATGTATAATAAATCAACTGTAATATAAACGTGGACGTGGCAGGTAAGGCATGGATGTCCCGACCACTTAGCGACCGCAATCCAGCCAAAACATACAATCAAAACATAATTAAAAGAAAGTGGGAGCATCAGGGGCTCGATTGGCAGAGAAGCTCTTACATATCAAGAGCACTGTTGATAAGTGGAATATGCCAGGTGTGTCCCACTTAATTGAAGGGGCTCCTTGGTTACATATAAAGTGTATGGGAATGCTATCCAATATGAGCATTGTGCTTTGAGCAAGGCAGCAAGTATCTCGGTCCATTATTTCAATTTTTAGAGGAAACAAGACTTTAGTACTTTATTTCTTGACATGTGTCTCTTTGTTTATATTGAGGCTGAATGTATTTATTAACATGAATGTATTTATTAACATGAATGTTTAGTGTGGAAGTTTTGACGGTGGAATATTGAGTACCCCACCGGCTTTCAATTAATTAGTTATATAATATATGTAGAGGATGATGGCATTTAAAGAGGAAATTAGTACTTTAGAGTAAGTGAGAGTGTGAGTGGGTTTGGATCTAGCATGGGGGAATGACCTAGCAGGGGATAGCACCTGGAGCCTAGCCTCAGTGGCTTGATGGACCAAGGACTGACCCCTGATGTACACCCTTGTTCAGATAGAAAATTTATTATTTTTACACTAGTTTTCATTTTTAATTGTGTTAAAGAATCAAAATGAAAATAATTGAAAAAATTAAAATTTTGTATTGAACATAATAAGTTTAATTTGCTTGCAATTTATGTACCTTGATGACAAGGACATAATGAATATTCCTAATATTAATAATTAATTATAATAATTAATATTTTTTTGTGGGAAAGGGGGAGTGTAAAAGAAAATTCCAAGGGTGACGGTGGGATCCGAACCCTTGACTGTGGCAGCTACAGCCCAAGAGTCTTTTACACTAACCACTTGGCTACCACAGTCCCCCAAAAACATTAATTTGGTTTTAAACAAAAAATAATTAATATTTTAAAGATATAATTACCATCACAGTCATGGATTATTGGAATGTCGCCTAAAACAATACAATTGATGTTAAAAAAAAGTTAATATTTTCAATATGAAAAGAAAATCTTCAGTTTTTACACTTTACCTCTTATTTGAGGACGATAGTCTTCTGCCATATCTGTTGCATCGTTAGCGAGCATTTGGTCATGAAGATCACATTTTAACCTGTTCAAAACTTCTTGCACCTTTGTGTCGCTGTCCAAATCTATGATATTCCTTCTGTCACGATACTATAGAAACAAATGTTCCATAAATATTGTCGATGTTGACGTTTTAACATTTACTTACCACTTGAAGTTTAGATTTGGTATGGAACATTTTTTTCAAAGACTGACTCAAGGTTACCTTTCCTTCCATTATACAGTTAGCATAAAGAGTAATATCAGATTCATCTTTTTTCAGATCAATTAAAAATACAAGAGAGTCAATTACTTTTTCTTGAACTATAGATGGTAAGTTAAAATGTTTTTTCTCATCTAGAGTTTCTACAATAACTGCAATGGAAAATGCAAAATATTAGTTATTTATATTTAATAATAATTATTATTATCAATAATATATGTTAATCATTTATAATCTGAGATTCTGTTTGATTCTAGGCACCTTATATTTTAATAATTTAATTCTGTTTTACAGTCATTTGTGCAAATTATTATCACAAAATTACAGACATACTTCTGTAATTGCTAATTATTTGCTTATCGCTAATTTATCGATAATATTTTACCATTGTAGGAACCAATAGAAAAATATATGAGCATAATCATTTATAATACAAAAGACTAGTAATTAGGATTGGTTAAATACTCATTTAAAGAAATGACAATTTTGCCATTTGCATACGAAATACATTTTGAGAATGTTATGTTTTGTTGTTTTTATGACTTCCGCATTTGTGACATGGCCCAATAGTACAATTTTGAGTAGGTGTTCCATTTTGGGGATTGTTACAACAGTACTTGAAAGAAACAAAAATAGGTACATCTTTTGGAAGATAGTTTTAGATGAGCTCTCTCTTTAATGGATTTTTCAGCCAACTGTAGGACAAATTATTTAAAAATTCTCTTCTTAGTATTTGAAGGGTTATTGCTTTTAAAAATAAGGTGACCATTGATTTCAGAAATGACAAGCATTTAAAAAATGAAAGTGGCCACCTTCTCTTTAATAGTTTCATGGCAAATGAGATAAAGAAAAGTAAAAAAAAAGTATAGAACGAATAATAACCACTTTTGGCAAATTTGGAAAAAAATTCCAACTAAAAATAGAATAAAAAATAAATTTCGGTATGCACTAATGCAACCTGCTGCAGGGTTGAGAAAATATAACAGAGATCTTTCAAAGAAAGGCAACCTCAATTTTCAGGAAGGGTCCCTAATATGGTACACCAATGGAACAAAGATGAAACAAGGAGTAGGGTTAAAGAGGTCAAACTGACCCTAGCAAATTGGACTGGTTCAAAAATCTTTCTAGCTCAAGTCTATGCAATCCAACTCTGCGTAATGGAGTAGGTAAGGAAGACTTACCACTATGTATGGCTCTACATAGTGTAGCTGTCTAAAGGCACTAAATGCATATGCTTTCAGGTACAAACTAGTCTGCAGTATGCCTAAATTGCTTTATGACCCTAGGAAAATACAACGAAGTTACTTTGAGGTTGGTTCTCGGACATGAAGGTATAAACGGGAACAAACAGGCTGACCAACTAGGAAAATAAGGGGCAACCTTTCACCCACATAGTTCACTGGAGAGTGTGCAAAATTTGGAGATAGATAAATTACTTAAGAAAGAAAAACTCAATCATTGGACCAAAACAGGTATGAGGCAAGCAAAGGAAGGCAAAGGACCTTCTCTCTCTCTCTCTTGGCAGGCAAGTTTTGAGGAAAATTATAAGCTTCTATAATGGCCTTTGCCATTTTAACTACCAGCTAAAGAAGGTTGGCAAAGCAGAGATAGAAACAACTCTGACAAGAGAAACCAGAGACATCGGTCTTTCTTTGTCAATGTGAGGTATATGATGTAGCCACTTCAGTAAGCAATTCTCAAACCATACAAATATATATAAGTAAGCAATAAATTGTTTTTGATAGTATTTACCTTTTTTATCTTCACGATCAAGCTTGAGTTGAAGTTTCTCATTAGATGAACTGACAAGCAAAAGCGTTTCAACTCCTATTTTATTTTTTCTTCTCTTTGGCCTTAAATGTCGAATACTTAGTACTATGGTGTCACTTTCAAGGCTTTCTTCTAGTGCTGCCGCCATCTCTGAAAATTGATATCAATGATCATTTTGATAAAAAAAATAAAAAACATAATAAATAAAAATAAAACAATAAAAAGTAATAAAATAAAAAAGACAAAAACATTTTTAAAAAAATGTTTGCTCAATAAATATGATTCCAACATCATAATTATTAAAAAAAATAGAAAAAGCGCTGGATTGCAAAAATTTTATAGAAATTATTACACAAATAAATAACAATAAGGCTATGCTTTTATGCAGAGTAAGGTTGCTCGATGTGTCCCACATAATATAAGCTTGTCATGCTTTGGCTCCATATAGAGAGCATGTAAAGATGCCAACGAACATGAGAGTGTTTCTCTGGCATAGTAGCACTTTCTGGGTCCTCAGTTCCGGTTTTTGAGGAAGTGTTTTTTTTAATTTTTATTGTATGTATATCTTACAACAATATTTGATCTGTTTTTAAGGATTACAGGTAAATAAAACAAAAAATCTCCCACTTTTGTTTACAGTTGGATTTTGTAAATAAATCTTTGAATAGTAAGCCTCTTCTTTGTTGCTTTTTCTGTAAAGCTATCTAATGTTCCGGTGGTTTATTCATTTTTTTTAAGTTGCACCATTTTTAAGTTTCAAATTTGTTTGAGTGATGGTTTTAAGTGATACTTATTTGGCTAGAATCAAATTATTGTTGGAAGATGGAAGAAGTCAAGCATATGTAGCCTGGGTGCTTAACATTCCCAGAACAACTGTCTGAAGGATAATTCCATCGAGGAAATTCTCCGTACTGAATTCAATATTTTCTTCATTGTTTTCGTAAGAACATTTATGGTAAAATTGTTTTACTCTAACAGTTTAATTTACCAAGAGTTTAATTTTTTATTTAGCTAATTCTTACAATTTTCCTTTAAAAAATCTACTAAACAACAAAACATAAAAATTATAAAAATTGTAAGTATTTACTAAGAAAAAAATGAAGGTGGCCACTTTTTCCCATCTCAGTGCACATAGTTCGTTCTTGTTTTGTGATTCTGTGTTTTGTTTGAGTGAGCGAATAGTGAGAAGGTGATAGTGAAATATAGTCACCATTGCCCTCCATAGTGCATGTGCATCGGGTCGATGAAGTGCTATTTATGAAGTACTCCATTGACCCTAACTTAGGTTAGCTTGTCACTAGTGTATGTAGTTTGGGGGAGGAATATTGAGTTCTCCACCAACAACCAGAATGAGTGTGTGAATGTATTTATTTGCACGAATGTATTCTGTGTGTTTAGGCTAGATTATATTTTACATATGTCCAACTGTAAAATTTGTCTTGGGAAGTTGCAAATATCATTCATTCAACCATTTTGTGAATAGTACAGTTAAATAATATGAATGTGTAGTTCTTAAAAAGAAATATTTAACTAATCTTTGAGGGTTTTTTCTTCTTAAATAGACGTACAAATATAGTAATCAAAAATTGGATTAAACAACACATTGACTTTCTGGTAGTAGTCTTAGCGATCATCGAGCACTTTTCAGTCTTTTTGAGATGATTGGGACAAATCTTCAACAATTTTAAGAACATCCAAAATGATCATCACGATTATCTTCCTCAATGTAATGAGTTTTAATTAAAGTTAGCATTGTAATTTTTTACTTTTTGCATTGTGTATTTAGCTGCATTAATCTGGTAAATATAGTACGTAATGCTCTTAATTAAAAACGGTTGTTCTTTTTTTAACACCATGTTGTGTTATTAAAATATTAACAAATTGTTTACTATTCTAATTAATACATTTTCATGAATGATTTCACTCAGGTCAAAGGATTGACCATGTAAAAAGATTGTGGAGTTATATTTTGTAGAAGAAAAAAAAAATCTATTCTCTTCTAATGATAGATTCTCCTTTTCTTTTCAACTGGTTTATTTCTAGAAAGTAACATGAGACCTGCACTTCTGTATAACACGTTTCTCTACTGTCGTTGCTATAAATATTACTATTTTTTATAGTTATATAATTTTTAAATGGGTCGGAGTTGAACCTGTGTTAAAAAAATATCTATAAAAATATATTAAAGAATGATTTTTATTTGTTAAGAAATGTTACAATAATTTTTTCCATATTCAAAAGTTTGACTGTTGATACAATACATGACTTCAAGTTCAAATTTTTGCCGGCCTTTTGTATGATGTATTTTTAATTATTAAAACGTTATAATTTAATTAATAGATACTTAAATACTTAATATATTCGGTTGGTAGATAATTATTGGAGGGAAAAAAAACCAAAAAAAAAAAACACCGCAAGTCTTAAACGACCAGACAGAAGGGTAATTGAATAATCCAATAGCAGGATAATAACAAAACAAGGAAATCGTGGGCAGGGAAATTTTCAAGAGCAGAATCCGCTGAATATGATATATGTAAACAAACGCTGAAATTTAAAAATAATAATAAATAAAATCGAACAGAACGAGAGGTCATGATCAAATGTGCTATACAGTCAACGAAACAAATAAATCAACAAAGTTCAATTCGGACGGTTCTTCAGGATCTCTTGGAAGCTTGGACGCCTCCGGTCTCCCTGGTCTGTCTATCCTTGCTGGTTTGGTCTGTCAGACGCGTTTCGGCATTTCGCCGTTTTCAATGATGAGTCTTGTTACAGGTCAAAGGTCCTTTATATCGCAGACTTCAACAAAATACCAACAAAGCCCGTCTTTTTGCTCAAGGTTTCCAACAGCGGACTTTCAATTAGACACGCGAACGTTCCCGTTGATTGCCTCGTCCTACACGATAAAACGCAGCATCAGCAGCTTTCAGTATGGAATTTAAATCGACGAACGTCTTATTTATAGGCGAACCACAAGGAATAATCTTTATGTGACAACATAAGCTGTTAAGTGAAACTCAGCACATGTTAGCTAAGAACCTGATAGGAATGAGTCAAGAAAGAAAACAGTTAAAAAGTCATTTTTTATTATTCATTAGTATGTCCAACACACGGTATCAGCAGTCCAATCAAACTTGACAGCCTTTTTATAAATGTATAATCGGACGCAATTACTCTCGACCATCACTTTTACTAGTAGCCTGACTTGACAATTTTATGGTGCTACAAACAGAAAATTTTTAGTTTTGGTAATCTTGTTCATCAGAATCGAAAATAAAAATACACAATTTCACAAGTGGCATGTTGACACAGTGTGGGCGAACATTTCAATGATAGAAATTCCTTAACGGGCCACGCTTTTATCGCGTGTGGCAATACCCGTGTCTTGGGGGTTCAGGAAAAAAGAGGGCGGGCAGAGGCGGATGACAAAGATGGCAGATAAAAACTGACAAATTTTAAGTACGAGATGTAATCGAGAAAAGTCGTAAAGAGAACCATTAATAATATTAGGAGATTCCGAAACCCAGAAGAATCAGCGTCTATAGAGCGAAAAATCTCGTGGTAAAGTTTAGGACTGTGCAAACATAAACCCAGAATAGTGAACAGTGTTTAACCATGAAATTTATCATTTTGGTCTGCCTATCTTCGCAGGGTTGGTCTGTCAGAACCAGTCAGTATGTCTTTTTAATCCATTGAAAGTGGTGAGAAGCTAAAACGCGTCTAGCAGACCATCTAGAGAAGATAAGCAGACCGACAAGATCGATGACTTCTTACAAAAGATTCTACATTTCTCTTAACAAAAGATAAAGGCGGCGTTTCCAGGCGATCTCACCGCAAAGTAATAAAGAGCACATTAGCACATCACACGTTCTAATATAATAAATCTTATGAAATTTCTTTGTGCGGTCTGCGGTTTGATGAACCTGTAATTTGATCTTTACCGATCATTTTGGTCTGCCTGCTGATTCTGACAGATGCGTTCGCGTTTCGCCATCTTCAGTTTTAGGTCGGTTGAAACTGGGCATGTTTCAATTTTAAAAGGAAACCATCCATCGTTCTACAAAGAAATATTCAGCTAATATTTTGAACTTTTTACAAATACTTCTTTCTGAATTGTACGGCAAAAAGTTTCTAAATTTTAGAAACTAAGTGAACGTTTAGATTTTGCTAATTCTTTTTTGAGCCCACTGTTTTAATGTATTTATGACGAATCTTTAGAAAATACGATAGGTCAAGTGTTTAGAACAGCGGCGTATTGAGCCGAAGGTCGTGGGTTCAAATCCCGCTCGTGCTTTTTCATTTCGACCAAAACCTTATATAAAAAGGTAAAATTAAATTACAATGGATGTTAAGAAAACACATACATTCGGGGAAAAAATTCAACACGACACTTTATAATTACTTATACACAAAACCTTTCTTTTTTATACAACACTTATACAAAAATCTTCTTTTTTTAATTTATTGAACATTTTCGTCATTGCTTCTTCCTCTTTTTCACTCATTTCATATAGTCTAAATTGGTCTTGGTCTTTCGTATGACTCTCCCTCTCATTCACTCACTCACTAACTCTCTCTCTCTCTTTCTCTCTCTCGCTCTCACTCTCTCTCACACACACATACACATACTCACTCACTTTCTCTTACTTACTCACTCGTTTATTCACTCACTTTCTCTCTTTCTATCTCATTCACTTACTCTCTTTCTCTCTCCCATCTCTCTCACACACACATACACATACTCACTCACTTTCTCTTACTTACTCACTCGTTTATTCACTCACTTTCTCTCTTTCTATCTCATTCACTTACTCTCTTTCTCTCTCCCATTCACATACTCACTCACTTTCTCTTACTTACTCGCTCATTTATTCACTCACTTTCTTTCTATTTCTCTCACCGAACTCACTCATTCTCTCTATCTCCCTTTCGCTCATTCTCCTCTCTCTCATTTTCTTTTACTTAATCACTCACTTTCTCTCATTCACACACTCCCTCACTCACTCACTCTCTCTCTCTCTCTCTCTCTCTCTATCAAACTCACTCATTCACTTACTCTTTTTCTCTCTTTCTCTCTCTCTCTCTCTCTCTCTCTCGCTCTTGCTCTCACTCACTCTCACTCACTCACTTACTCTCTCTCATTCACTCAT